TTTACCTCTTGTATTGTGCCAACATATCTGGGAAGTTTACGTATGATGATGATGTCGCGATGACAGGGCATGACGACACCTAAATCGTCTGCCATTTAGGGCTATTAATCTCGCACAGTTTGGCATTATATGGCATACACGCCTCGCTTGGCAGAATGCACTGTGATTCCTAATGTGCGACCTTCTGTGCGCATGGGACGGCGACACTGTGCGTTGTCAAGATCGCGGTTAAGATATTTCTAACACACCAATTAGACTAGCCCCAAAGTAAGCACTGTAAGGCTTGTGCTTGCTTGCTACATATAAGAAAGAAAAGAACAAAGATGGAAGAATGACATTTAGAGGAAGTTACGTCATAATAGATTTGTTCGGTGTATAGGTATATCACACTTAGGACCTGTTTCACAATCGCTGAGTAAAGTTCTCAAAGCTACTCAGAACTTATCTGCTCAATAAACAAATAGGGATGTTGGCTTTGACGTTGACAGGGCACTTTTGTTTCCTTTTAAACGCTTTTCCAGCATCGCTATTCTTTATTGAGCAGATAAGCTTACTTAGAACTTTACTCAGCTATTGTGTAACAGGCCCTTAAAAAGCATTTAAGGTAAATATAATTGATACCGACCAGCTAAATTGCAAACTGACAAAATAAATGCGTAAGATAACAATTTATAATAAAATACCTATTTAATCAATAGTAATGCCACCCTTTATTTGATTTTTAACTGTCGTTGATTAAAGATTGTTAAATCTCATCTCTTACACTCTTCTTACTCCCATCCTTTGTACCTTTAATTTATTTTCTGTTTCTTTTCCTCTCCTCTTCCTTTCGCCTTTCACTATTAATAAACCGTCCTCTTCTCTCCCTGTCTTTCCAACCCATTCGACCTCCCTGGCTGCATCTCGAAGTGGCTTCGAATTCTGATGGGCCTACTCTACCGACTATCGAATCCTCTACATTACAATATAACACAACCCATCATTAACTTAAAATGTACCTAATAAATAAATAAATAAGTGTTAAATAAAAATCTATTGTTGATTTTAAACTGCGGTTAGCCTAGAATAACCGGCCTAACGAGTACAATGTGATTTATCTATGACATTGTTATTCTGTCCACGAGACAAAACGCACTTTTAATTCTAATACCGCCTGAAGGATTTACGCATGATGTTAGTGTTAGGCAGGCACTAATTAAAATATTATACAATGAGGCGTCCTTGCATACGATGGATGTGACGGGTGACAATATCATGTTTAAACAATTAGATGTACATATTTTATACTACAATTGTATCATTGGCTTAGCTACAAAGGCCCAAGCACGAATTTTGACAGCACTGTAATCGTATCGCATCGTCAGTTTATTTGAAAAAAGCGGCCAAGTGCAAGTCGGACTCGCCCATGCAGGGTTCCGTAGCAGCAAGTAAAATAATATAAAAAAGTTATTTTTATGGTTAGAAAATAATGGTTCACGGTTTATGCATAAGGTTTATGATTTTTTTTTATATATTTGAGTTGACTGAATGAAAGATTACGCGGTTAACGATTTAAGACGTATTAAAAAAACTACTTACTAGATCTCGTTCAAATCAATTTTCGGTGGAAGTTTGTATGGTAATACATCATATTATATTTTTTTTGGTTTCATAATTCTCTTATTTTAGAAGTTACACATTTTACCACTCTGTGAAGTGTTTCTCGCTTCTCAAACTATTTAGTTTAGAAAAAAATGATATTATAAACCTCAAATATCATTTTTGAAGATGAAAAAAAAATGTTTTAATCTAAGCTCTCAATAAATTTAAGATCTCGATACCTCCACGCGTTCCTGAGATAAAGGCTCTTGTCAGAGAGACGCACAACAAAATGATCCAACCTATAGGGTTAAGTTTTTTCCTTTTGAGGTACGAAACCCTAAAAAGACACAGGGTTATACTATACCTTATAACACATACTACTTTTTGTTCCATAAAATCACGAAAGAGGTATTAATAGGTGAAAATTTACAAAGAAAAAAAAGTTCGTATGAATAAAGAATGTTATAAGGTGTCTAATTATATTTCAGACAAAAATGCCTGGGCTTAAACTGTTCCGTTACTGTAACGTTCCAACAATCTGTGTCTATAATTTTAATAAAGATGACCTAATTTTGTATTGACACTAACAATATAATAATTTGTAAATATTGTTACAAGATTTGACTTGTGAAGTTTTTATCGCCCGTTTTTCTCCACAGCTAAAAAAAGTCCTTAACGGATGGTAGGAAAAATAATAAAAGACGATTTATAAGAGTTGTTGTATGTACGACCTCCGTGACCGAGTGGTTTGTACGCCGGGTTTCATGGTGACGCCGACTCGAGAGGTCCCGGGTTCGAATCCCGGTGGGGACAGATGTTTGTGTGATGAATACGAGCATTTGTACTCCAGTCATGGATGTTTAATATGTATTTCTTTATAAATATACTTATATATGTATTCTATCCGTTACCCTAGCATCCCATAACACAAGTCTTACAGTGCTTACTTTGGGGCTAGGCTAATTGGTGTGAGTGTTGGAAATATTTATTATTATTATTATTTTATAAATATAGATATTTCAAAACTAAAACAGGCTACACTAGATTATCGTTAATGCGTTGTCCGCCCTGACCTAAACCCCTACTCGTGTATGACATTAAACATTGTATTAACTTATAAGCAATATACAGCAGTTTTATGATGTAAATAATATTGCATAACGATTAATCTTTATTATTATAACGATTGCCACGCCAACACATGTTACGATAAAACAAGAAAAGCAAATATAGATTAATTAATAGAGTCCGTCTTTTCTATAAAGGTCGAATAACAAGATTAAGCTTACATACTGACACAATTTCTATTTAAAGAATATCCAGATTAGCAACAAATCATATAAAGAAAATAATGGTGTCCCGCAGAAATTTAGTTATTTTTTTATCTCTGTTGACAAACAAACAGAAGGACTATGTCTCGGTCAACTTTAATTTTCATGACAAAAGATACCTACATGTAAACAGGGTACATAATGTACCTTGTTAGTGCTATTAAAAAGGAGATCTATAAAATAATCAAAAACTGATCAGCAGTAATCTATACTAATATTATAAAGAGAAAAGATTTGTATGTAAGTAGGTATGTTTGTAACGGATTGGCTCAAAAAGTACTGGACCGATTTTAAAAATTCTTTCACCATTTAAATGCTACATTATCACTGATAAATATAGGTTATAGTGTATTTTCAAAACAATTAGGGTTCCGTATTAAAACTTCGATCATGTAACCCAACGTGTGTAAAAAATACCAAAAATAACCCTATTATCGCTTACGCTGCGGAAGTCATTGACAATAGAGCAAAATAATGTACTAAAGTTTTATAGAGGATACCAATATCTACAAAAAAGTCTGCGATGCCATATGTCTAACTATTACGTTTGGTCACAACTAGAGGTACTTTTGCAGTTTCACCCGCGTTAATTTGAAGAAAAAAGTTTACAGTGAGTCAAACTTCAAATATGGACATAGGCTGTCGAGGACTTTTTTACAAAATTTTAAAGGGGAAGAATTCCGACGATCGGCGTTAGATTAAAACAAAAAGGGTAGATAGGGCACTAGCCTCACAAAAGTGATCCGCACCAATTGTGGTCCACGACCCTAATCGCTTTAGTCACAACTTGACATACAAACGACGTAATGTGAACGCCAAAAAAAAATATTGCTAATATTTTGTTTTATATGTTTTGTGTATATGGTAAAACAATGCCTACGTGGTTTTTAAAAAGTGCTCAAATTGCTCAAGAACTAAAAAAAATCCACGGCATCACTTTTCATTCGTAAGTACTATAAAATATCTTTTTTCATAAAAATTGCTGTTTGTTTTGAATTTTATTCGGTAGTGACGTCGAGTACTGGTCGCGTGATTGGTCGGTAGTGCAGTGACGCGGATCTCGCCGTCTTGTTCGCGCTGCCGTTGAAACTTAACGTGCTGTTTCGTTCGGGTCGGTAATGCAGTGACGCGGATCTCGCCGTCCCGTTCGCGCTGCCGTGGGATCAGTTATTGTTTGATGCAAGTATGAGCGTACCGTATCTACCCTTTTTGTTATAATCTAAGCGATCGGCCCAAGCTTCGGCTTGTAACACATTTATCCCTCTTCTTACATGACGTTATCACGTAAAACTATCGTCCGTAAACCGGCTATCATCATCATCAGCCTATTATGTCCCCACTGCTGGGGCACAGGCCCTCGCTATGGATGAAAAAAAAATAGGGAGATTGGGATCGCTGAATTTGAATTTCAACTAATTTAAAATTAATAAATTAAAAACTATTCTAAAAGCTCACTGTGTTTAGGTATGTAATTCAGTTTTTTACTGCTCCTGTCAAATTTAATTTTATTCCATTATACCGTTCGTGTAGTGGGTTACGTGTAAAATAATTTTCAATAAATAAAAACAGTATTTACCAATCAATGTCCTTTATTAACGTGTTATCACTTCAATAATATATATTTTATAAATATATTACAGACTATTGGAATTACAGGGAATACAGTCATCATTTACAATATTCGATTAGATTTGGAACTAATACTAAGTAGGAGGACCTACTAAAGATTATGAATGTAAAAAAGTATTATTCTTACTGGCAAGAAATAATTTTGATAGTTTTAAATTGCATTCATACTTTTTCTTTGACATGCTGCATTCCAAAATCAAAAAGTTTTTTCGTTTATTTTTAAGTAAAACCTTATTTTGGTTTCGAGTGATTCATGAACAGCTTAAAAGTACTAATACAGCTATAATTATTATCACAATTATATCAAAGTAAATCTTGAAAAATTCAAACAATCAGCAATAGTTTTAATAAAATATCGTTTGAGTAATAATAACGCGATTATTGTTTATCAGAAACAGCATTTATTTTTGTATTTTTCATTAACTAACAATCATTTTTCTCTTACTTTATTTCGAAAGAACCGCTCAAAATTTCTTTTGTTCCATAAAATTAATGTCTAATTAATAAGTACTTTCTTTCATACTTAACGATTTCCAAGTTTTCATTTTTGCGTAATTTACATTTTCTCTTTACAAATTCAAAATCAGTCGTACCGTGTTTCGAAAACGCGGTGATTGCAGTTGCCCTTACGCTAGCACTTACATGGTTATTCGTGTTTGCTATTTGTCATTTCGACAGCAGGTTGTCCTTACCATACTCTATAGGGAATAAAAAAGGAGAGGCCGTTGTCAAGTTTACAAATAACGAATACGAAAAGCCATGTGAAGTGCCCGCTTTTGACTTTTTTTTATTATTTTTTTATCAAGGCAAAGGAGTCAACTTATTCTGCCAATTATATTTCCGAAAATAATGGCTGCGCACATTATGATGCCTACGCCTGTAAGTATTTGGTTAGGATCTAGGGCTACTTTTGATTCTTTGATATTATTCTGTTCTTTGTCTTTGTCCGCGTCATCCAAATCGTGGTGTATGACGGATAAAGCTTTCTCCAAGTCAGCGTCAGATTTAGCACTTGTTGCTGATGCGGCTACTATGATACGTCTCAATTCACGCAGTTGGGTTTCTACTCTCTGCTCTTGATGATTTATGTGATCTGAAAAAGTCAATTGTGCTATTGTAATAGAGTTCAATTCATCATCATCAGTAGCCTATAACATCCCCACTGGGGCACAGGCCTTCCCTATAGATGGAATAGGGAGATTGGGACATGACCCACCACGCGTGCCCAGTGCGGATTGGGGGGTGCTAACGACTGCAGAAGTAGCAGGGTCAAACGGCTTAGCGTGCCTTCCGAAGCACGAAGGAGTGCGAGATAGTAAATTTTTGGTCACCCATCCAATGAGCGACCACTGCGAAAGTTGCTTAACTCCCACAATCGCACACCGAACGTGCTAACTACTTGCGCTATCGGGATCTTATCAAGAAGTATTGGCCACATTCTTTTTCTTATTTCACATAATCAAAACATTACAGAGATATATTGATTTGAAATGTCGCATGACGTCACGTCTTGGCACAATTGTCACTTAGAAATGACGTCACAACCCAATCCCAATCATTAACGCGCACTATCTGTGCAATTTTTTGGTTGATTGAATTTGAAAGAAAAAATATTTGTCCATTTTTTTATTGTAAATTTAACTGAAAGACTTGATAGAATTCCGTTTCATCTTCAACATCATCAGCCTATTAATGTCCCCACTGCTGGGGCACAGGCCTTCCCTATGGATGGAATAGGCAGATTGGGCCATGACCCCCCACGCGGGGCAAGTGCGGATTGGTGGGTGCTAACGACTGCAGATGCAGCCGAGACCAACGGCTAAATGTGCCTTCCGAAGCACGAAGGAACTCGAGATAGAAGATTTTTGGTCACCCATCCAATGACCGACCACTGCGAAAGTTGCTTAGCTTCAACGATCGCAGCCGAACGCGCTAACCACCCGCGCCATCGAGCTCCTCAAGCTCCTCTTTTGCTCGAGAATTCCTTTTTCATCATCCCTATTATAGTGTAAAGTAGTCCATTCATAATAAACTAATGCATCCTTCTCGGTCTGCCACCCCCATTAAGAATGCTTACATCTACTTAATGTTTAAGCTTACCTATTAAAGATGCCTGCTTGTTGACTAGATAATCAATGTTTTCTTTCATTAACTTCAGATTTTGTGCCAATTGCTCCTGTAAGACAAAGCATTAGGTTGAAAATATATTGCCAAATTTTCTTTTCCGAGTTATGTGGCTATTTGGCTATTCATAATTGTAATTTTGTTGACATAATGAAGAAATGGCTGTTGGCTTAGAAAATTTGACATGTATTGTATAATTATTAAGTGTAATATAATGTATAGTAATTATATTTATTAATTATTGCAATTGTGTTGACATAATGAAGAAATGGCTATTGATTTGGAAAATTTGACATGTATTATATAATTATTGGAATGCAACTATTACTCAATTTAAATTTGATTTTTTAAATAATTTATTTGTATTTTGTATGCTCTTCCAAGGGCGAAATATATGGAACTTTTTGTATTATTTATCAGCAGTAACAAATGCAAATAACCTTTCTTTTCATTTTCATTTTTGCTTTCCGTAAACTAGACTGTAAAAAGTCTGTCCTTATTATACTTTACAAGGAATGAAAAGGACAGACTGATGTCTAGGTTACAATTTGCAAACACGCTTTTCATTCCCATATAAAGAAAGATCTGTCAAATTTAGTATTGGAATAACTAAATAAATCAAGTTTCAACGGGTTAGATGCACTGGTCGAGTTCAAGCCGCACAAAGAAGATCACCCAGATCAATTTGACTCCTAAGTCAAAAAAGTGAGCCCCCTAGGTCCCTCGGACCCCTAGGTCCGAATCGGGCTCACTTTTATTGACTTTTTGGCTCACTTTTTTGACTTTTTTGGCTCACTTTTTTGACTTTTTGGGTCATTTTTTTTTTAATTTTTTCGTTCACTTCTTTGACTTCTTTGGCTCACTTTTTTCACTTTTTTGACAAATTTTTTTTGGCTAACTTTTTTGGCTCATTTTTTTGACAATTTTTTGGCTCTTTGAATGAACACAGTCCAAACCCAAATATCTTCTCCCCATTAATCCCCCCGAAAATATTTTCCTCCCAATTATCCCCCTATCGCGTGCAAAACCCCCCAAATTTGGGGGGAATCCCCCCAATCTGGCATCAGTGCGATAAATAAATAAAATCAGTGCATGTAACCCGTTGAAACTTGTTTTATTTAATGGGTGATGTGCGTGAAAATGTAGGAAACAAATATTACAATATCTTTTAACTAAATCTCTAAAAGAGCAAGTATTGACCTATTTGGTAAATTTATCATTTGAAAAAGGGACTTTTCCCACCATGCTAAAAATGTCTGTGGTCAAACCATTGCATAAAAAGGGTGACACCAAAACTATAAACAACTACAGGCCTGTCACTTTGGTTTCAGTACTGTCAAAAATATATGAAAAGGCTATGGCTAGACGTATTATTGAATTTATGACGAAATTTAGTCTAATCAGAAAGGAGCAATATGGCTTTCAAAATAATAAATCAACTAGCCTCGCAGGTCATGGTCTTATCAATGATATCATTGAGAATTTAAATGATGGGCGGAAAGTTACTGCCGTCTTTTTTGATATGACAAAGGCTTTTGATTTCGTATCACATAAAATCCTTCTGAATAAATTGGAAAATATCGGTTTTAGAGGACCTGTTATAAATTGGATAGCTAGCTATTTAAAAGAGAGGACACAGTATGTTGAAATAGCTAATATTGACAGAACTCAAACTGTAGTCAAATATAAATCCCAAGAAAGAGTCAATGCGTTTGGCGTTCCGCAGGGGACGATACTTGGACCGATTTTCTTCAATTTTTATATAAATGACCTACCTGATGCCATATCAGATAAATGCGTTCTTTTTGCTGATGACATTTCAGTTCTTGTGACATCTAGCAAGGAAACTAAAAATAATATATATGAATCAAATATTAATAATACAATTCAAGATATTTCTAAATGGACATTATATAATAATTTATATATTAATATAGAAAAAACATGTTACATACAATTTGCTAATTACGGTACTTTGACTAATAACCTCAACTTATATTATAATAAACAACTTGTAAAACAAACAGACGAAGCAAAATTTTTAGGAATAATACTGGACAACCATGTTAACTGGAAGGCTCATGTCAATAGGATTTGTACGAAGATAAATAGTTACATTTACCTTCTCAGTAGACTCAGAAAAACAACATCACACTCTACATTAATCACAGCTTACTATGGTTATATTTATCCTACGCTTGATTATGGCATTCTACTTTGGGGTAACAGTACAGATGCTGATAGGGCATTCATTGCTCAGAAGAAGTGTATTAGAGCCATGCACGGATTAGCACCAGATGAGTCATGTAGACCATACTTTAAAAGGTTACGTATTTTACCATTATATTGTATGTACATTTTGAGTTTGGCTTGCTTTGTCAAATTTAATAGCAATTTATTTACGAAATGTAGTGATATAAATAGAACTCAAAGAACCCTCCGTTACCCTGACAAACTTGCTTATAGTGTTAGACCAAAGACCAGTCTTTATTTGAAAAATTCTACAGCTATGTGCATCAAGGTATATAATGCTTTACCAACAGAGTTTCTAAATCTTCCAAAAACGCGTTTTCGAAGGACGATAAAGTCATGGTTGCAGGAACAATGTTTTTACTCTGTAGAGGAATATTTTAATTTTATGTTTAAATCCAGACATAATAAGTGACAAATTAATTAAGATTGTAATTTTTATTCTATGTGATATATATTTATTGTAGTGATTTAATAATATTTAATTGCTTGATAATTTGACATGTGTAAATGGAATAAATGATATAAAGTGTTATGATTGTAAATTTGACTAAAATTATAATTTATTTTTAATCAATAATATTATGGATTTCTTAACATGTTTATGTGATGACATATGACGATTAATTGACATGTTTAAATGGAATTAATGTTTTGGAATGTATAACAATAGTGTGACCAATTACAATATTAATATAAAATAATTTGATATTTGCATGCTAATTTAGCGAATCATGTTTGAGCACCATTATGTATTGTAACATCTTTTTATTGTACCATGTTTCTTGTAAATAAATATGAATATGAATATGAATATGAAAAAGAGCACTCTTTTTCAAAATGGACGATTCAAAATTGCATTTATGCTAACATCCATCTATGATGAAATTGCCTATATCAAGTACGCACCTGGTATTCAAACTCGGTCTTCATAGCGTCAGCTATGTCTGTCCTATTGGTCGAGCCTCCAGCTATAGTGTATAGAACGCTCGCACTCCTGGCCATTTGTTGTTCCATCATGTCGCGGAATTCGGCCATTTTCAAGTGGTTGTTTATGGTCGACCCTGCGATACCTAGTACTGTGCCTACGTACAAAGAGTTGTAATCATTAAACAGCTAGATTTTAAGTCTAAAGAAAAGGGGTTCCAGCTTTTGTGTATGGAAGCTGGCCTATCGACCACGTTCCTTTTTTTTGGAACTAGGGCACATGATAAAAGTAGATGGTAGTTACAAATAGCATGGCAACCCAAAGTGTCATGTTGCGTTACGTCAAGATGTGACATTTTGAGGTACCATGTTACTTGTCATTTTTGAAGTGAAACTTCTTTAGGCACGTTTTATTTGGGGGGTAAACTGGCGAATTGTGTTACGAGTATCATCGGTGACTCAACGGTAAACAATGAACAATACCCGATTTTGGTAAACAATGAACAATACCCGACACAAAATACATGAATCTAGTGCTAACTTACATACTCTATGTTAACTATTGAAATAGGTTTTTTAATTGATTACACGACGAAATTTATCAATAATCAATAACAAATCAAATGCGAAGAGATGGTGCTGCCTTGCAGCTTAAGGCTAGGAAAATTTCGACGCGGCGAATAGGACCGTGGTAGCATAATGGTCAGTGCATTCGCCCGGATTGCGAAGGGTGCGGGTTCGAGTCCCATCCGCTGCCTGGTCCGCGTGGATTTTTTTCTAGTAAACTTTTCTTTAGATTTAAACATCTAGCAGTTAAATGCTTAAAAATAAATAAAAACAAAATGAATAACAATTTAGTATTTTACTATTAATTCTACGCCATTGAAATCCGCCGTGGTTTATTTTTTTCTATCAACGAATTTTCAGGTTAAGTTTGGGAAATTTGAAATTGAGAAATTTGGCCTTTTTTGTTTATCTATGAAATAAAATAAATTTAAATACTTGTAGAAAATTAATATATGTGTATATCACACACACACACACACAATTTATATATATATATATATATATATATATATATGTATGTATGTACATATACATATTTCATTTACTAGCTAAGATAATTTGAGAAAGAGAGAAAGAAATTGTGCGCCCGCACTGCTTGCTCTTGCTTATATCCCCCACTCACCTCTTTAAAGAATCAATTACAATTAAAGTTAAATACAACGATTAAAACTCAACGTGAGACGTACTTTAGAGATGTCCCCACACAACAATTTGGACGTTAACTCACCGAATATAGAAGCGACGATGTACCAGTACTTGTTCCTTTCAGCATGCGCCCGCTCGCGTTCATGCCCCAGCTTCACTGCCGCCGACATGGTGGCGAACAATTCCCGCTCCTCCCTCTCCGCTTCAGAGAATAGCGAGCGGAGCATGCGCTCTTGTTGTATCAACTGGTAATAACCACGAGAATAAATATTCGTAACATTTATAATCATTCTACTCGTGCTGTCTCTGGGTTGACTGCACGCAAAGGGCTTATAATGCAATTCAACTAAGAATAGGACCGACTGGGAGCCATATTCTGGTGTAGTAGCTGTCAATTCAAACCAAATAGGTAGAGTGAGCAAAAAAAATTTTTTCTTTACTTTATATTGTTATTAGTATTATTATGCAATGTATGACCTTATTTGAATAAAGATATATTTATTTATTTATTTATTAAAAAAGTTTTTATTTAATAAATCTTATTTCCTAAGATTAAGTGTGAAAAAACATCAGATTTTTTTAATAACATTTAATTACTCATATTGAGATAAAAAACCCACCGATTTTTAATAATATTATTTTATTAAGACTGTGAGAAAAACATTAATCGGAATCTAGCTCTCCTATTCCGCTCATTTCCTGCATCCTTTATGTAAACGAAAGTTTGAAATCGAGTTTCTGAACGCAACTTAAAGTGACATTTGGTTGACGATTTAGGTGATCAACCATTCACGGCCAAAGCTCAATAAGTGTAAAAAATATTAACCAATATTAATTATCAATATTTGTTATTGTTTCTTTACAAATGTTTGGTTTTTATTCTTGAATTAGCGGAGTGCTAAAAAAGGGTTCCAAGTTTTTTTTTGCAAACTCTACTTTTCAAGCGACATTTGACAGATAGAGGTCATTGGCTTTCCTATTCTTATTTGAATCGCATTATACAGCGTTTTACGTGTACAGTACAACACGTTCCAGGTGCTGATGGGGCTGCCGCAGTAGTACTTCTGGCATGTTCGCTGAGGCAAGGACCGATGGATTCCATGCCATTATACGAAAGCGATGTGCCTCGCTACTGAGTCGGGTGCGCGCTAGCCCCAACAGCATCCTGTGCGTGTTGTCGGATATACTGCAACATTGGATGGGCCTCCTTAAGACATTAATTAAATTGAAATGTATTACTAACATAGATTAAGGAAAAATGTTACTAACAAAACAAAACGATGGAGACTTTACTCTGAAATAAATTTAATTATTATTATTATAAATAATCTATCTATATATATAAAAATCAATTGCTGTTCGTTAGTCTCGCGAAAACTCGAGAAAAGCTGAACGGATTTATCTTATCTCGGCCTTGAAATGTTCGTGGAAGTCTGGAGAAGGTTTTAAAAGTGAGAAAATATGGAAAAACTGCGAGGAAGATAGTAAAAACATCAATTTAATTTTCCGGGCAGGAAAGAAAACGGGCTGGGAGATGGTGTCGGGTAATCAAAACGAAAACTACCCGATTACAAGCGTACTGGACTCCATTCATTTACATTTAGTTGTTTACCCGAACTCCATGGGCAATTGTATTCAGGCTAATTACCAAGTGTAATACTAATTTGTAATAAAGTTATTGCCTTAAAATAAACTCTTCTATTTTAAAACTTTTCGCTAGCAAATTTATTTAAAAAAGTATTACTACTTTTATCAAACACAAAGTCTAGGAATCAGCTCATAACAAGTTAGGAAGTTCATGAGAAAATTCTCCTTTACCTTGTGTTCTTCTGTGCACAATTGCAAGTACTTCTCGTCCCCCTTCATTGTGTTCTGTATCCCTGAATGGATCTCCTTCAGCCGTGCTTCCAAGTTGGCCACCTGACGGCCTAGGTCTCTTCTCCGCTCCTGAGCTACCATAAACCTATCCTAAAAGTAAATAAAACAATTGGTTGCCTGTAAAGTCGGTTTATGGACAATAGTTTTATGTGATAATATCATAAAGAAACATTGATGAAAAATGGTCATGCCTCTCTATCGCTCATTCTCGTTTGCACGCTCAGGCTCCAGCGGAACGTGACACTTATTCATATGTGCAACTGGTGTTGATCCATTTATAAGATGTTATCAAGTCAAAAGAAATTTATTTTCTCCAAAAACGCTTATAAAAACCCCTTTTAAATGTCCCAGTATTAATTTATCCCTACCACTGCTTCGGGACAATTTGTGGAGCAGTGTTGAAAACTCAGTTGATAGTTCAATAAAAAAAAATGTTGCCATTCACTAATCAGTCTCTTTATTATATTTGTCTCTGTCTGTCGGTAAGAAAGATCCATGCCTCAGCATAAGAAACACAAAATAGGATGATTGCAAATTTATTTGCTGTAGAATTTATGTTCCAGCAAATGTTGATAACAAGGATAATTAGAAACAAACATAGGAATATATGACAGCAGTTTTTACACTAGATTGTTAGGACAACATATAAAAATATTCCATCCAAACCATGGTTTTTCAAGGTGAAAAATCTTAATAAAAAAGTGGTCTCTACAATTTGTAGATTAAGGTAGGTCATGTCACTACCCCTGTTCACTTGGCTAGGTTAAAAGTATGTGACAGCCCCACATGTGATTGTGGAACCGAGGATGATACAGTGGATCATCTTTTCTTTAACTGCCCCAAATTAAACATCTCTCTCTATGACATTTTACCTCCCACTATTCCTCGTCCTATAAGCATGAAAGTCCCACTATGTTTATGTGATTACTCAACCCTCAAGCTCTTGTCCAAATTTATTTCCCATAACAAAGTAAGATTATAACAAAGCTCCCCGCTTTACTTGTTTTATGTTTGTGTTGTCCTGATTGTGACGTTTTTCTTTACAGGTAAAAGTGCTTATAAAATAACCAAAATTCTGATTTATAACTATCATTCCCTTACGTTTTAATGGCTGATCACTTGACATTGGCGGAGATGTGTTAAGTCACAAAGCAAGCCATCATAAAAGAAGAAGAAGAAGACAACATATACTCCCTTATTAAAAAACAAAGAATAACCTTGGATTAGTTACTCCATATTTTGTCTCTGTTCAGTGAATGACAAATGGTATTTGTGTGACTTGAACAAAACACAGCATTGGTCTAAGCTTTTTCCTTGTTTATTAATAAGGGTGTTAAGGTATTTCAAGAAATAGAACATCTAAACTTAATATGCTTTTTACAATAAATTCATTGTTGTTTTAAACAACTCATGATCAGGCAACCTAAAAGCAATATAGCTGCAACTACAAATTATGTATGAACTGAACAAAGCACATCCTATAACCCCTGGTCTGTGTAAATGGCAATTTCTTCATTTAGCTTACACTACTTTGAAATTACAGAATGAACTTTTATGTAATTTTTTAATTATAATATTGGTATTTATTCTTTAGGTACTTCTGTAGTTGCAAAGCTATAAAACTTAACTTAGTACAAGCACACATCAAACTAGAATACTATTGGACTTCCGATGAAACAATAAACATGTAACACAACCTTGACCTGTTATTGAGCTATAAATGATGAAATATCATGAATATTTAGTGCATACCTGGGCTTCAACTACGGTATTCTGAATGGCCATTATTTCCGCGACACCGGTAAATTTTTCATACCTAGATACCAATTCTTGGACCCTTTTAGATATCGTTTCATGTTTAAACTTCTCCGCTATATCACTAACTTTCTGTGCAGGCACATATTTTGATATTAGCTGGTCGACTTTTTCTCGGCCATTAGGACTCAACTGTGGGAGCTGTGGTAAGTGAACTCTTTCCTTCAACCTTTGTGCGAACTGGCGGAGGCGGTCTGCCATGATTTCATGTTATTAAATCTGTTTTCGGGTGGAATTTTAGTTTGTATTTAACATTTTATTCCCGGAATGATATCATCCCGAGCGGGACGAGACTTTGACAGTGACATTTTTACATGTGATTGTCATTTTTTATGATTATCGGACAATGAAAAATGGACTTTAAAGTATAGTATTAAAAATTTCATTTTCTAATAATCTGTGCAGGGCTACGTTCTAAACTTCCGCAGTTCCGCTCTGAATGCACTTTTCACCCCGACGTACTTCAACTTTGCTAAATAATGTACGAAGCTTATATCAGATTTGAGTATTTGACATTAGTTGCACCTGAAGCATAGCTATTGAACGCAACCCCAATGGCTATGTCGTAGGGATGGGATTCTTTAAGAAATTAAGCGATTTCCAAATGGAATAAAGTCGTAGCCTGATAAAACAAAATAACCAAAAAAATACAGGACTAAAAATCGATTTCAAAAATCTTTTTGAGTGAAATTTTTTAACATCACAATTTTTTCCCTTCATGCTTATCGCATTACATTTGAATTGTTATCAAAAAGTTCAGACTGTAACAACAAGCATCGATGGTAAAAAGCTACCACGCCCACGCGCAAGGCCCAGCCGAGGAAGGGCCACTTATTTTCCACTTTTTATAAGACGGAATAAATATCCGATTATTTTAAATGAATGCCTACGATCCAAAAAAAAATTGAGTGTGATGTAAAACTGTTAAAGTTTCAATTACATCGTAGTTTTATAACACCATAATAATAACTAATTTGCTCTAAAACAAAGTAATCTGAGTTATTAAAAAATAATGTTGTGCACATGTTTTGCCATAGCATATACAAAATAGCAAATACAAATTGAATTGAAATAGATTAGGCATCTTAGTATGGAGCTTGGGGACGAACTAAAGATTTTTGTATTTAATACTTTTAGATTTTTTTATTTCTTTCTAAATCCGAACTCTCTGAGTAATTGCACTTCAAAGAAATATATCTACACAACCTCTTTTTACGATCCCCGCTACTGTGCAACTACTCTAATCTTAATATTACTACATACATGCACATAACCACGCTCATAATCCTAGCAGGTAACATTTGTTTACACATTTTATTATTTAGCATTACATCATTAGCATCGGTTTACAAGGCAACAACGAGAAATTGACTGACTGACAGATCTGAGTTCTGACAGTGATCACAGTGACACTGACAGACACTGTTCACTTTGACAGAACAACGGTGATTTTTCCAAAACGTATTGCTAGAACCCCGAGTAGGTATACATTCTTTTATTAAATGATTATTTGTTTTAATCGTCTTTTGTAAATAAATCAAAGTCACACGAATAATATGTTCTATTATTCTTTGTTTATGTATTTTCGTATGTTGGACTAGTTTTAACAATGTTAATAATAATTGGAAACTCACGTTAACGTTTCGGAACGCGGGATCCGGATTTCGCTTGAGTTCCGTATAGCAACCGGCCACCAAGCACCGGCCGGACTTCTCACATAGGAAAAAAATCTACATTATAAAAATATCGCATAGTTTTCTGAGAGTACGAATATTGCTGAAGGTATTCAGTCATCAATAATTAGATAACGATTTTTGGAAGTATTTTCATTACTGTACGATTGAGAAATAAAAATCCCTAAAATGCCCAATCTCCTTAATTTTAAGTAACCATACCATACCATTTTTAAAAGTCTACATTTACAATGCTGTCGATTCTGGCATGATTCTCTATCCTTAAAATTAAATTAACATCAGCCTCTCCTTTTTATTCTATATAAGGATATACTGCTGTCAAATTTAATTTTAGGTTTAAATAATTATGCCAGATCGACACCAATGTAAACATAAAACTATTTTATGAAACACAAGAAAAATACCTTTATAAATAGATATTTTAATTGAATCTTCATTTTCTATTATCAATATCGACTGCTGAATAGATACAGTATTTTGGAGAATAATTAACGATAACTTTAATTGTTTTTTATAGATTTGGCCAATCAAAGAAAATGAAACATCGATTCACTAGTGGAGAATATCGTTTTACTGAATCGATTCAATGCTAATTGATGAAAAAAAACGATAGTCTGTGGCCAAAAGTTGCTGCGTTGACTGCGTTGTTTACTTGTAAAATTGTAATTTCTTTATAAACTCTTGATTGCGCAGTCTATTTTACATTTTCATAAACTTAATCATTAAAATACAACGCACAATATCATGCAGGATGGTAAGTAGTTCAAATTTAGTGATTATATTATGTCAATTTATTTCCGTCGGGACCAAACAAATTTCCCTCGCAAAACTAATATTGCAGATCTGGAAGTCACTGGTATATCGCGCAGCGGCAGAGTTAGGAAGAAGAGCTCCAAACTTATGGATTTTGAGTCTCCTGACGACATAGAGACCAGGTTTCGGAGACAAACTCCCGTTAAGGCTATTGCGGGATTTCGTCAGGAGGACACACCCGATTTCGCTATTCAGGAAGCTCCAAGGCCGGCAGAAGAAGCTGGCACGGCATCAGGGAGTGAGTCTGATTACTATGAGAATAATGGAGACAACCAAGACAGGTACGTAATTTTTAGGTTTTTTTACGTACGTACGTATTACGCTGGCATTTCACATCGTTATTCTTATTAGCTATTTGTAATTTTGAAAACAGCCAGTTTTTTTCTCTCTCGTCTAATTTACAAAGAGCATTTATGAATACTTAAGACATTGACAGAATGGTCACATAACGAGACGCAACCATACTAACCAAAAACTGAATTTAATGATAATCAAGTGAACTGTTTGAGAAGTAACTGCTAGGTTATAATCAGGTTGGCGTTCGTACCTGCTCATAGGCATTAGAGGTTTTATAATGCTAACAGTTGAACACTGGGCTCTAGTGAGGTCCTAAGCTATCAGAAATAATCATTTTGCAAGTGTTTAAAATTTTCTTTTCAAGCCTAGTGTTTCCATGCTATCAATGAAGTCTTATTTTAACTAAGGCAATATTTATTTTCCTTTATCAATCTAATAGGAAAACTTGCCTAATGATAAATAACTGAATCCAACAAAATTTTACAAAATAAAAAAATATAATGATTCAATAATACAGTTAACATCCCAATCTATCCCTTGCTAACCTCAGCCATAGGGATAGATCAGGGTGGAAAAGGCTGGAGGAGGCCTACGTGTCTGCAGGACACGCGGAATTATAAGTAAAAATGTTAATGATGTGTTTTTTATGTAATTATCAGCAATGAAGGCTTTTGTATTTGTATAATACAGTTAACATAAAACCATTTTTACAGCATTGAATCTGATAGTTCAGTATCAGATGAAGGTTCTACTCGAACTCCGGCAAACTCATTATACATGATGGAGAAAAGTACAAAGAAGAAGCTGATTGTGAAAGACGGTCGGGTTGTCGGAAAAGCCAAAGCTCAGAGAAAAGATAAAGGTATGTGTTAGGTCAGCCTATTATGTCTCCCCTGCTGGATTTTACGAAATGATAGAGAAAGGATGTTAAATAACTTTTTCTTCACCTATCAGCAGACCCTATCTTTCCCAGTGGGCACTTTGGGCAAGTGCCCAGGGCCCCATGATCGATAAGTGGGCACCTCAGATCACAAATACAAAGTCCCTAGTTCTTGTTAGATCACCAAACGGGGGTCATAGGGGCTCCATTAACCTAATATGCCCAGGGCCTCCAATAGGTCAAAGATTGGCACTGCCTATCAGATAGATTATCAAAAAATTTTCACATAATCAAAACACAGACAATATATAGATTTGAAATGAAGCACAATGTTATGTCTTGGTACAATTTTTACTTAAAATGTTTTGACAAAAGAAAAAGTGTTAAATAATTTATTTTAACCTAACTGATGGATATCATTGACTTAACTCTGTCATCTCCCTTATTATACGAGATACAAGTCCATGTAACACCATACAGGACTCTGGAGAATTGACTGCTAATGAATGCAAGACTGCAGAAGTCCGTGGCTAACTGTGTTGTCAGATTATAAATTTTAATTCACTCATTTTTTTACAGCTTATTTTACTTTCATAACTTTCAAGATGATGTATGAAAAAAATATTTTCAATCTTAATAGAATGTTACTTCTTTTGACATACTCTAATTAATTGGGAGGTCCTCTGTATAATGAAAGATGTAAGGGTTAAATCCTGAATGGGGGAAGTTTTATTTCTTCATGAAATCTACAGAAATAGAATGAATATCATTAAAATTATAACCATTTCCACATGTACCAAAGTTCTTAAATCAGATTTACGTTTTGGCTTATGTTATGTTCCATCTCTTTTTGACTTCAAATGACTGATAAAGATGGAATGATATGTTACACCGAATTAGTTTGATTAAAGGCAAGTGGCCCTTATTGTCGATATTAATCTTAGTAATTACCCAACTGAATATAGTTTACTGTATTTGTAGGAAAGACCCGTATTACCGCTTACATGCTGTGGGCGAAAGAGGCCCGCAATGAGATACTGCGCAAACACCCAGACATGGATTTCTCAGCTATATCTAAAAGGCTTGGAGAAATGTGGGCTAACGTAAGTTCGTGTTTATAATTAACGGCCATACTCAGAGACATAATTATGAATTTTTATAAATTTTATTAAAGATAGTACTGTCAATTTCTTAGCTTTAACACGAGTTAATCTCGTGTGTAACAACATGTGATTTTAATTGACATGAAATTTATTTGACATCTCCGAGTTTAGTTGTAAGTTCCTTTTTTCATCTTAATTTTAGGGTTCACAAAAAACTAAAGGCTCCCTTGCCTTTACTGGTTGGGTGAAACTTAATTACTTTTCACTTTGCTTCGAAAGTGGTCTTCACTTTACAGAGTTTAAATTTTCACAACAACTATTAGGCTTTATATCGCAACTGTAGCCATCGCTACTTTTCGGCGGCAGTCGTCAACTCGTCGACGGCAGTCGTCAACCCGTCTTAATAGAAACATTTTGTTTGTAGGTAAATTACAACGAGCGTTATCTATGGAAGCGTAAAGCGAAGAGGTTTGCTATGCGCAAGGAGAATCAAATCGGGCAGCCGCAAGTCAGCAAGATCATATCCAATCCAAGTGAGTTCTTAGTTTAACAACATTTTTGTGACATAGCTGTCAGCAAATATTTTTTATTGACGAACCTATCTATCTTCTAAAAACTTAGATTAAAACTAAGAAGGGAAGATACGGTACTACAGCATCAAATAAAATATGATCCAACTCAACCACTTAAGCAGCTCTCCCACACACAAGCCTGTAAATAAACATTCAGAGAGACAGAACTGTACGCTTCAGCGCAGCGCGAGCGAAACGGCGAATACGCACAGCTGAGCTGTATTGTTGTGTTATTGATAACAAAATGGCAATGACGTAAATAGCATTCATGAGAAACCGTGACTTTTGAGAAATTTTTTTTTTAGCTTTATGAATAAAACACTGTTTATTCATAAAACTGAAACATTTGATTTTGGACTATTTGTGTTCTTTATAAAAGCATCGAAGGCATTTTTTATCGTTATAACATAGAATATACGCAATATTAATATATTGAGTGCACATGCAGCGTGTTTGAATTGTGACTTGAGACTAAAGCGAATTGTGTTCATGCACCACAATTTGAGCGGATCACTTTAGAGCCGCGGGTGCCGTATATTCCTTTTTTGTTTTAATCTTAGTCTAAAAATATTTATAAGATGCAACGAATTAGAAGTTTTTGTCAAAAAAGTGTAAAATCTTTTAAGTTACTAAGTACATAGTTTTTAACTGATAAAGTAGGTAATAGTAAATCATTCTTGGGCATTAGGTTTTTCTGTAGTAGTCAAACTGAGCCCTAGATATAAGATAATCTGTGGTAAGGGCATCAATCCCTTTCCCTCATCGTATCCTAAAGTTGATAACAAAGGCACAAACATACTACATTATATGCATATACTATAAGACCTAATAATATGAGTCACATTTCTTAATGTATTTTTAACTGCAAACAAAAGTTGTGGTTGAGTAGTGGAAAATTTATTAGTTATTTAGGGTTATAGTAATATCTCTTATCTATTAGACAAGTCCGTCCGTCCGTCTGTGGTGCTGTTTCAGCGGCCAAACCGTAAGAGATAGATAAAGAGAAAATTTAAGTTATAAGTTAAGAATAGTCTGATAAGACTACAAACCGGATTTGAGTAACGTAGCACTTCCGGTTTTCGAGAAATCACGAATTTCAAACGAAACCACACAAAATCTCCGAAGCTCTCAATTAATTAAATACATTTATTTATTTTAAAATCAGGTTTTGGTGAACATTTGGTTCACTGGTTTGCTAGTATTAACGGGATTTTTACCATGTACCTTGTTTTTAGCGAGTTTCCGATATTTCGGCACTGTTTGCAAGCGCCATGATCACGGAGTAACTGAAGTAATTGCGGGTAGGCTGTTATTGGTTAAGTCTTTTATTGCGTTCGATGCCTGTACCACTGTTAAAATTGTCGAGTGTCTGGAATCCTGTGGTTAGTATGTGTAAAAACCGGAAAAATAAAAAAAGTGTCGTGTCGCGATCCGATACTGTAAGTGTTGTGTGTCGGGAACAGTTTCGAGTGAATAGTGAGAATGTGAACAGTGGTACGGGTATCGAACGCAATAAAAGACTTCGTCGGAGGGTAGACCGATATGTCTGCCAATAACAGCCTACCCGCAATTACTTCAGTTACTCCGTGATCATGGCGCTTGCAACAGTGCCGAAATATCGGAAACTCGCTAAAAAACAAGGTACATGGTAACTATCCCGTTAATAACATACATTACTATAATGTTAGTGACCATGAAAGTTTAAAACAATGTATTAGGGTTTCCTTAAAAAAATAATATTAAATGTAATTTTATTTCTTATACTGCCAAAAAGCCTATTACCACCTACTGTTAATAAAAAAGTGTTTTACTAGCTGAAGTTTATGTTTAATAAACGTGATTTTATTTCTATATTTCCTTTGTCCAGGTGTTCGCCCCACGAATCCAGGCCCCGGTAGACCTCCAGCTAACAGGGCTGTGGCCAAACAATCTACGTCACCACCTCAACAAGCGCTGGTGGTAAGTCCAACTATAGAACATGTTTCATCATCATCAGCCTATTAATGTCCCCACTGCTGGGGCACAGGCCTTCCTTGTGGATGGAATAGGGAGATTGGGCCATGACCCACCACGCGGGCTTAGTGCGGATTGTCGGGTGCTAACGCCTGCAGATGCGGCCGGGACCAACGGCTTAACGAGCCTTTCGAAGCACTGAGGAGCTCGAGATAGAAGAATATTGGTCACCCATCCTATGACCGACCACTGCGAAAATTGCTTAACTTCAACGATCGCAGCCGAACGCACTGACCACCCGCGCCATCGAGCTCCTCGAATATAGAACATGTTTACTATATTTTAATTTAAGCATTTTACTGCTAGATGTTTAAATCTAAGGAAAATTTTACTAGAAAAAAATCCACGCGATCCAGGCAGCAGACGGGACTCGAACCCGCACCCTCCGCTTTCCGGGCGGATGCACTTACCAATTATGCTACCGCTACCTTATTGACCGTTTCGGATTTCTTCTTGTATTTCTGGCTGCCTGGGCCGCGTGTATTTTTTTCTAGTATTTTTTTATATATTCCATATTACCTGAGACGAAGTAACAAACACACACTCACAAACTTTCGCCTTTATAATATTAGTGTGATTCCTTAACAATATTACATTGTCTTGTTAGTACCTAAGATTAAATTGTAAATCTTTACTAAACACTTTGATCAGTAACTATATATGAAAATAATTTTTAATCTCAGCCGGTATCTCCCGGTGCAAATGCGGGGGCCATCGCGGGTGTAGGGAATACGGGGGCCGCAGCAGGCCGGGGCAGCGGCTGCGGGCCCGCAGATATAGCCGCACATCTGCGCCTGCTGGGGGAGAGCCTGGCCATCATCGGGGAACGACTCAAGGAACATGAGGTGACGACCAAAATACATACGAACACACACTTACATACAATATGATACGTTTGAAATACACACGAACACACACTTACATACAATATGATACGTTTGAAATACACACGAACACACACTTACATACAATATGATACGTTTGAAATACACACGAACACACACTTACATACAATATGATACGTTTGAAATACACACGAACACACACTTACATACAATATGAGATGTTTGAAATATACACGAACACACACTTACATACAATATGAGATGTTTGAAATATACACGAACACACACTTACATACAATATGAGATGTTTGAAATATACACGAACACACACTTACATACAATATGAGATGTTTGAAATATACACGAACACACACTTACATACAATATGAGATGTTTGAAATATACACGAACACACACTTACATACAATATGAGACGTTTGAAATATACACGAACACACACTTACATACAATATGAGATGTTTGAAATATACACGAACACACACATACAATATGAGACGTTTGAAATATACACGAACACACACTTACATACAATATGAGATGTTTGAAATATACACGAACACACACTTACATACAATATGAGACGTTTGAAATATACACGAACACACACTTACATACAATATGAGATGTTTGAAATATACACGAACACACACTTACATACAGTATGAGACTTTTGAAATACACACGAACACACACTTACACACAATATGAGATGTATGAAATACACACGGACACACACTTACACACAATATGAGATGTATGAAATACACACGGACACACACTTACACACAATATGAGATGTATGAAATACACACGGACACACACTTACACACAATATGAGATGTATGAAATACACACGGACACACACTTACACACAATATGAGACGTTTGAAGTACACACGAACACACACTTACATACAATATGAGATGTATGAAATACACACGAACACACACTTACACACAATATGAGCCGTTTAAAATACACACGAACACACACTTACACACAATATGAGATGTATGAAATACACACGGACACACACTAAAAATAGTTATTTTTGAATTTTTTTGTATGGAACCCTCGATGCGCGGGTCCGACTTGCACTCGGCCGGTTTTTGATGTGTAACATCATTCCTCTCGCTTTCCTGCAATTTGTACGAGTGATTTCGTGAAATGGGACGGAAGTGTATAACAACAGAAAGTCGCGAAAGCGCGCGTTATTTGATTTGATTTCAGAACAATGTTCAAATGGCTTATTCCTTTTGTAGGAGGTTTCATTTCTTTTTAATATAAGGTGAGGTTTCAAATGTTACACATCATACACGACTACTGTAAGTGTCGCCGCACGCGGGCCACCGACCACAACCACAAAACGCCGCCGCCGGCATATTTCTTGTAGTTTTCATACATTTAGTATGGACTCGCCATACACGGTATGCCGGTGGCCGCCACACGCTACAAATCGTCGTTGCTCGCTTCTTGTGGCCCGCACCGGCCACTTAATGCGCCGATACAAAACGCCGCCACACGTCACTCGCGCGATTCCCCACCCCTCTCTCCCTTACCTTAGTCGGCCGCTGTCGCGCGCTTCAGCCACTTTAGTAGCCGCTTCTAGCTTCTCGTGGCCGCGTTTGTGGCTGTGGCGTGTGGCCCGTGTGCGGCGACACTAAGGCTCGCTCGTTTTTTATTATTATTGATGTTTTTTTTCCTCAATGGCTTCGCACGGCTTGTGCATTTAGCCAATGTCAAGTGTTAAAAATGTTTACAAATTCTATAGCACTCGTAGTCAAAGTAAGTGGCAGTCAAGTCAATCCTCCTTTCCCTGTGTTTCGGTAAATGTGTGGGGATTTACTGGAACCTCCCCGTGGACTTCTTGAGGGAACGTCGAAAGACACTTTCCGCAATTTTGTTTCACTTGCCAACACTTGTGCATGTTCCCGAACACTTAAGCCCGTATTACAGAATGACAACTAAGTGTTGATCTTTACTTGAGTGCAGTTAGAAAGGGATGTCGCTATGTGCTATATATAGCGACATCCCTTTCTAACTATGCTCAAGACTAGATTCATTACTGAGAATCTTTCTATAATACGGGCCTTAGTGGTTAATAATCCACCATTATTAGACACTAACATCCGCCACAACACAATTTTAACAAGAAAAAGAAAACTGCTAAAGTGACGCTTTCCGATCCCGCCAAAAAGTCCCTTAGGGGCCGTTCAAGTATTACGTAAGCAGATTTATTACAATTATTTACCCCCTCCTCCCCCTTGCCAGCAAAAGTAAGCAAAGCTCTTACCCCTCCCCCCCATGCTTACGTAAACATTGGTGCCTATATGCATTTTTCCTTTAGAATCAGAATACATTCAGTTTTTTTTATTGATTCATAAGTTTTCATGGGCTTCATGAGCAGCAGTACTTCAAAAGGCTTAGTCCATGATGCTGTCGTAATCACCATCTCGACCCCCCACCCCCCCATGTCATCAAAAATAGGCAAAGCAAAGTCCCCCCCTGCCCCCCTATAGTGCTTACGTAATACTTGAACAGCCCCTTATTGATGGTTATCGCACAGGGCCAGATTGCAGTGTCAGGGTCAGTGTCGGTGCTTCTGGACACTCTGCTATGCGCTTTGGGCCCACTGCTGGGCGTGGCCCGCGCCCTGCCAGACATCGCGCCGCCCCCGAGACTGCTGCGAGACACTCTGCACAACGTCGCATACATCATGCCTGGACTCTAAACTCTTAACTCATCGATAGTGTACGATACAACATACGGCACGGGTATTCTACGCCATATCGACAATAAGGCATTCTGTCTCGATACATTTTCGAGTCCCGGGAAAAGTCTCGAGACTCGGACCGGTCCCGGGATTCCCGGGAAAAACGAGACTTTCGAGACTTTGATACTAAGTTTCATACTCAAGGTTTATATAATTAGGCAATTAATACAATATGTTTCAATTGAGTACTTTAATAATCAACTATTAAGATATAATCAAATATATAAGTAAAATTAACATATTTCTTTTTTATAATAGGCACGCAGAAAGCGAAGGGCATTCACAGTGATGTGAGCATTAGAAAAAGCTTTCTCTGCTTCCACGCTAGTAGGGAGGATGGATAACAAATAATTATAGCACTCGATTTAAATCCTTTTCTCTGTCGGCACCAACTATTGTGCTAAGGAACACATCGTAGCTATATAATTCAGACTTTTTATAAAGAAACAATAAGTGAAGTTGTGAACGTAGAGTCCTTTTCATGAAAGAAGTCCCCCAGACGCAGCGCTGTATTCGCGCGACATAATGTTGCCAGTTATGGGGAAAAAATATACATATTTCCCGAATAAGTATTTAGGTAGAGTCCTTTTCATGAAAGAAGTCATGTTACGAACCTGAATACAACCTCAACCACAACCTCCTTTTTTACCTTAAGGTTGATTTTGATACATACGTTGTCATAGTGATATTTTGATTGATTATAATTTTAAAACCTATGTTAAACAAAATACAAGAAAATACTGAAAATTATTCTTTTATTCAATATAATCAACACCTACAATGTCGAGTATCAAAAGTAAAATGCAGCAATGGCTTCGAGAAAAGTCTTTTATTCAATATAATCAACACCTACAATGTCGAGTATCAAAAGTAAAATGCAGGAATGGCTTCGAGAAAAGGGAGTATATTTTGAAGACACCTGGACAAAAGCTGTGCTGCTTGAGCTAATCAAACAAAATAAAGGTCCACCAACATATACTGTGGATGAATTATTGAAAGCTTACAACCATAAAGTGCTTAAATTGCCGCCTTACCACTGCGACCTTAACCCGATTGAAAAAATCTGGAGCCTTTTAAAAAGAAAGGTGGCAGATAAGAACGTGGCCCAAAATCCAAAAGAAATAGTAAGAATAACTGAAGAGGCCTTTGAGTCTATTACGGAGGAAGATTGGACAGCTCAGTGCAAGCATGTGGAACATTTGGAGGAGCAATATTTAAAAAATGCCGGCCTTATGGATGAAGAAATGGACCGAATGATCATATCAACGGCTAGTGATAGTGAAACAGAATCTGATTCTGTTTCCATCCATTCTTCGGACAGTGATATTAGTATGACCGCTGATCATAACTATTCAACTATATAAATTTATTCAAAGTTTTAATGATCCATCGACTCGCCGATGACTCTGAGATGAACATTCCTGGCTCCTCCTCACTTTGCCAACAACTTTTTGTATGATAAGTATTGTGTATATAGGTCTCATCTAAGTATACGATAGGTCTTTTTTCCACAGTGCGATTTCTTCGTATTTTATCCAAATATCTTGCACGCCATGCGGTAATTTCATGACGTTCCATAAGTAGTTTACGTTTGGATTGGCATCGCTTGTACTTGAAACCAATCCTATTTAATATTCTGTGCAATGTTGTAATGCTTCCCTGAAAATTGATGTCTTCTTTCAAAGCGGCCCGTAATTTACCCAATGTAGGTAATTCCTTCTTCACAACATAAAAACTGTGAATTTTTTGCCGGATGGCGCACAAATCGAACCCATCCAAGTCGAACTTTTTCGGATGCGGGCGACTCTTCCCCGGGGTGACAATTTTTTTCGAAGAACTCGCCGCTGTGATACCTTCTTTTGTGATTCTTGTTACAGTTTTCTCTGACACACCTGCAATTAAATTATGAACAATTTATAATAATAAGTAATTATAAGTTTAAAATACCTATTTTATTTCGTTATTATTATATGTATAGATTACATTTTTAAATTTAAGTTACCCAGCTTCATCACGTGTTATTTACTTGTTAAAATTTGTCTTTGAAATAAAAAAAAGTTCATATAATAAAACTCCAATCAATACGGCAATAATTCATAATATGGCAACTCAAAAAAAGTACCTGTTATGGCGGCGACTCTCTTGCGAACATTGTTTAGTGGTATTAGAACACCTTGGTTCTTTTGTTCCGCTTCACAGAACTCTTTCACTTTTAGTATCATTTCTCGAGCCGAACTTTTTACAACTTTTGGCATTGTGAACACACCAAAAAACGCACTTATTGAATTAAAAACTTACAAAAATCTACCACAACAAACGAACTTTATAACATCGATGAACGACAACATGGCCGATCTGTCAAATTTAGTTCCACAAATCACCGCGGGACTTCTTTCATGAAAAGGACTCTATTGTGTTTGAGGTTAGGTTACAATTTCTACAGATTATCCTAACTTTCACTTTACAGTGTTGCCACGTAACCGAATTAAAAAAAATGGTAGTTTAGTAGATTTTTTTAGTAGATTCTCCAAGTCTCGAAAGTCTCGAAAACTGTAGTTGAGGTTTGGAGTCACGAAAATGCAACAAAATCGTCGAGACTCGGAATTTCCGAGACCGAGACTCCCGGGATGGAAGCCCTAATCGACAACGATATTAAATACCCTAAATACACCACGTCCGCTCAAAATGTGTCCCAATCAAGAAGTGCTTGAACACCACTCAAGCACTTCTTGATACACATTCACATGCGGACCGTTGAAAAGTCAACATGCCGTCGAGCTCCGCGAAATAATGCGAAAAAAAAAAATGGTTGCCTGTAAAGTCGGTTTTACGGGCGAAGATTTTACGTGACAACGTCTTTTTCTCGGTAGAATATTTATTGATATGAATATAATTAAATTGCACAATAGGAACAAGGAATTGAATGAAAATAAGAATTGCACAAATTTTAACTATAGAAATATATTTTGTTTACTAAAACATTGTACATGTAAACTTAAACTTAACACGAGAGACTCATCGTAACGTTACCGAGCGTTACACTTTTTCATAAGTGACTCCCAGCCGCAACCTAATTTAAGACGTTGTCACGTCAAAAAATACTTGTAGTGTGTAAAGTGTCGTTTTTTCAATAGGTATTTAATCAATGTTTGTGAATTTAACGCATTTGAAGCAAATGTTGTTCTAATACTTACTAAAAACTGATTTAATAGAAAACATTTGTGATATTCTAGTGCATGGTCGGTGGACCAGTTTCGGTGCGATTTTGTTAGTGTTTGTGTATCTAGGGTATTTAATATCGTTGCATATCGAATGCCAGTTGATCGGTGACGATTCACCGAGAACGCAATATATCGATTTGCCGTTTAATCCAAATTTTAGTGTATAGAGCGCGATTTTCAATAGGTTCGTTTCAATTACAGATACGTGTTAACAATTTGACATATAAATAAAATTTTGCTACTAGAATTCTGGGATTTTTATTATTTCTTAAAAAAAAAATCAATCATGCCTTTAGTAATTGACACATCTATCAATCTAGGCGATCGATTATTTGCAATTGGATCTTATAAAACACCTATCCAATAAATTTTTGACCTATTGGCATAGCAAGCTATTGATCTATCAATTGTTTTTCATTCGATCAAATGGCATGTCCATATATTCGACGTGGCGTAGAAAACCCACAATAAACATTATGTCCCTTATGAATAAACGAATAGTTACGCCGTGTTTTGTTGATATTATTACCTACTAGAATGCCATTTGTTAGCAAAGAGACTCGTAAAGGGGTATCGGTGTTGCTACAAAAAGTTAGGCACTGTTTAAAACCATGTTGAGGCAAAGGGTTTAGCCGGATACGTATGACGAGTCGGCCCCCAAATAGGAATCGATATCGAAACTTATGTTTTAATATTGTCTTGATGTTCAAACACGATTTATGTACTTTTTGCGACCGACTTCCGTTTTGACCTTGAGATAGAGAGCAAAATATCCGTATGCTTGACTATTACTGAATGTGATGTATCTCTGAAGCTAATTAAGATAAAGAAGTGAAACCAACGCGAGGTGTTAGGTTACATTACAGAGTATATTACATATATTTTTTTATAATTTTTAGAATAAAAAATTACATTAAAAAAATAAAAAATAAAAAAATCATATTTTTTTTTCTGAGTTCTCTGTGACTTACAATCACGAAATTTATATATGTTATGCTCCTTTGTGTGCTCTATTACCCATAAAAATTGCGTGAAAAAAAAGTTGGTGCAACACAACGAAAAAAAATTATATGTGATTTCTGTCTTATGGTATATCCCTGTATTATAAAGTGTACATTACATCATTGTTTTTTTTCGCACATCAGCTCGTTTTAAAACATAAGTAAATAGTCTTAAGAGATGGTTTAATAGTTAAACAAAAAAATTTTTAAAAAACAGCCAGTGTTCAATATTAATTATTATTACTTTTTCTTGTCAATCAAAATACAAGAAACAAAATATTAATCATCGTCACTGTTGTAATTAATTACAATCGGAACACTTTCAGTCGCAAATAACTTAGTTAGGACCTCAGCAGGACGTACGATTCTGGACAAATATCGTCCATATGATAGATAATAAATAATAGCTGCTACATGAGAACAGCATCCCACTGTACGTTCGCCATTGGGGCAATCACAGCAATAACGTAGAATACTATTGTAGTCATTACCTTCGGAAATATAGTGAATGTAAATTCGATAGACTTTTCTATTTATATGTCTTGATTTCACTTCTGCTTTGATGATATTAGGTGCTGATTTCACATATTGTACTGAGAGATTATTTTGATCGTCCATTATTTCGGCCAAGTAAGATATAGCTTGTGAAAATTGATATGAGCCTGTGAATAAAATCTTGAGCTGATCTTCAGTTAAACGTGGAAAATCAAGTAGTTCAGATGCCGTTAAACATTTCAGTGTAGTTTTTTTTCGGTTCCAACGCTGACTTTGTACTTCTTGACTCAAAGTATTTTCCATGTCCATTCTACTTTTCATATATTGTACTATAATGTCACTTAAATTACCGTCCGAATTAAGTCTTTTCACATAAGTGTTGTGCAGAAAACCAATAATTTTACATAGCAGTTTCAACTTTGGCAACATCTTATTATCGACAGAATGATGTAAAAGTTTATACTTTTGGGCAATATTACCGTGAACAGCTTCTACTACCCACCTGATTTTCGTAATATTTCTTGATATATTAGCTTCTTCTGTACTGAGTTGAAGTTTATTACCTTTAAAAGCCGGCATAAGAACGTTGAAACCCTTGTCATTCAAGAACTCTACGACATCTCTAAATCCGCGATCTACAATAAATGTATCATTGGGTAACAAAAGTTTTTTTAGGCCTGAAGGATTCTCTAAAATAACTTTCATAATTGAAGCATCATTTAGAGTTCCGTAAAAAGGTCCAGCAAAATCAACGACAAAACCATTCGTCGTACATATTGTAAATGGCTTACATAAGTGTGTTTTCTTTTGTCCTGAGTACGATTTTCTTTGATAATAATTATTTTCACTTTTTTGGTGTCGTACATATGTACCATCTACAATTAGTACAAGCTGATTTTCATTGACATTTAATAATTTTCTTGCAGTATCACTGGTGTTCGCTATAAGTTGCTGTCGAGAAACAGCGTTATATCCAAAAGAGTACGGTAAAATGTCTTTTTCAAAACTTGTCATTATTTGCGTGAAATATTCTGAAACTTGTTGGCCGTAAGGTAAACCAAAAATACTTGCGATTGTTTCATTTGAATTGCCGGTCTTTAGTTTAAACAGGAATATAATTAAAGCTTGAGTAACAGACCGCGTGCTTGTATCTCGCATAGATGTAAGTAATGATCTTAGATTTAATATATTTTCCCAAGATAATCCAGTTAAAGTCTTTACTTGATCTTCAGACATATCTAATTCGTTCATTCTATCAAATATTGATGACTGTGATTTATTTGACAGCGTATTGAAAAATAGTGTCAATTCAGTTTTTTCTATGTTACTAGTATTAGAGACTGTGCGGAGACGTAATAAATCATCTTCATAAAAATATTTTCCAATTAAGTGCATCGAACAGCAACGATCACCTTTTGGTATGAAAATCTGTTTTTTAATAAACAATTGTATTCGTGTCTCCAAACATATTGTCTTGAGATCAGTTGTTTTTCGACATATAATGCAATACTTGTGAGTAGATGCAACACGTTGAAATGGAACTTCAATATAATCATCACTCAGATGGTATTTATATGTAAAATCACTGTCACTACTGTTATCAGAATCTTCAGAGTAAACGTAAGTTTCTTCCGGCACTTCTCTAGTCGCTAATTCTTCACCAGGTTCTTTTATGCTTAAAGATACCTCGTTAAATGCTGCACATTTAGAAGTAGAGGCTTTTTTTTTAACATATGGGAGAAGTCGACACTTCTTACAAAAAATATCATTAACTATCACGGTTTTATTCAAACAGTCACTAAACACCTTAGCTTCTTCTTCATTCTTTATAATTTTTTTATAACCAGGTATCTTACACAGGTACTTGTTACAATTTTTACACTTTCTCGACATTATTACTTAACAATGATTTGGTTCGATAGTTAATAATTTCAAAATGCTGATACAACAAAATACCTATGACAGAATTTGAGTCACAAACTGCCTCCTTATGTAATACAAATGACTGCGATTTTAGCTAAACAAACGATACAATAAACAGCGCGATAACAAGTTCGAACTTGTTTGTTTACAATTTTGCCCGCGCGTGTCAAATAAAGTCATGTTTATACACTCACACTACAAGGCGCGAATCACATATAATTTTTTTTCGTTGTGTTGCACTAACTTTTTTTTCACGCAATTTTTATGGGTAATAGAGCACACAAAGGAGCATAACATATATTAATTTCGTGATTGTAAGTCTCAGAGAACTCAGAAAAAAAAATATGTTTTTTTTATTTTTTATTTTTTTTATGTAATTTTTTATTCTAAAAATTATAAAAAAATATGTGTAATATACTCTGTAATGTAACCTAACACCTCGCGTTGGTTTCACTTCTTTATCTTAATTAGCTTCAGAGATACATCACATTCAGTAATAGTCAAGCATACGGATATTTTGCTCTCTATCTCAAGGTCAAAACGGAAGTCGGTCGCAAAAAGTACATAAATCGTGTTTGAACATCAAGACAATATTAAAACATAAGTTTCGATATCGATTCCTATTTGGGGGCCGACTCGTCATACGTATCCGGCTAAACCCTTTTGTAAGACATTTTTTTCTCAAACTCGTGTTCAACGCTTATGTAACATTTTTTTGGTACTAAAGAGATACTTACACCGTGTATTTTGTGTAACCTGAGAATCTTTTGGCGAAGGAAGCGAACACTTTTAAATGGTAAACGTTGGTACGATGTTTATAACCCCCATACAAAAATATTTATTTACTTATATCGTTTACAAAATATCTTAAAACGGCGAAATTTTTGTAAAGAACGTACTTACATATTATGGAATTATTATCCGTTTAAAGTACGTACAACCTGAAGGTACATAATTTTATTAATTAATGACATGGCAATAGACAATTAATATAAGAAAACTGTTTTGTTTCATTATTAAGGAAAATGAGTTTTGTGCTATAATATAAGAGAATATGTATTTGTGTCTTTCTTACCAAATACAATAAAAATTTTAAAGAAAAAGCAAGCTTGTTTTATTTCAAAGGGAATACGAGTTCCATGGGATATGTATCAGTTACCAGAGAAAACAAAAAAATACTTGTGGCACTCAGGGACTGCCGCGGTAAAGCTATTGCACAGCATTATTTATCAACTTATGCAATTATAATTATTTATTTTATTTATGCAGTATTTTTAACAGGTGCTGGGGTCTAAAACAAATATATAAAAAAAGGAAAAAAAAAAATATAATAAAAAATACGAGTGCGGGACTTGAACCGACGACCGCGGTGATGTGTCGAACGTTGGTCCCGTGGCAAAAATTTAACACACTGCGCCGTTTCGGCCGATACTGGAAAGGCGAAAAATGTGTTCATATGCACTGTTGTCAGGTTATTTTCGTTATGGAATTTCTTGATTCGGTCGCCGCGCTCAAAGCCCGCGATAAAATCTATGCAATAGCTTAAAAAAAACAGACATTGCTCCTTCTGAAAGAAAACTTTGAGGCATTTGAAAAGGAAATGAATTTCATGTAATAGATATTAGTGGAGAATGTGATTTTGGGTCATTCTACTTTTAAAACACTAACACTACAATGATTATAATAAAAAAGAAAAATCAATGGGACATTTTTAGTATTCTTGAAAATTCACAAATTATTTACACACAACTACTTATTCTTATAATATTGTACGCTACTTAATCTAAACAAATAACTTAAGTCAAGTCTTGGCAATAATGAAGATTACATAATGACAGATTCAGCAATCATCAATACAGCTTTGATGCTTTTATAAAGAACACAAATAGTTCAAGATCAAATAACAATTTCACGGCAACACTTCATTCGTAAAACTACATATGAACAAAGATAAACTCAAATATCACGGTTTGTCATGAATGTTATTCATTTTATCCCCATTTGTTATTAAGAAAAGGATAACAATACAGCTCAGCCGTTGTAGAGAGAAAAGAAAACGCTGTCTGTTGCCAAGCGACGCGAACTCGCCGTTTCGCTCGCGCTCCGTTGAAGCGTGCAGTTGTGTTTCGCTCGCTCGATCGAACGTATATTTGCGTGCGTGAGCGTTGCATAAGTAGTTGAGTCGGAGCATATTTAATTTGATGCTAGTATGAGCGTACCGTATCTTCCCTTTTTGTTTTAATCTAAGATGAGATGCTATAGCATTGAAATGAATTTCATGTTGAATGTTCTATAGAAGATACAAATTAAAAGTACGTAATTTATTTTTTCCTTTCCATAATTATATTGAAATTTCAGTCTTTTGTCATTAACCAGTTAACTACCCTCGTCTTTTTACAATAGGGTTTTTTTGTTTGGTTATTTTTTAGTGTACTTTTTTAAAGAAAAACGGTATTAAAATCGATCATAAAGTAGGGCAGCAATTTGTATTTAAAACAACTATGACAAGGAATGTGATAGAAGCAGCTTTCTATCTCTCTCGCACTCGTGGCACTAACGGCAGTCACATCATTAATATTTTATTTTTAAATAGTATCCACATGTGGAGATCCTTATGGGAAGGCCTATGCTCATCAGTGGGCATCGTACGGCTGAGATGATAATATGATGGATGAAAAAGTCCAGTCAACTACCATATTGCTAAAGAATCTAAGTTTGATAGGATGTAAATTATGAACGGAAAGGTTTGAAGGAACATTTTTGCTTCGTGTCTGCAGCTTTCTATAAGTTAAATCTGATTTTTTCCTTACTTTTAGTCATTTACTAAACAATTTTCACACAACTTTTTATTAAAATAAAATGCAAGCTATCGCATACACTATAGTAAGTGATAAATACCAGATAGAATTTGAATTAACATGATTTTCGGGTATGTCAAAAAGTTGTGTAAAAATTGTTTACAACTAACTGTTTACAGAGAATAATATTCGAAATTCTGACTTGAGAAGACATAAATTTACGTGCCAACATTTTATTTGTAACGGTTATATAAAGTTTAACATAATTATCTTTTTTTAGTATATCGACAATAACCTTCATATGAACATCTTCATAATTCCTATTGAAATAATATTAAACTGAATTTTTCATTAATTCAGTTCAAATATTACTTGCTTTATTATTTGCAATAGGCAAATGCTAACATAAATCACAACTCAATTAATTCATTGCCTGGGTTATATGGTTTAAGATATTTATTTCTCAAAAGAGAATACAAAAAAATCACTTACATGAGAAAACAAAAGAATAAGTTATACGAGTATAATGACTGCACATGAAATTATGGTCATTAAATAAAACGTCTAACTTCAGAATTAGCAAGAGTTACAAATTATTAACCTTTTCGGCTTTTTCACAAAGCTAAGAAGTTATTTTTTTTTAACTTCCAAATTTGCAAACACAATATTGGCACCTAATTTTTTGTCACTTAACAATGTTATTTTCGCTTTTTACATTAGAATTTTTACAACAACCGTCCTCTACAATTGGGGGCGCCACAGTAGCAATATAAAATCTTGCCAGGTACGGAACCGACGTCGTAATTATAGTTCCACGTGAGTTCGGTGCCAGCTTTTATGTGGCATAAAGCGAAAAATGCTACCCAAGGGAAGCGTGGGTCGTGAGTGTCCACGAAAACGTTTTGCACAAACACGTTTGGTTGGCAGGAGTGCTGGAAAAAAAGAGATAAGTTCATTTATAATATATTTCATTATAAAGAAATGTTTACTAGAAAAAAATCCACGCGGACCAGGCAGCAGACGGGACACGAACCCGCACGTCGGTCATAGGATGGGTGACCAAAAATTTACTACCTCGAGTTCCTCCGTGTTTCCAAAGGCACGTTTAAGCCGTCGGTCTCGGCTGCATCTGCAGTCGTTTGCACCCACCAATCCGCACTGGGACCACGTGGTGGATCACGGCCTAGTCTCCCTATTCCATCCATAAGGCCTGTGCCCCAGCAGTGGGGACATTCATAGGCTGGTGCTGATGATAAGATATATATAATAATATGAACCTATATCACACTAATATTATAAAGGCGAAAGTTCGTGAGTGTGTATGTTTGTTACTTCTTTACGTTTAAACGGATGACGCGATTTTATTAAAATTTGGTATGAAGTTAGATGACATTCTGGATTAACACATAGGCTACGTTTTACTGCGGGAAAATATCGCTAATTAACCGCGGGTATCACCACGGGGCACAGCTGGTAAAATATACTTACATTAAGATATCGTCCAATGTTCCCTTGAACCTTAGCGTCCATAATGTAGCAAGCCTCGTCCTTTCCAAAGTACGAACGAACCGAACTGAGGACAAAACATAACATGTTTTTTTATACAGGGTGTTACAAAAATACAAATAAAGCTTGAAGGGCGTTGAAGTACATCATATAAGGAGTCTTCTCTAATTTTCTTAAATTTTTTGCATGAAGTTTTAACTTTTTATAAAAACAGTTATTTTTAGTGATTAATAAAAATATCGATCATTTTAAGACACGTCGCTAGTTCGAGGATCATTCCTGTACCGACATCGTTCCTGTATCAAGTTGTCATTTTAACGCGGGATTTTTTGTAACTGAAATAGTTCGCAAGTTCATGCGCAAACTTTCTCAAAACTGTGGTTTTCGGTAAATTTACTCTTTTTCTAAATTTAAAATTATATTTTTTATTTAACTTAATTATTTTTGGGCAAAAACATCCATTTGTGTATTCAGTATGCTAATGGTGATCTGTTATAAGGGTTACTTAACCCCAACATGGCTTAAAATGAGTTTTTTTCACAGAGAAAATTCAACGAGCTAAAGTAACCCTCTTTAAGGCCAACTTAGGCCCAAAATTAAAAAAATATATATTAACCCTTAAATATTATTTTTTCCTATTTTCGTATGATAACTTTGTAACTTATACTTTAAAGTTCAAAATGGAAAGATATAAACGTGACATATTCATCACAAAGAGAAGCTACAATTTTATTTGAAAAGAAAGTGCACATTTTAGGTCAAAGTAACCCGCAGTTACTCGGTACTGTACATATATAAGTATATTTATATAGAAAATACATGTTAAACATCCATGACTGGAGTACAAATGCCCGTATTCATCACACAAACATCTGCCCCCACCGGGATTCGAACCCGGGATCTTTCGAGTCGGCGACACCATGAAACCCGGCGTACAAACCACTCGGCCACGGAGGTCGTCAAAAGTATACACTTAGATTTGAATTTCCCGGAATCGCGGGATTTTTTTTCAATAAAAATGTGTTTTACACAATAGCCAACATATAAACTTTTAGATAAATATGCATCTGATCATCCGATCTCTACTAATGAATGTCACTGCACCATAGGTTTGCATGGTAAAGACGACTTTAAACTCACCTATATTTAGATTTGAATTCGCTCGACTCCATTCCGGGCTGGGCCATAAATCGTGACGGTTCGCGCACTGTAACAATAAAATCAACATTATTTTCATAAATTCAATGATATTTATAGGTGAAAAAATTAGTGTGCACGGAGTACACATCTGAAGTGAAACTTCTGTTCTTAAATGAGCTAACATTAGGCGGTGCATAAGGCATAGAGCAGCGTTTCCTAACCTTTCCAACACGGCTACCCCTGTAACCTATTCGGAAAACAGATTTTACCCTGACTTTAAAATGTTATCATCTGTCCAAGAAATTCCAATTTGGCCGCTACATTTTCGTCTCTAATAATGTCATCATCAGGAGAAAATCTCGCCCTGCTTCCCACACTCAGGACCCCGCGGTCTCGCTAGCAAGAAGGAGCGCATTCTCTATTTAGTAGTATTATTATATAGTATTTTCTTATTATTTAGATTTGACCAAATAATTTGGTTCGTTGTTACCCCCCAAGTATGGCTAATTTACCCCCCGGAGGGGTAATTACCCCCAGGTTCGGAACCCAGGGCATAGAGGAATGGAGTAGATTTTTATAGTCGCGTGCGCGGTTCGCGCGACGCTCGTAGTGTTTTAATTCGTAGCGTAGCGAACCGGAGTCGGGGTCAGAGGCAGAGACGTCACAAGAGAGACGTTTTTCATTGAAAAACAATTAAAAACACCATACAGTGAACTTTAAAATTTTCATTTTAATTATACAATAACCTTTTTCATTTAAATTAAATTACCAAAAAATATATAATGAGATTCGCATATAAAATACATTACTTTATTTTTTCGAATATAATTGACTTTCACTACACTTTTGTAACGTGTCAAAACGGCCATCATCATAACATCATTGCAAAATATAGCCACAGCTTTTCGGTGTCATATGTAACGATTGAAATCTTTGCTTAATACCCTTTATTTGCAAACAAGAAAGGGACAGCATTAAGTTTGAACAAATCATGATGATGAACCAACCTTCTTCATCATCGCTGATGGTGATGCAGTCGTCTTCTGCCTTCGACGCTGGTTCCTTCTCCTTCTGCTTCGCTTCTGCGTTCTTTTGCTTCTTCTTCTCGCGTTTGCGTAACCGTTTGCTGTTGAAAAATGAAATTATTTATCACAGAAACTTATTTAATATATTTATATTATAACAGAAAATTTAACTATTAATAAACAAGAAATAAACATAGATAGAAATGAATTTCTATTAAATTCAATAACATAATGGTGTAGAGCCTGGCATGATTCTCTAAACCTAAAATTAAATTAGACAAGTCTCTCCTTCTCTTCCTGTATAGAGAATGACAAGGATACACAGTTTTCGAATTTAAGTTTGGTTATCATGCCAGAATCAAAACCAAAGCATTAATAAATAATAAATAAATAAATATTTCCAACACTCACACCAATTAGCCTAGCTCCAAAGTAAGCACTGTATGGCCTTTGTTAAGGGATACTAGGGTAACAGATAGAATATACTGATACATATATAAGTATGTTTATATAGAAAATACATTTTAAACTACCATGACTGGAGTACAAATGCACGTATTCATCACACTAACATCTGCCCCCACCAGGATTCGAACTCGGGACCTCTCGAGTAGGCGTCACCTTGAAACCCGGAGTACATACCATTCGGCCACGGAGGTCGTCAATCGTCATTATTAGCTACGTTTTACAAATTAATAGTTCTGATTCGAAATGATCCTATTGGATAAGATATCATAGACAAAGAGATAAGACTGAAACTGGACAAATAAGTGTGTTTTAAACTTTCATGGTCACTAACATTATAGATATTAACGAGATTGTTACCATGTACCTTGTTTTTTATGAGTCTCTGATATTTCGGCACTGTTGCAAGCGCCATGATCACGGAGTAACTGAAGTAATTGCGGGTAGATGTAGGCCTACCCTTGGTTTACCCTCTGATGTCGTCTTTTACTGCGTTCGATACCTCTACCACTGGTCACATTCTCACTATCCACTCGCATTTGTTCCCGGCACACAATACTCACAGTATCAGATCGCGGAACGACATTTTTTTGATGATTGCGGTTTTTACACATACGAACCACTGGATTCCACACACTAGACAACTTAAACCCATCCTCACGATTAAAATTCTTGTGTTTGGTTATTTCAATCGCTTCCCTGACCAATCTTGGTATGTAGTGGCGTTCTGTCGAGATAATTTGTGGATTATGGAGCTCAATCCAGTGATTAGGACCCGAATCAATTAAAAAACAAGGTACATGGTAACAATCCCGTTAATATCTATAAAATAAGTGTGTGTCGTGCGGTCTATAGTTCGTCCATGTATTGGCTGATTTTTCTCTCTTTCTAGACAGTTATCATGCGAGTGTCGATCAGTTCACTCTTCTATTTGTCTATGTCACAAACATGTCAAATTGATGACCTCTTTTTTTAAGTCGGTTAATTAATCTCACCTGAACTTAGCAACGCCCTGTTCATTCCTATATCGGACCGAAAATTATCGTCTGGTCAAATAAATAACCTGTATTTGAAGTCGGTTAACTCACCTGAACTCAGCAAAGCCCAGTAATATTCCCCTTCAGAGCCGAAAATTGTCGTCTTGTCAAACTGATCACCTGTTTTTTTTTAAATTGGTTAATAAATCTCACCTGAACTCGGCAACGCCCAGTCCTATTCCTATTCCGGGCTGAAAATCGTCGTCTTCCTGGTCGTCCCGGGCCGAGTCCTCTTCTGCCGAGCTAGATAACTCTCCCGATTCGCTCTCGTCAGATTTTGCCGAGTTTTTCTAATGAAAATAACATATTTTAAATCAAAACTAAGTGATACTAAAAATAATAAACAAATAAATAAATATTTCCAACACTCACACCAATTAGCCTAGCCCCAAAGTAAGCACTGTAAGGCGTGTGTTATGAAATGCTAGGGTAACGGATAGAATACATATATAAATATATTTATATAGAAATTTACTAAACATGCATGACTGGAGTACAAATGCTCGTATTCATCAGACAAACATCTACCCCCACCGGGATTCGAACCCGGGACCTCTCAAGTAGGCGACTAGAATAATATTAATATTGTTGTATTTTCACTAAGTAGCTATTTCGTAAAAAGGTCTATTTCTGTTTTTTCCGTTTATTCTTTCTCCCGTTTCGTCCAGAATTTATGTCCCACATCGTTCGTTATAAAGTACTTTCCTTAATTATTATTAAACAATAATAAAGTTAAATAAAATTCAAATAACAGAACTGTGAATCTTATAACTTTTAAAAGACTGCAACAAAATAGCATATTTAAAGTCTTTCTTCTTACAATCTAATTTTTCTATTTAGAAAATCCTCAGGAAGCTACCAAAAATTAGATAACCTGGTGTAGTGTGTCTACAGTATATGAGAAGAGTGCCACATAATTGTAAGGGAAAGTTAATGTACGGAACAAACCTAATGATAGTTGTTCTAACACTGTTTATTTCCATGTAATTTCTATATTGTAAAATAATAGCGTCAGCATATTGCTAAATACCGCGCGTAAATGACTTATACATAATTGTTTCTACGTGACCTAAATTAATACTATCGTCACTGACTGAACATATTATTTATTACCTAAACTGTACGATTACTCGTACACCCGGTTTTTGTATTGAAATCTAAATTAGTCAATTTATTTATCTATTTACTAGCGGCCCGCCTTCGCTTCGCTTCGGTATAGAGCTTAAGTGTAGACTACAGTTTGAGAGCAGGCTTGTATAATATACAATGACATTCATCTATGATTCTTCTTATACCTGCATGCAAAGTCTCAGCCCGATCGGTTTAAAATTGACAAGTTTCATACAAACTTTCATTCCCTTTTTTATCCCCTTGGGGGTAGAATTGGTCAAAATCCTTTCTTAGCGGACGCCTACGTCATAACGTCTACCTGCATGCCAAATTTCAGCCCGATCCGTCCAGTGGTTTGGGCTGTGCGTTGATAGGTCACTATGTCAGTCAGTTACCTTTGAGTTTTATATATATAGATTATAACTTACCCTGTCGAGTTTCTTATCAGCCTCAGGGATGTCCTCCTCGTAACCCTCCTTCATTTGTTCCACCACTTCTATGTAGTCCAACTCGGCTAAATATTCATCGCCTTCGTTCAAACCATCCTGACAAACGGAAAACAAAAATAAATAAAAATAAAATATGGTAGGATTCAAATTTAATGAATATAAACGTAGGATGAATTCTTCAGTGGAAAATCCACGGACACTAGTGGAAGCCTGCAGCAACATCCGGGGACTGTTGGGTTTTCTAGAGGAGCTGGGTTGGCAGGACTGTTGCTGTTCCTCACAGCAACATCCGGGGACTGTTGGGCTTTCTGGAAGAGTTGGGTTGGCAGGACTGTTGCTGTTCCTCACAGCAACATACAGGGACTGTTGGGCTTTCTGGAGGAGCTGGGTTGGCAGGACTGTTGCTGTTCCTAACAGCAACATCGGGGGACTGTTGGGCTTTCTGGAGGAGCTGGGTTGGCAGGACTGTTGCTGTTCCTAACAGCAACATCGGGGGACTGTTGGGCTTTCTGGAGGAGCTGGGTTGGCAGGACTGTTGCCATTTCTCACTCAAAATAGGCGCATATTGTCGAGTTGCTTAAGGATCCCGCCGTACTACTAAGACTAAGTAGGATGAATTCAAACTTAATGGATGTAATGCCAGCACTCCAGTTCATCATCACCAGCCTATTAATGTCCCCACTGCTGCGGCACAGGACTTTCTTATGGATGAAATAGGAAGAATGGACATTAATAGGCTGATGATGATGATCAATAGTTGACACTTTTTGGAAATATGTTCTATATGGTTAATTATTGTTCAATTAGACCGCAAAAAATGTATTGTATCTTTTTTTACCTAGAAAGCTACAAAACTTTAATTTTAAAATAGATTTTTTATGGACATACAAAAACGCTGTCGGCCATTTTAGTCTATAGATTATCTATGGTATGACGGGAACAAAATAGTAAACAAACACTCGCAAGCACGTAGGATATAACCTATCTGAAATTACATTACAAAACCATGATTCCTAATAGATTTCATGATAAATATAGTAATTATCATGATTGTATTATACGAGAATAAAGAAACACATCGTTAAAGACTCCAGAAATGTTGTGGTTTCAATTTTTAAGGTTATGAATGTACCTGCTAAGTCAAAGAGTTTTGTCGTTTCTGCTTTCACAAATCCGGCGTCCAGCATTAATTTAGTCAAGAAAACCAATAAACGGAAACTTTTCTTCAAGATATAAGAGTTTTTAGATTTATTTTAGTCGGACGAAAGAAACCGACAATGACGTTTAGTTGTTTGCTATTATGTTGACGTCACAATCATGGTAGACAGCGTTTTTAGTGTTTATAAAGTATAGATTACAAAACTATTTTTCAAATTAAATTACTACAGCCATCTTCTAATTTTATGAATTGAAATCGATGTATTTAGGTTCCTCATACCAAAAATTATAAGAAATAAACATCAATTTGTTTAGTGCAATTTGACATGAGTCAACTAGCCTATTATGAAGATCACATGAGATCCTAATCTGTGCTAATGGAGTCAAATTGGTATGGCAAGGATCTCATGGTGGCAAATTGCTATGGCAACGGCTTCAAAACGTGAATTAATATGATATTTTAGTTGTTTGAGTGACCACAAGAGGCGCTGTCCATTTTCCCGTACAAATCGGTTACGTTATCGCTAGCGAGTATGGAATTTTAAAAATTCATGGTAGAACTACAGTTCCATAATATTAATAAGACTGCATAGCTCCAAAAAATCTTAAATAATATGCCTAAATAAATATACAACACTCACCATATTGGCCGTAGCATCTGTCAGCAGATTTCCTGCGTATACGCACAGAAATGAGCCTTTGGGTACATCGTTTAAGGCGCGAATACCCCATCCACGGTTTAATGTTTTGAACACCTGAATAGAAAGGTGATATTGCTATTCAAGGGGGTGACAGAGCCACAAGGTTCTAATATAAAGTTAGTGAAGCTATTATAATATTTTAGTTACTCCGTGATCACAGCGCTTGCAACAGTGCCGAAATATTAGGGACTCGCAAAAAACAAGGTACACGGTAGCAATGCCACTGATTACGTAAATAACTTTATAAAGTTTTTAGAAATTTGACTTAAAACTATGACATTTTAATCACTTTTAACAGCGGATTAGAATTTTTATCGTTTCTTGTGGGTAAATCTTCATTCAATTAAACAAATCTTTAAAACTGGCAAGATATTTAACAAAATCATTTAAAGTATTATTTTTATTTTTTTAAGCATTAACTTCTAGATGTTTCAATCTACAGAAAATTTGGTTAGAAAATAATCCATTTGAACCAGGCAACAGACGGGACTCGAACCAGCACCCTCCGCTATCCGGGCGAATGCACTGACCCTTATGCTACCGCGTCCCTGATGGCCGTGTCGAATTTCTCATTTAAAGGTAACAATCAATTAACCGAACTTTTAAACAAAACCCCCTTTAGCATGAGCGTCATATTATTATGATTTACACTTTCGAACACATCTATTGGCCCACCAATCATTTTGAAGTCCTCATCAACCATTTATTTCGTGTATTTTTAGAAATAATTATTATTCAACCAAACATATATTTTTGCTTCAGACCTTTTACACTAAGAAACACGTCATATGCTAGTTTTACACGAAACTTGTAGAATACTTGTTTAAAACATTATTTCGTTTACACTGCATAGACAATGCATATTTCGTTTATCCAACAAGATTGATGTAAGTATTGTATACTATATATATTAAAGCTATGCCATGTGTAAACGAGATGTGTAAGGAAGAGTAACTGTTACGGAAGCTTTTTTCAAATTATAAAACGCTGGTATTCATTTTTAAATAAATAATAAAAAATGATATTGGCGATGAACTGACCTGAAGTTTGAGCTGTAGCGGGTGCTGCGCGACTCGATTCAGGCACGTGTGTTTGCATTTGCATCTAAAAAAATAAACAGTTTCTTTAAAAAATACAGCCTTTCTGAGTTTGTTTACATCCAAAGTTTGGTTCTTCGAGCCTAAATCGAGCATAAATTAAATAACGAAGTTTTCTACATACCTCGAGTTGCATTCGTATATTCCAGAAGGCAAAGGCTCCGGTAACCGTTTGTAAACGTATCCAACGTTCGTGTCGTCGAGTCCGATGGTACGAGCGCCCTCTAGCGTCATCCGCCAGCAAGCGCATTTACTTTTATCCTACAAAGAAATGAGAAAATCATACTTATGTGGCAGCGACATCTTCATGCCCCACATATAACTAACATGGAGGAAATAATCTTACGCCTCTTCAAGAGATGGTGTTACCGGCGTTGCGCTCGCAACGTATGGAAGCCTAAATCGCGCAAGTAAAATTCGGAGGCTAGCACTAGATACATACGATGCATGACCAACATTAGTTGGGGCGCGGCCCCCGAACTCCTATCATCCAGCGCGGAGGACTCTTCCTCTTTAGCCTTCCTACACTTATTTCAAATTGACTTCTCTAAAGGTCTTTTGAATGACCCAATATTTTTTCCTAATGATTTTCAATCAAAACCTCACTGTAGGTATGTCATTCAGGTCATTCTATATAGTCATTTTATACAGCTCCTGTAAATTTAATTTTGTTCGCCAGCTCCTCATATTAGATATATTTATTCTTTACAATCATACAAACACACTAGTATTTCTTCATAATAATATCAGTATTAAAAGTGTATTATTTTTATATATGTATCGCCTGGTCTGTGTAAATGGCAGATTTCTGCCACGTGTTGAGAAAATTATTTTCATATTTTGCGTTTTATCATATTAAGTAATGGTTTTTAAATTTACACATCTAATACATAGATTAGTTTGTAGAGATTTTTTTCAGGATTGATGTAAGACATAAATGTAGCGTGGATGTACAGTAGTAGAACTGGAATAATAAGAGGAAAATCTGCCGAAAAATAAAAATGAAATCTAGCCGTTGAAAACAAAATGGATGGCTAACACAGATAGGGTTTTGAGCTTAGAGGTATAAGAATAGAGTGGCGAAGGCGGCTTTAAAAGTGTCCGTCTATTAGAAAGAGAAAGAAGATGAGAGACCGCTAGCTATCTCTCTCTCTTGTGACGCATGGCATCCAATGGCATCACATCGAAATAGTAAGATGCTTACGGTCCCCAATGCGCATGCGCGATTAGAGAGAGAAAGCTAGCGATCTCTCATCTTTTTTCTCTTTCTATTAGAGGGACACTTCTACTTGTAGTAGAGACTATATCTCCCCTACCCTATTCTTATACCTCTATGGTTTTGAGCGTCATATTGCTTACATATTTGAGGGGGTATGTACAAATATTATGAACTAATTAATAGCGGTAATTTTAAAGAATAAAAATTGGGTGTCAAACGTTATTTTTTTAACATACAATTTATGTTAATAAAGTTACTGACCTCACAGTCGTCCGTACAATCGCAGCCGCACAAGAACTCGGGGTCCAAGTTTAACGGCACCCCTGCTGTGGGGGTCCGTTCTGTGTTGTATGAACAAAACTCTGGTAGAGATTCGTCGTAGTAATTCACGCACGGCACGGGCACGTTCTCTTTGCCGTGTGAGAGGTCCTGTTAGAGAATATAAATAGATAAATAAATACCAGACATATATTTAATTTCGTAAGCATTTAACTGCTTGATGTTCAAATGTAAAGGAAATTTTACTAGAAAGAAATCCACGCGGACCAGGCAGCAGACGGTACTCAAACCTGCACCCTCCACTATCCGGGCCAATGCACTGACCATTATGCTACCGCGGCCCTGATGGCCGTGTCGAATTCTTTCTAGTTTTTGTTAGGCTGCAAGGCAACGCCACCAAAAATATGTGAAGTAGATAAGTGATTTAGACTTATAAGATACTAGTTATCTATGCAGTGTCAACGAAATAATGTTTTAAACAGCCACATGTATTCCACAAGTTTTGTTCAAAACTAGTATATGACTTGTTTCTTGGTGGAAACAAGGGGTTAAACGCCTATCAACGCGATAAGACACATCCCGTTAAATTGCAAATTAACAGTGGCGGGGCAAGACCTAAATTTGATGTGGGCAAGACAGATTTCGCGAGGCCCTGTTCTGTGGCGAACTGAGTCGGATTTTATAAAATAATAAAAAAAAAGAAATTCGCTTTTAAGCAATGCATAAAATTTTTTGAGGCGCGAGGCCGTAGGCGGTGGCCCACGTCACCCACGCCTTACGCCACCTCTGCAAATTAATTCTCACCTTCTTGCCCACGAGGCAGGTGTTGAGCACGAACTCGGCCAGACAATGTGTGCTGTTGTCGAAATCGAACAGATCGCAGGGCATGTCGGATTGTATGGCGCGCAGGTAGCGGTGCAGCTCGCGCATGTTGCGTAACCGGCGACCGCACGGGGCGCGGTACATCACCTCCTTGTGGCCTTTGAAACGGACTATTTGCCTGCGAGAGGGGAGAAAACGCCTTATATTTTACCTGAATGAACTTTTAACAACAAATATCTCTACTAAATCCTAGGTAAGGCCAGGACTACCATCGGGGCGCGGTACATCACCTCCTTGTGGCCTTTGAAGCGGACTATTTGCCTGCGAGAGGGGAGAAAACGCCTTATATTTTACCTGAATGAACTTTTAACAACAAATATCTCTACTAAATCCTAGGTAAGGCCAGGACTACCATCGGGGCGCGGTACATCACCTCCTTGTGGCCTTTGAAGCGGACTATTTGCCTGCGAGAGGGGAGAAAACGCCTTATATTTTACCCGAATGCACTTTTAACAACAAGTATCTCTACTAAATCCTAGGTAAGGCCAGGACTACCATCGGGGCGCGGTACATCACCTCCTTGTGGCCTTTGAAGCGGACTATTTGCCTGCGAGAGGGGAGAAAACGCCTTATATTTTACCCGAATGCACTTTTAACAACAAGTAGCTCTACTAAATCCTAGGTAAGGCCAAGAGTACCATCGGGGCGCGGTATAACCTTCTTGTGGCCTTTGAAACGGACTATTTGCCTGCGAGAGGGGAGAAAATCATTCACTGTCATATATTTAAAAGCCATAGGGAATGTCATAAGCTTTCCCTAACCAACTGTAAATTAAAACTGACAAGATACCCAAACGTGACAGAAATGAAGCGATGGAGCAGCTTATAGTACCTACATATTTGACTATATTCCTCTCTTTCTAGAGAGTTCAAATGAGAGTCGATTTATTTATCTTCTAAGTTAGCGCTTGTTTTTTTTCTTAATGGCTTTGCACGGCTTGTGCATTTAGCCAATGTCAAGTGTTAAAATGTTTACAAATTCTATAGCACTCGTGATCAAAGTAATAAATCAAGTCAAAGTAAGTGGCAGTCAAGTCAAACCCCCTTTCCCTATGTTTCAGCCAACACTTGCCAACACTTGTGCATGTTCCCGAACACTTAGTGGTTAATAATCCACCATTATTAGACACTAACATCCGCCACTACACAATTTTTAACAAGAAAAACAAAACTGCTAAAGTGACGCTACCCGATCCCGCCTAAGTCCTTAGCGGTTGTTCTACTATCCGGAACCATTGATTGACATATCTATACTTATAATAAATCTGTAGAGAGGTCAATTCTGTACATGAAATATATTTTCAAAATAACTATCAGGGGGTGATTAGTGATCAATACTGATTCCAAAAATGCAATCAGTAAAATTTTTGTCTGTCTGTCTGTCTGTGTGTATGTTCCATATAGAAACAAAAACTACTCGACGGATTTTAACGAAACTTGGTACAATTATTCTTCATACTCCTGGGCAGGTTATAGTATACTTTTCATCACGCTACAATCAATAGCAGCAGAGTAGTGAAGGGAAATGTTGGGAAAACGGGAGAAGTTACTCCATTTTTTAAGCTTCCGTCACGTGTGCAGCCTTAATGGTTAAAGTTACAAAGAAATTGTCTAAAAAATATCCTGCAACAGCTTATGTCTATCTTTTATGGTTGACTCACAATAACACGTGTAATTATATAAATAAAGTCATTCTTTATAGCACAAGCCTGAGAACAAAAACTATAGTTTACACTACAGCTCTACACCGAAGCGAAGCGAGGGCGGGCCGCTAGTAATACATAATACTAGACGCCTACAAACACACAAGGCCCGATATATGCGTGCAACAGATCGCAGCGCATGTCGGATTGTATGGAGCGCAGGTAGCGATGCAGCTCACGCATGTTACAACCATACATCTTACAACCTGTGATCCTTTAAATGAGCCGTGAAGAAGCAACAAGCAAGTGAAACAAGAAAGAAGATCGAGCAGCTACCAATACCCTTAGCACGAACCAATAACGAATGCGTAACGTTTGCGAGTCCGAAATATCATTGTCAAATGTGTACTGATTTTTAGTTCTCGTTACGTACTTTGTGACGCTGCTGTTCAAGTTTCCATACAAAATTTGACATTGACATTTCGGTTTGCAAACTTTTCAAATTCGATAATGGTTCGTGCTAGGGGTACAGTTCTTTACTCTACTTTAAGTTTTTATTTTTTTAGCTAATCGTTATATTTATGTGAAAGTCGCTTAATGACAGACACAATATAATACAGTGAATCGCACGGAAATGTATCATCTTCGGGAACTGAATGGCGGCCACACCTCGCCTGATTAGGTTAAGAAAGAAAACATATGTTCCTATGAGGTTCTCAAAACTTAAATTCATTTCTCCATACAACTATGTAGTGTAGAAAAATACGCCGAATTGATCGAAAATATAAATGGATTTTATTATCCACTAGTATTACATAAAAATATCCTTCAAATATTAAAATTAAGGGCAACAAAGATATTATATTATGATAAATGTGCATCGTTATGTTAATAACAATATGCTACGGAAATCACGTGATTTTTGATACAACCAATCACAATCAAGGAAATGCATTTAAACCAATAGTATATTTTAAATCAGATTGTCAGAAATTTTAATTGAATTTATTTAGTTTTGAATGAGTTTTTTGAATATTATTTAAAAAGGTATTTTTGAGATAATTTGTACCAAGGTACAAAATTGGGCAATCGAAGGTTTCCTTTTAAATGTTTCAAGGACATTCTAATTTTTTTTAAACCCATGCAGGCAGTTTTTTATTACCTTGACAATACTAGAGAAAGTTGGAATAACTCACCTCTCCCATCCGCTGAGTAGAGGTTTAGCCAACGGGTTGTAAGTCCTCAAGTCTTTCAGGGCTAACACATCGGTCCTCTTGCACTGTGGTCCGCAAACGTGAGCCACCATTTTGTATGGTTTCACCGCGTTCTTGGGTGTGTAGTACTGTGTGAAAACGATGTTTGGTATCAGAATCATGGTTAATGGAATAACATTTTCTAGTGCTTGAAGTTTTATCCAATTTTAAAGTTAATTTGATAGCAGTCTCTCCTTTTTAATTACTGAGCGTGTTGATACATTATTTTATACAGGGCGTCCCACGGGTTTATCATAAGGAGGGAAAGGATGAAGATGGATTGAAGATAGGATATTTTACTGAAAGAAAACATCATTTCATTTTTAATAATAACTAGAACTGTGTTAATAGATTTTTTAAAATTGACACAAACTGTCGCAGACCAAAATCAAAATAACACAAGTGTAATGCCATAAGGGAAAACGAAGCTCCAACTTCAACACTTTTATTTCTTTGCGTCACCGTTATCATCACTCTAATACAGATCGATTGTAATTTGAAAAAAAAATTTGTGCACTGACCACATATCTGTACCCTTAGCACGAACAACAGACAAAAATTCTAAAACAACGATATTAAATACCCTAGATACACCACGTGCGCTCAAAATGTGTCCCTATCAAGAAGGGCTTGAACACCACTCAAGCACTTCTTGGTTCACAGTCACGCGCGGACCGTTGAAAAGTCAACATGCCGCTGACCTCCGTGAAAAAATGCGAAATAAATACTTATAGTATGTAAAATGTCGTTTTTTCGACAGGTATCTAATCAATGTTTGTTAATTTAAAGCATTTGAAGCAAATTTTGGTTTAATACTTACTATAAACTGATTTAATAGAAAATATTTGTGAGATTCAAATGCATGGTCGGCAATTATGAAAGCACTGTTAGCAATATAGTAGGTACGGACCGCCAAGAAAGGAGACAGCTAGTCAGCAATAGAATTGCGCGTAGAGTCAAAGAAATAAGGTCTATATTCTTCCGCATATATAGCAATAAGTCGTAAAATTTTACGAGCTTACATATCGGACTGTCATAACTCTTTGACGCATGCGTTTTAATTAAGACCTTATGTAGTGTGCTTTAAAGGTGTTTTTCAATGTTCAAATAATGCCTTTTATTGTTTACACTGCGCGATCATCTTATGGAGCTCCGTGGATCGTCCAATGTAACTTTTGGACAGGTTTCAGGCATGATTTTGTTCGTGTTGGTGTATCTAGGGTATTTAAAAACTATATTTTTGGCTTCGGTATTGATCGTAGATCACACCTCAAGTATTCTTTAAAAAAAATCAATTTACAGTTTTGACATTCGTATCATTTTATTGTATGTATATAGACATTGAACACTTACCACGACCCTGCTGGTGACGTTGTCGGGTATGGGTACCGGTGCTGGTGGAGGCGGCGCGGGGGCGGGGGTGGTGGATTTCTTGGCCACCGCCCTTTGGCGAGTCTCCCTCTATATGGAGAATGAATCAATCAGTTACTATTGGATTTTTTAAGTACTTAACTGCTAGATGTTTAAATCTAAGGAAAATTCGATATTATTTGTACTATTTATCTCTATTATTAATTTATTATTTGTGGCAGGTAGAACTGCTGTACGAGCTATCTTCACGTCTGGACTTCACCATCACTTAGCATCAGGTGGGGTGGAGTCATCGGACCTATCTATAAAAAAAATACTAGATAAAATTCCACGCGGACCCGGCAGCAGACGGGACTCGAACCAGCACCCTTCGCTATCTGGGCGAATGCACTGACCATTATACTACCGCGGCCCTGACGGCCGTGTTGAATTTTCGCAGAGTCGTAGTCCCGTCTGCTGCCTGGTCCGCGTGGATTTTTTTCTAGTAAACTTTTCTTTAAATTTAGATTAGTAGTAGTCTTTTTATTTCATATCGTCGATTATTATTTTTATCTTTAAATTAATTTTAATTATTTTAATGTCTTCTATAACCTGAAATATTTGCACGTTGACATTCAACAAAATATATTCGAAGCTAAAGAAATAGCTAAAAACTATTGTAACCATATTTTTAAATGATTAACTATTAACTATAATATTAATTACCCGCTCGGACAACGAAAGACGCAAGATCGAACCCTGTCTGACACCTTGACCAAGTGGATTTTTTTCTAAAATACAGCCAACGAAAAGTTATATGAAATATTAACAAAGTCGATGAAAGGTCATTAGCCAATGCGAGGGTTGACAACATTGTAGAAAATAAAATTCAAATCATTTATGTTATTTATGAAAAAACAAAAAAATCATTTATGAAAATTAATAAAGATTTATCATTTTACTAGGCATAAATTTAAATAAAATGTACAAAACAATAATTGAAATTATCAAAATAGAAAATCAGAAGAGATCAAAAAATAGAAAATTATAAGTTATTACCACGATAAATTTAAACAAGATAATTTAAGTGTATGCCTATTAAAATGATAAATTTTTAGAAAACAATAATTCAAATTATTAAAATAGAAAATCAGAAAAGATCAAAGAACAAAAATTATTTGTTATTACCACGATAATTATCGAATTAACACGGAGCATAATGAAAAAATGACAATATTATTTGTTAATGTAAAATCGGAGTGGGAATAGCAATTCGCAAACTCGGCGCCCCGGCGATCACATGACATTACTAAACGAGACCTAATAACATATACATATTTAAACTTTTAAACTTTTGTATCGCTTCTCGTTGGCCGTACTTTAGTAAGAATTTTCTTTAGATAACTTGCTCAAACACGGTCTCATAGTTATTGTTGTATATGATGCTTTCAACAATAGTTTTCCAAATTTCTCATTTTTTTTCTCAATTTATAATAGGCAAGGCGTTTGACCACAATCTCGCCTAATGGAAAGCGATGATGAGGCCTAAGATGGTACACGCCTGCCTAGAAGATAATAACAAAATCCTTACCTCACTGGTTTGTTGCTGTTGCTGCTGTTGTTGTTGTGGCGATGCTTGTTGCTCAGCCGATTTGTTTTGCTCATCCGACCGCGTGTATTCTACATAAGGCATGTTGATCTGTGAACAAAAACATTATAAACAAGTTCAAGTAAAAAATTTGTAAACACATCTGGAGTGAAACTTCTTTTTTTTAATAACCAAACACTAGGCGGAAATTAAGGAATAAATAAATAGAAATGTTATTATCATCAGCCTATTAATTAAACCTATTAGGGTTTAGAAAATTCAAAGTTAAAATTTAGCCAACTGCACCGTGTTACAAAAATTTAGCCAACTGCACCGTGTTATGTTGCAAGGTGAGGATGGTTGGTGTAGCAGTTTATAACTGTTGCAGCAGCTATCTTCGCGTTTGGACTTTATCACCACTTAACATCAGGTGGGATTGAGTCATTTGCCTACCTCACTATAAAAATAAAACTTTCGTAATGGCCGGTTATTGGGTTTGTGACCGAAAACTTGCTATCACTCGCTCCACCGTTGTTAGGACAACACATTAAGTCGTCGTTCCCGACTGCAACTACAGTCGTTAGCACCCACCGATACATGGCCTGTGCCCCTGCTGTTGGTACATTAACGGAACATTTACGGCGAGTCTGTAACTTTCTGCATCTACAATATCATAATAAATATAAATGATAAATATTTCCAACACTCACACCAATTAGCCTAGCCCCAAAGTAAGCACTATAAGGTTTGTGTTATGGGATACTAGGGTAACGGATAGAATACATATATAAATACATGTTAAACATCCATGACTGGAATACAAATGCTCGTATTCATCACACAAATATCCTCCACCGGGATTCGAACCCGAGACCTCTCGAGTAGGAAACCACTCGGCCACGGAGGTCATCAATAATAGTAACAAAGAGATAGTTTCGAGTCCTGGGAAAGGACATGGGATAGTTTTTTATCCCAAAAATCAAAAGGGGCCCCATAAAAGGAGGCAGAAATTTTCTATGAGAAACGATTGACCACGCAGTTGAAAAATCTGAAATAAATTATTACTTCTTCGGCGCTACACTCTTGACAGAGTGGTCGTGGTCGTCACATCAGGGTTGGTGGCGCGCTTCACAATACGCCGCCATTCGTCCCGCACTGCGGCCGCACTCGTGCACTCGTGAAGTGGACCGTTCAGTACCGCTTTTATCTGTACCCCTAGCATAAACCATTATCGAATTCGAATAGTTTGCAAACCGAAATGTCAACGTCAAATTTTGTATGGAAACTTGAACAGCAGCGGCACAAAGTACGTAACGAGAACTAAAAATCAGTACACATTTTCAGACAATGACATTAGGGACTCGCAAACGATACGAATTCGATATTGGTTGGTGCTAGGGGTACTGGTCAGTCCAGCGCATTGGTGATCTGCCGCGCGCCCTTACGCCCTCGACTTTGCCCTGCACCACCAGTCGTTCCACTGACACATCTTCTCGGCGTGAGATGTGGCCAAAGAAAGTTAGAATACGACCTTGTACGATGGAAGACAGACGTTGTTTGATGGACAGTTCCTGGAGGATGGATGCGTTGGTCCGGAATTGTGTCCACTGTATGCCAAGCATTTTCCTCCAGCACCACATTTCTAGAGCGTCTATCTCCTTTTTCTCACTCTCTCGCAAGGTCCACGTCTCAGCACCATAGAGGAATATGGGAAACACTAATGCCCTGACGAGTCGTGTTTTCGTGGCTTTTGTGATGTTCCTGTTTCTACATATTTTTTGAAGTTTGTCCTACAAATTATTATTTTTATTATTAAAAACTTACCGTATGAGCCTTAGTCCTCGGCATAGCTCTGGTCCGTTGCCTCTCGGCCGCTTGCAGCTCCAGATACAAAGGAGCGAGACGGGTAGAGCCCCTGTATATCCATTCCGTTCTGTTGTCTTCTTCGAAGTATACTTGTACTAGGGAAGCGTCCACTTGACGCACTCGACATGACCACCATTTACCTGGTTTAAAGCAGAAAGTTGATATTTAAAAACAAGTAATTATATTTGGTTCTTAGGTTTTTACGCACATCAATCATTAAATAAAACAAGTTTCAACGGATCAGATGTACTGAATTTATTAATTTATTGACATTTCGCATCCTTTCAGGAATGCGTCGTCGAAATAATGTTTTTTTTATAAGACTTGAATTTTTTTATAGGACTTGAATTTTTTTTTATAATTTTAATTTTATTTATTTGACCCTAACTAACCCTAAATAATTATAATCAAATAGAATTCACGTTCATAATAAATTTATTTTGAAGGCAGATGCTTGTTTATTCGTATACTTTTGAAACCCCTTGTATGAGAATAACTGCTTCAAAGGTAATGTGCAAACAATTGTAATAGAAAGAAAAAAAAATATAAAATGTCCCCAGGGATTTTAGGTTCGCACGGACGAAAAAAAGACGCGGGAAATGTCTAAAACCAAATCCATAAGAGCCCTTTTACATTTTTGCAAAAAATCGCGCCTCGTTTACCCCATTAGAAAAGATTTTGACAATTGGAAATAGTAATAAAGTAAAGATAGAAGTAAACAATAGATTTATTCTTCCTATTGCAAGTTAATGTAGAATATTTGCAAATACTATTTTCCTTTTTTTGTACTGATCGTTCTACCGCAGTTAGTTTACGGATGAAACGATAATATGCACAACCTCAAACGCCTGAATCTCTAAATAATGTTCTATTAATTAGAGATATAATTAGAATTACTACGACATCAAAAATATAATGTAAATTTTTCTTTAGACATAGCATAAGTTTTTATCTCTTAAATGATCTTTTAGCAAACAAAAAAACTCACATTTCCATTCAGTCTTCAAGCTTTGTCCCACATGCAAGCGCACCATCGGCCTCTCCGGGTAAGCCATCAGGTATTCCCTCACGAACTCCCTCGAGAACGGATGCACTTCCTCCCATACCAAGGAGGAACATTCGCACACTACGCGAGTGTCAGAGTGGTGCACGTACTGCGCGTAACCGTCGTCGAAGAATACCAGGTACCTATGAGTGCGTGGAAGAAGACATTTTCTCATACATGGGTCCGAAATTACTGTTATTAAGTGGCGCGAATTAAAAATTACGATTACGATTCGATGAAACATAGATATAATGCGATTCAACTAAGAATAGGATCGACGAGGCGCCATATTGTGACGTCATAGCTGTCAATTCAAACGAAAAATGTAAAGTGAGCAAAAAAGTTTTTATATAATAAAACTTATTTACTAAGGTACTTAACCTTAAGAAAAAACATCCGATTTTTTAATAAAATTTATTTACTAAAATTGAGAAAAGAAAATAACCGATTTTTAATAATCTTTATTTATTAAGACTGTGCGAGAAAAAACATTAATCAGAATTAAGCTCTTCAATTCCGCTCATCTCTGCATTACCGCCGGAGTAGTTATGAATAATCATACAGTATTACTAGGTCACATACGAACATGCATCCTATATGTAAACCAAAGTTTTAAATCGAGTTTCTGAACGTAACTTAAAGTGACATTTGGTTGACGATTTAGGTTATCAAACATTCATAGTCAAAGCTCAATAATTGAAAATAAAATATCAACCAATATTAATTAACAATATTTGTTATTGTTTGTTTACAAATGTTTGGTTATTATTCCATAATTAGCTGAGTGCTAAAAAGAGTTCCATGATTTTTTTACAAGCCGTACTTTTCAAGCGACATTTGAGAGATGGAAGTCATTGGCTTTCCTATTCTTATTTGAATCGCATTATAGATAGATCGTACAATTCTATCATATACAAAAAATAATTCCAATGAGTAATTTCAAAAGTGTTGCATTGGAGTGTTTTTTTAATTTTTAAGAAAGCATTCAACACTGTTCCTATAACGATTCTCGTAGCGTTTATGGCATGTTTGGGAATACGAGGTATAGTCTTAGAATGGTTTCGTGACTACCTCACAGGCGGTGACCAGAACACCAGATTACGCGATGCTCATACTGACTTTTTGCGCATCAATGATGGAATCCAACAGGGAAGTACAATTAGTACCACCCTCTTCCTTAAATATGTTAATTAGCTTTGAAAGGTACAATTGAAAAGTAGGACGAAATTCATCACTATGCCTGGTAAAATATGGGGGAGGGGGGGGTTTTGAGTTTGGGGTTTGATTGTTGATAAAATTCTATGGTTGGTAACACTGGTCACCGTGGCGACAGAAAGGTTAAATATGTGATACCCTATGTTTACTGAATGTGTAACATCTCATGTACACCATATAATAAAGACTTCTGAAAAAAATGAATTGTAAAATACGACGTATAGCAATGTGAATGTGCGTCTGTAACAATTAACGTTTTAATTATTATTTATTCAGTGTGACTATAAAATAACTGATTCAAATAAGTAAATAAACATATTACATTATGAATCACGTAGCGTTTTGTTTTAACACACTACGTAATTGACGCGACCGTTAGTTTGGTTGGGTTTAACATCTGTCCCTGTGGCGCAGAGGATAGCGCGTTGGACTTCTAATCCAAAGGTCGTGGGTTCGATCCCCACCAGGAATGACGCTTTTTAAGATTTCAAACAACTTTTATTTGTATTATTTAAAAGATGGACAATTAAATTTTATTGCATATTCATTTTCTTAAGGAACGTCAATCAATATTATTTGTGATGCAATAAATATTAACATTGTGTTTTGTTTTAATAGTCCAGTCAGTATTGTCGCGAAATCCGTTTTTCCTCAAACAGCTGGAACTATGCTAAAAAGTTTCTTAAGATAGTAAAGAACACTTTACATAGAGAAAAAAATGTTTCCAACCCCGGGCAAGGGTGAAAACCACCCTTAATAATCTATTTTTCCAATTATCTCAAAAAGTATACGAGATACGGAAAAAAACTTCAAATGAAAATTGTAGATCTTTTTGAAATCTACAAAACATTATTCCACCCTCTTGCCCCTATTTTCAATAGGGGAGCCAATAATCGAAGTCAAAGATTCAATACTTAAAAAGTTAAAGTTAGTTAAAAAAGTTATCTTTGACTTCGATTATTGGCTCCCCTATTGAAAATAGGGGCAAGAGGGTGGAATAATGTTTTGTAGATTTCAAAAAGATCTACAATTTTCATTTGAAGTTTTTTTCCGTATCTCGTATACTTTTTGAGATAATTGGAAAAATAGATTATTAAGGGTGGTTTTCACCCTTGCCCGGGGTTGGAAACATTTTTTTCTCTATGTAAAGTGTTCTTTACTATCTTAAGAAACTTTTTAGCATAGTTCCAGCTGTTTGAGGAAAAACGGATTTCGCGACAATACTGACTGGACTATAACGACCATAATGTCTAGAATATTGAAACTTGTCAAATACTCTATTTAAAAAGATTTTTACCTGTATTTATTCACCGGATTTGGGACCTCAGCTACGATGCCCGAGTAAAAGGTCTCCCTCTTGCTGTCATTGGTGACCCTGAACAGGGCTATAACCCTAGTACCTGATTAAGAAATCAAACAAAAATGCGTCTTATACCTTTGATTATAAGGCTCATTTTTGAAAAAAAAAAAGAAACATTTGAAATCACGAGCATGTTTTTTTACTAATTGCTATCAATTGTGCTCAATACAAATATAGAGATTTCTTAGTTTGCATTACATATTAATGTTCTTGAAATGCAATTCCACCAATGAAAACTATAGTAACACATTTTAAGCATAGCATATACAAATAAAGTGAGTGATGTATCGCCTCTATTGTTGTCGTAAATAAAGTGTCAGCGTGATCTTTAAGTAATTTTAAAAGTTAATTGACGTATTTGAGTAACGCCATAAGCTTGACATTTATTTATTTATCGTCATAGAAAGTCAAGGTTATGGCCTTTTTATTTTTTAGTTCCTTCATAATTCGTGCTTCGCTCTCTTGTGGCTTGCATTTTATAAGATGTTTGAGATTTTTAAGCTGGAATTGGAGCACCCGTCTTGGGAAGTACCCCCCATCTTAAAGAAGACCACAGTAAAATAACCCAAACTTTTGGTGATGTTGTGATTATGTCAGTAAGGTTTCAGGGCTCCACGGGATAGGGGATTGGGTCAGGGTAGGCAACGGCGCGAGTGATTTTTTTGTATCGCAAGCGTCCATAGGCTATCCCTAACAGGCTATATTTATAGCCTATCTAGGGTCAAATGTACTTTTTCATTATATGACTACTGCCTTATTTTATTCCGTAACCTAATCTTTATGGGTCAGAACTGAAAATCAGCGATTTACTCTCTGAGTAAATGTTACGCTGAGTTTTCGCCCATTCGCATCGCTGCTGCACACGAAAATATCATAGTATAGTTGTATAAATATAATTTGTTGCATGTTTTTAAGGATTTATATAATTGTAAAATTTGTCTTCAATTTTGTATGTGTGCATGTTGGTGCGAATAAAGTTTTATCTATCTATCTATCCTTATGTAAAAAAATAATAATAAAAATAAATACCAACACTTTGTATCAAAAATTTAACAGCTGTATAATTTTTGTACCTTATATGTTTTTTGGCATGAATAAAAAAAATATATTATTATAGACAATGGTGGCCGCTTACGAATGTGTGCCACTCTTTTAACAAAAATAAGACGTATCCATTGATGGTGTGTAAATTTATTTGGTTACCGAGTAACTGCGGGTTACTTTGACCTAAAATGTGCACTTTTTTTTCAAATAAAATTGTAGCTTCTCTTTGTGATGAATATGTCACGTTTATATCTTTCCATTGTGAACTTTAAAGTATAAGTTACAAAGTTATCATACGAAAATAGGAAAAAATAATATTTAAGGGTTCATATATATTTTTTTCATTTTGGGCCAAAGTTGGCCTTAAAGAGGGTTACTTTAGCTCGTTGAGTTTTCTCTGTGAAAAAAACTCATTTTAAGCCATGTTGGGGTTAAGTAACCCTTATAACAGATCACCATTAGCATACTGAATACACAAATGGATATTTTACCCAAAAATAATTAAGTTAAAGCAAAAATTGTAAACTTACCGAAAACCACAGTTTTGAGAAAGTTTGCGCATGAACTTGCGATCTATTTCAGTTACAAAAAATCCCGCGTTACAATGACAACTTGATACAGGAACGATGTCGGTAAAACAACACCACACTGCGCGCCTATATGGCTATCTGTGATTTTCAACTGGAACTATTACGGTCACCCAAGAGATACTGATGGGGCGGCAAGTTTAATATTTTTTCTGATTTGGGACAAAGTTACCCGCCCGAGCTAAAATAACCCTCACTTACGGTACCTGTTTATTAAGAAATCAACTTACCAATGGTCAATCTGACTTCGGCTGGGTCAGGGTAAGCCAGACATCTTCCGGGCAGCAGTTTAACAGGATTCCTAGCTTTACCGTCGAACCTCACTTTGAATATCGTGAATGTGTGACAGGACTGTAAAAACAATAATTTATATTATTTATGGCTCCTATTTAAATGACCGTCAAAAAAATAGTAAATGATCAACCGGCAACCTAACATTTTTAGGGTTTCGTAGTACTGACAAGGAACCCTTATAGTTTCGTCATGTCCGTCCGTCTGTCCGTAGAGAGCTGTAATTTTGTGAAGATATGTATAACCTCTTTTTAACTAGACCGAAAGTGTAAGTTATTCTAAAGATGATTTTACTAAAAAAAAATATGCGGTCCAGGCAGCAGACGGGACTGGAACCCGCACCCTCCGCTATCCGGGCGGATGCGCTAACCAAATTTTGCTACCGCGGCCCTAATGACAGTGTCAAAATTCTTCCAGTATTTCTTTGGCTGTCGGCATATAGTAGGTAACCCACAATTGCAACCTAACTTAAGAAACGGTCATGTCAGTCACTTTAAATACTTAAGGAACTGACAAGACCTGTCAAGATATCATCCTTTCGTTGCCACTGTAGTTCGATATTCTGCTATTTTGAGGATCTTTCACTTTTACTATGTGATATTTGGAGAATGTTATATTGATATACTGGTTCATACATATTTTGACAATGTGCTAAATCGATAATGTGTCATTTTTTATCTGACTTTTTTATCTTTATATTTTGACAACATTATATTATGAGAACATAATTTAATAATATACATAATCAGCAATAATAAAAGTAAAGTAAGAATACATACAAATACAACTATACTTACACCAGGAACCGAACTTTGGCCCTGCACTTCAAGTATACGGCATCTAGCCCAGGACCCAAGTATATTCCTCATGCCGAACACTATCATTCCAGCCTTTAAGGGAGACCTGTTGAGTTCCCCTGGCGCGGGGAGCTCAGACGGGGCCGATTCCGCAGATACTTGCATTACTGCTATGTCTTTCTACGAATACAAAAAAAATCCACCCTAACTCCACTGTACAAAAAACATATTATTAATTTATTTACCAATTTAGTGCACGTACAATAAAACAATGCTGACATTTTGTTTTTCTTTACTTATATTTTTATTATTACCATTGTCGAAGTTGAATTGTATTATTATTAGTGCCAACGATATTTAATACCCTAGATACACCACACACGCTCAAAATGTGTCCCAATCAAGAAGTGCTTGAACACGACTTAAGCACTTCTTGGTTCACAGTCACGCGCGAACCGTTGAAAAGTCAACATGCCGCTGAGCTCTGTGAGAAAATGCGAAAAAAATACTTATAATATGTATTATGTTTTTTTTCGACAGGTATCTAATCAATGTTTGTCAATTTAACGCATTTGAACTAAATTTTGTTTTAATAGTCACAATAAATTACATTTAAATCATTAATGATTATTGTAGTTGCCTTGTTAATCTGTTGTTGCTTAGCATCTCACTATAAATTGTTAAGACTTATTGTGTAAGCTGTGGATAGTGTATTTGACTGCATGTTTGTTATAGAAATTAACAGTAATACTATTTTACATGTTTTAAATGTGAAGTTGTTAACTATTCCAAATAAATAAAAAAAAGGATCTAAAAGAATATATTTGTGACATTCAAATGCATGGTCAGTAATATAGCCGTCTCTTTTCCTCGCGGTCCGTACCTGCTATATTGCTAACAATGCATTCAGAATTGCGCGTAGAATCAAAGAAAAAAGGTCTATATTCTTCCGCATATAAGCAATAAGTTGTAAAATACGAGCTTACGTTTCGGACCGTCATAACTCTTTGACGCATGCATTTTAATTCAGACCTTATACAGAATGCTTTAAAGGTGATTTTCAATGTTTAAATATTGCCTTATATTGTTTAGACTACGCGATCATCTTCAGAGCTCCGCGGATCGTCCAATGTACCTTGTGGGCAGGTTTCGGGCATGATTTTGTTGGTGTTGGTGCATCTAGGGTATTTAATATCGGTGATTACTTACTGCATACAAAGATTTACTTACATCATCGTCCAACTTCGAAATTTCCGAAGAGATATTCTTGTCCTGAGAACAAAGAAAATATGGATGAAAAAAATCATATTAATCCAAATATTGTCACTTAAAGAATAAGCAAACTTGTAAAAGGGTAAAAAGAGCTGGTTTTTTTTAAATGGTGTATTACTGTTATTCAATGAAATGTCATGTTTTTTACTTCATATTCTGACACTGGCATTAAAAACACACCATATGAACTGTTTGTAGTTATTTCGTTTTTATTTTTACCTAAGGTTTTATTTCTCATATCAATAAAGTATTTATTAATAGTATAAGCAATTCCGAATGGGTTTGAAATTAATTTGTCATTCTGATATAAGCATTCCACATCGTCCATGCTATAGTTGGCATTACCAATTTCACTATTGATGACAGTTGAAAATGATTTGCATTAATTTTTCTGTATAGTTTCTGTCCGTTAGTAAAATTTCTGGTACAGTTCTTATTTATGTTATACTAGCTGTGCCCCGCGGTTTATTAGGGATATTTACCCGCAGTAAAACGATGCCTATGTGTTAATCCAGGGTGCCAGCTAACTCCATATCAAATTTTATTAAAATCGCTCCAGCCGTTTAGACGTGATGAAGTCACAAACATACAAACTCAAAAACTTTCGCCTTTATAATTTTACTGTTATATATATTTTTTTATATATTCAGATATTTTACCTATTTAATTATGTGAATATTATTTGTTTGTAATAAATATACTTTAATAACCTTTCTGTTTTACAACTAAGTTTTAACCCTTTAGTAACGCAATATTGTTTTTTATTGTAGTTAGTAATTTCTTATTTTTCATTGAGAAACAAAGTTAATAAAATAAGCATATTAAAAAGAACTTCCATACTCAGACTCGTCCATTAACTTATTTACTAGTCCGTTTCAAATTTTAATCCATAAATGCGAAGTGTAGTGTGCCTACATAATATAATTTATATTTTGTAAAATTAATAATATTTGTTTTTTATATAATTTATGTTAATTTAAAATATATATTGTAATGTCTAATAAACTGTATAATTATATTGTAATATAAAAATATCATGTTTAAATATGTTAATATATAATATTGTAAACGATAAATGTAAACTGTATATTTTGGTCGACAAGCGGACAAACATATTTTGCTTGCGCATAGATACTCTTCTGCGCGGACGCAGGCCGCGGCCGCTTGAACGTAACCGGTCTCAGTGGGCGGGGCCTCCGCACCACTTGTTCCTGCGTAGCCGCGGCAGTCAGATCTTAGTCTCTGCTTTGAATGCGTGTCGCTTGTCTCCTTACTAAGTACCTCGATATCGATTTGTTTTCAACAGCTTGCTTAACATTGAACTTATAGTTACTACGCTGGGCAATCTTGTTATTATACTCATTGTGCACCTTCCATCTTGCATTAATAGTGTTTGCATATTTATTAGGATAATATTGTGTAAACAATAAACCGTGAGTATTGTGAACTTTGTTGCACTCATTTTACAACACCTGAAAAACTCACGCATCATCCTATAACTGGTGACCCCTTCTGAGCACAATCATGAGTGAGTCAGAGAACAAGACCGTTGGCGTAAATTCGAATCCAACGAGCGACGTAAACCGAGTGAGTGTGAGAGTACCTCCATTTTACCCAGAAAAACCGGCGTTGTGGTTTGCACAACTCGAGAGCCAATTTTATCTGGCCAATATAACCACCGACAACACGAAATTCCACTACGCGATCAGCCAGCTGGATCCGGTCTACGCGTCAGAGGTGGAAGACATAATATCGGCACCGGCAGGACCCAACAAATATGAGCGTCTAAAAGCGGAGCTGATCAAACGGTTGTCTGCGTCGAGGGAGAAGAAGGTGAAGCAGCTCCTGGTCCACGAGGAATTAGGGGACAGGAAACCTTCCCAGTTCCTTCGCCACCTCCAACACCTAGCAGGCCCTGATGTCCCAGAGGAATTTCTGAAGACCATCTGGACGAGTCGATTACCCAGCAGCACGCAATCCATTATTGCGTCCCAATCAAAGGCGTCCCTGGAAGAAGTAGCGGAGCTGGCGGACAGAGTGCACGACATCGTCCCGCCCAATCCCCAAGTCGCAGCCGCATCGGTTCGACCTGGAAGTTCCACCGACCTGTCTAGCCAAATTGCGGAACTCACACGGCAGGTCCAATCGCTGCAGTCCAAGGTCGAGAGGATGTCACGGCCCCGGTCCCGAGGAAGAAATACCACCAACAGCCGATCCCGCGAAAATTCTCGGTCTACCCGCTCCCAGTCGAACTATAGGAAATTTCCGTTGTGCTGGTATCATGCCAAATTTGGGAGTAAGGCAAGTAAGTGCGTGAAACCCTGTGATTTTTCGGGAAAAGCTTAGGGCAGACGGTTATGGCGACCGACGCCTGTCCAAATACCGGTCGCTTATTTGTAACGGACGTTCGTACAAAAGTACAATTTTTAGTAGATACTGGCAGTGACATTTGTGTTTTCCCCAGAAAATTAGTCAGCAAGCATAGTCACAAAACCAATTTTGAACTTTGCGCAGCAAATGGCACAATAATAAACACGTATGGTTATGCAAGTTTTGTGTTGAATATAGGCTTGCGCCGTGACTATGCTTGGCGATTTATTATTGCAGATGTAACGCGGGCGATAATAGGGGTTGATTTTATGTCCCATTATAATTTAATTGTTGACGTTCGGAATAAACGCTTAGTAGATGCTAATACTACGCTTTGCACCTCGGCTTTGCTTGCTAAAACACCTGACATTTTTTCCGTCAAGGTAGCATCTGGTGATACTGATTATCATCGCATACTAGCTGAGTATCCCGACATCACTCGCCCTTCTGGCTTGCATAACACCACAAAACACAACACCGTACACCACATACGCACAACACCTGGACCGCCTGTAGCTTGCTCACCTCGTCGATTGGCACCTGATCGGCTTCAAATTGCTAAGGCTGAGTTCGAGGCCATGTTGCAGATTGGCACCTGTCGTCCTTCAGAGTCTGCGTGGTCTTCTCCCCTACACCTGGCACCGAAGAAAGGCGACGGCTGGCGACGGTGACTACCGGATGCTGAACGCCAGAACCATCCCGGACAGGTACTCCATCCGACATATCCAGGACTTTGATTACAACCTCTCTGGTTGCACGGTCTTTTCAACCCTGGACCTAGTGAAGGCCTATAATCAGGTTCCCATAAACCCCAGCGATATCGAGAAGACCGCTATCACAACGCCGTTCGGCTTATACGAATTTCCGTATATGACATTCGGACTTCGTAATGCCGGACAGACGTTTCAGCGCTTCGTCGATGAGATGCTGCGAGGGCTCGACTTCACCTACGCGTACGTTGACGATATCTTGGTCTACTCAAAAGACCAGAAGACCCACGAAGACCACCTTCGCCAAGTGTTCCACCGGTTGAAACAGTACGGTATGGTCATCAACACTACTAAATGTACGTTCGGCGCCTCTGAGGTTACTTTCCTGGGCTATCACGTGTCTGCTGCAGGTGTCAAACCACCACTAGACAGGGTGACGGCTATTAAGAGCTTTCCCGTCCCCAAAACTGTTAGAGAGTTACGTAGGTTTCTTGGCATGGTGAATTTTTACCGCAGGTTCATCCCCCACGCAGCTCAACATCAGGCACCCTTGAACGCTCTCCTAGTCGGGTCAGTAAAAGGTTCCCACCCCGTATATCTGTCTGCTGCTGAAGTGAGCGCATTTGAAGCATGCAAAGACGACCTGTCTCAGGCGACAATGCTGGTGCATCCGGATTGCAAGGAAAAGTTGGCCTTGGTCACGGACGCATCTGATACCGCAATTGGTGCAGTACTGCAGCAGTCTAAAGGCGACGATTGGCAGCCGCTTGGATTCTTCTCGCGGAAGTTATCACCATCACAGACCAAATATTCGCCATACGATCGCGAGCTCTTGGCCATATATGAGGCTATTAAGCACTTTCGGCATATGATCGAGGCGCGGGATTTTGTGATTTATACTGATCACAAGCCCCTTACATTCGCTTTTCACTCTCGAAAAGAAAATTGTTCACCCAGGCAGTTTCGGCATTTAGACTTTATAGCCCAATTTTTTACAGACATCAGGCATATCTCAGGCAAGGACAACGTGGTGGCCGATACACTTTCTCGTGTCGATGAAATTGTACAGCCTATCGACATGGAGAAGTTAGCCACCATGCAAAGTTCGGATACTGAGCTTAATACGCTCATAAACTCGGATAACACTTCTCTTTGCCTTGAGAAAGTGAAGCTGCCTGGTACGAACCTGGAGGTGTTTTGTGATGTGAGGGGTAACAAAAAGCGTCCGTATGTCTCAAAAGACATGCGCCGCCAAGTGTTTGATAGCCTCCATTCACTAAGTCACCCAGGTGCAAGGGCTTCGGTCAAGTTGGTCAGTGATCGCTTCATATGGCCTGGTATCCGACGCGACTGCAAGGAGTGGGCACGTGCCTGTTTAGCTTGCCAGAAATCCAAGGTCACACGGCATGTCTCGTCACCTGTTGGCAGTTACAGTTTACCATCCGCCAGGTTCAAGCACATACACATAGACCTGGTTGGACCACTGCCAATTTCCCAAGGGTTCAGATACTGTCTCACAGCCGTTGATCGTTTCACGCGATGGCCAGAGGCAATACCCTTGCAAGATATAACAGCAGAGACGGTCGCGAAAGCACTGCTCAGTGGATGGATTTCCCGGTTTGGTTGCCCCACGAAAATTGTCACTGATCGTGGTAGGCAATTTGAGTCAGCACTCTTTAAGTGCTTATCTAATATTGCTGGATTTCAGCACAGACGAACCACTGCCTATCATCCGTCATGCAACGGATTAGTGGAAAGGTTCCATAGGCAACTGAAAGCTGCCATAACCTGCCACTCTAGCAGTAATTGGGTCGAGGCTCTTCCCCTTGTTTTGTTGGGTGTTCGCAGCACCTATAAAGAAGACCGAAAATCATCTTCCGCTGAATTGGTTTATGGTGAACCATTGCGCCTACCAGGAGATTTTTTCCAACCAGACGAGGAAAGAACTGTAGATATGTCGGATTATGTGGCACGTCTTAACTTGTTCGCAAGACAGCTGCAACCATCCCCAGCTTCACGTCATGGTTCCCAGAAGTCTCCTTTCATCTTTAAAGATCTTGCCACGGCTTCTCACGTCTTCCTTCGAGATGACGCAGGGGCCGGCTGCCTCAAACCAGCATACACAGGACCACATGAGTTTCTAGAACGAGGCGATAAGGTGTTCAAACTCGCAGTCAATGGTAGGCTGGTCACCGTGTCAATCGACCGAGTAAAACCCGCATACATACTGCGCGATCCAGACACCACAACTCTCACACCTCATCTTCCACAAACATCACATTCACACTCACCCACACTTAACACTACACATAACAACTCACCTGATTCGGTAGATACTCCAGTCAAAACTACCCGTTCTGGTCGTAGGGTTAAGTTTCCGGACTATTATCGCCCGTAGGACGGTCTCTGGAGGGGGGTGGTGTAGTGTGCCTACATAATATAATTTATATTTTGTAAAATTAATAATATTTGTTTTTTATATAATTTATGTTAATTTAAAATATATATTGTAATGTCTAATAAACTGTATAATTATATTGTAATATAAAAATATCATGTTTAAATATGTTAATATATAATATTGTAAACGATAAATGTAAACTGTATATTTTGGTCGACAAGCGGACAAACATATTTTGCTTGCGCATAGATACTCTTCTGCGCGGACGCAGGCCGCGGCCGCTTGAACGTAACCGGTCTCAGTGGGCGGGGCCTCCGCACCACTTGTTCCTGCGTAGCCGCGGCAGTCAGATCTTAGTCTCTGCTTTGAATGCGTGTCGCTTGTCTCCTTACTAAGTACCTCGATATCGATTTGTTTTCAACAGCTTGCTTAACATTGAACTTATAGTTACTACGCTGGGCAATCTTGTTATTATACTCATTGTGCACCTTCCATCTTGCATTAATAGTGTTTGCATATTTATTAGGATAATATTGTGTAAACAATAAACCGTGAGTATTGTGAACTTTGTTGCACTCATTTTACAACACCTGAAAAACTCACGCATCATCCTATATATTTGTGATTTAACTAGTTAGTCGCCGCCTCGCCGCTTCCATGACATTTGAACTTTGTTTAAAGTTGGTATGTAGTTAGCTTTTATACAACAACAATGGTATAAGGGCTCATGCCCACGAGACAGGTTTTCGCCGGAGCTAAGCCTGCGTCAAATCGTGTTTATGTCCGGTCGTTAGTTTTGTATGGGAGGGACAGTATAAAGCCAATCACACAACGCCGTCGTCAGTGAGGGTACATCCTTCTCGTGGGCTTGAGCCGTACCTTTAGCACGAACCATTATCGAATCGAGGAGCTCGACGGCGCCAGTAGTTAGCGCGTTCGGCTGCGATCGTTGAATTTAAGCAACTTTCGCAGTGGTCGGTCATTGGATGGGTGACCAAAAATCTTCTATCTGGAGTTCCTCCGAGCTTCGGAAGGCACGTTAAGCCGTGGGTCCCGACTGCATCTGCAGTCGTTAGCACCCGCCAATCCGCACTGGGCCCGCGTGGTGGGTCATGGTCCTATCTCCCTATTGCATCCATAGGGAAGGCCTGTGCCCCAGCAGTGGGGACATTAACAGGCTGATGATGATGATGATTATCGAATCGAATAGTTGAATTCAATCTAGTCATGTAGTAATCAGTACAAATGTGTACTGATTTTTCGTTCTCGTTACGTCCGTTGTGGCGCTGCTGTTCAAGTTTCCATACAAAATTCGACATTGACATTCCGGATTCGCAAACATAACGAATTCATTATTGGTTCGTGCTAAGGGTAATAAGTACCGAAAGTTCCGTAAGGGCGCTTGTTAACGAAACGATTTTCCGCCGGGTCTAGGCAGTTTTACACCATATGTACGTCGTCGTCAGCTAGGTATGGGACACTATGGAGGTTTGTTAAGCTTAATCGGTTTCAAACCGTGCCTATACCCGGTGGAAAACCGGTTGTGAACAAGCGCCCTAAGGCGACACATGACTTAAAGTAACATTCAATTAAGTGACGTCTCTGACTACAGACTTAAGCCATTTACCTGCGCGTTTGCGTCTTCTATAGGCGCGTACGGGAGCGGTATCGCAGGCCGTTTGGCTGGAGTTTCAGAGGCCGACGACAATTTTCTTTTAGCATTAATCTGTTGATACAAATATGAAGAAGTTAAGCAACATTCCCAACGGCCGGTAAAACGATGGGTGACTGAAAATGTATTATGTCTCACTCCTCAGTCCTTCGGAAGGCACGTTATGCATTAGCAATTAGAAAATCAGCCGGGAAAAAAATCCGGCTGTGAAAAACAAAATGGAGGGCTAACACAGACAGGGTTTAAGGCGCTATTTTGCTCCCATAGTTGACTGCCATTCATGTCGGCACTTATCATGGCTCTTCGTAATTGCTATTTGTCATTTTTACAGCATGGCCCTATGTCACCTAGCCGACATATGTCACAGGCATATGTAAGCCGACCGTTTGATGTGGGATGATATATTTACTGCACCGATTTCATTAATTAAATGTCTGATACTGATTCTGCTTACGAGGAATTTTTCTTTGAACGCAAAATCAGTGATATCAACGGAGAAAATGATTCGTGCTTTATAATTCTCCTGCATAAGAACTCATCGTTTCAAGATTTCACGGATAGCCATTTTGTAACTTAGAACAAAAAGCACTACAAATGTAACGCAAATCTGACAAAGTCATGATCTTACGAGTATGTTGAAAATTACTGACAATTAGTCAATATATCGACTTACAAAAAATACCCTTGTTTTGCAACATAAGGCAAGCCACGCCAAGGGGGATCTGCTCTCCCCTCGTGCTCGCTTAGCGACGCCCTTGAAGGTAATACTGTTGTCAAACTTGCAAATACGAATAGCCACGTGAAGTGCTAACAAGAGGAAAGCGTTTGTAGTCAATATTGATTATTTATTATTATCAGTGGATTATTGTTAACTAGCAAACCAGTGAACCAAATGTTCACCGAAACCTGATTTAAAAAAAATATGTATTTAATTAATTGAGAACTTCGGAGATTTTGTGTGGTTTCGTTTGAAATTCGTGATTTCTCGAAAACCGGAAGTGCTACGTTACTCAAATCCGGTTTGTAGTCTTATCAGACTATTCTTAACTTATAACTTAAATATTCTCTTTATCTATCTCTTACGGTTTGGCCGCTGAAACAGCACCACAGACGGACGGACTTGTCTAATAGATAAGAGATATTTGCCCATATTTTGTCAGGTCACTCTCATGTGAAGCTAAAACGAGATTTAGTCTTATCTTACACTACTCTTGAGTGAGCATTTGCTGCTCCGTTTACATTGGTATAATATATGTAGCACAATTAAATTTCATTTGAATGACTCGCCAGATCTTTCGTCGAAGATCTTGCCCGTTTTGTTACCACTTCGAGAATATAGTCCTATACGCACTATCCATCTTGGGGGCTGTTCAAGTATTACGTAAGCACTATAGGGGGGCAGGGGGGTCTTTGCTTTGCTTATTTTTGATGACATGGGGGGTAGAGATGGTGATTACGTCAGCATCATCGATTAAGCCTTTTTAAGTACTGCTGCTCATGAAGCTCATGAAAGCTCATGAATCAATAAAAAAAAACAGAATACATTAAAGGAAAAATGCATATAGGTACCAATGTTTACGTAAGGATGGAGGGAAGGATTTATTGCTTACTTTTGCTGATGAGGGGGAGGAGGGGGTAAAATAACTGTAATAAATCTGCTTACGTAATACTTGAACAGCCCCTTACCGGATCCAGCGTGCGGGACAGTGCTATGCTGTACGTTAAAAAGATGGAGATACAGGAATTCTTTTACGAGTATGTTACTTTTAGTGCCTTCCCGCATGCTGAATTCAGCAAGATAGGTAGTGCGTATCTAGTAGTCTGTGTAAATGACAGATTTCTGCCAACGTCAAAAAACCCCTGTCTGTGTAAGTGGCTGATTTCTGCCACGCATACACAGTACAACATTTAGATATAGAAAAGATAAATAGAAAAAGATCCAGAAACTATTTAAGATTGATTCAAGACATAAATGAAGACAATAGGTGCAGTGGAACTCGAAATATAACAGGTTTTCTGAAGAGCGGGAACTAAAGGGTTTGCAGGCCATTTTGCTTACGCAGACCATTAGGTATGATACTGAAGTGTGGTAACTTCTGCAAGTGTACAGCTTACGGACCGTGCTACAAGTTTTAAGTGTAAACTTCAGAATAGGTACTACAAGCCACTTTTGCAATTTCTTCAGCTTACAAGGCTTGCAAGTTTAGATTTGGCCTACGTTGTCACCGACTTACTGTGGCCACTATTCTTACACGTACGAAAGAAATTTTGTGTCTTATTCATTTGCCGTACTATTCACAAGTGGAGTTCTTTGCCCGCGCACGTGTTCCCCCTTCCTACAATCTGGGGTCCTTCAGGGGAGGCGTGAAGAAGCATTTCTGCATGCCGGCTGTGCGTTGAGGATGGTTGGTGTTGCAGTTTATAACTGCTGTACCAGCTATCTTCGCGTCTGGGCTTTATCACCACTTAACATCAGGTGGGGTAGAGTCCTTTGCCTACCTGGCTATAAAAAAAAAAGATTAACAATAAAATTTAAGAATTCAGCTTCATCACTAGCGGTCAAGCTAGCATCTGGCAACCCTAGGGATAAGTCATAAGTATTAAGTTAATGCACAAACTTGTCGAAAGTTAGAAACTACGTCACACATGTAAATGCTATTTTGACATTGCAACAAGAATTTCTGGCTTTATTTGGTTGCAAAATAAAGTTTTCTGTGTTACGCAAGATGTCAGTTAAAAAAGTATAGACGCGTAATGAATTAGTGGCACTAGAAATATATAAAACAGAAAAGATAATTATCAGATAATAGGAAAGAATAATACCAGCGATAGTTTTTGTTTCTTTATTTTTATCTACACTTGCGTCTTGCAAAACAAGCACAGTTGCTCATGCGTATGAAAGCACTGCACCTTGTTCAAGACACTGAGCTTTCGTGATTCTGTTATGATCAGGGTTTCAATGAACTCCTTGTGAAACAAGTGAAAAAACTATACAGGGTTGATTTTAAAACACTACAACCTCTTAGGGGGTGATTCTACCCATCAAAAAGAACAACTTATATAATGGGACCAACGCTGAAATCGCGAAAAAGAATCTGCTGTTTCATACAAAAGTGCATCAGCTAATCGACCGAAATGTATGAAACAGCTGATTTTTTTTTTCGCGATTTCTGATTTGGTCCCATAATAAAAGTTGTTCCTGTTGATGGGTAGAATCACCCCCTAAGAGGTTGTTGGTGTTTTAAAATTAACCCTGTATATTTTAATCACCCAATTTACCACCCAACTAAACCAGAATAGCAGAGTAAAAGCGGGCATGTTTCAAATGAATCATATAAAAGTAAACGGGATTCTTTCGAGTTGTTAAAATCTTAGATACGTACCTAACTACAGGCATTTTATTAGTATCGATATATGCAGAATTGAAGAGATACACAATAAAGTTACAAAGTGACACTAAGTTGGCCATAAATATTGCATACAAATGCTATTAAGTAAATATGGAAACAGTCTTACAAAAACTTGAGCTTGCTAGTGACTTCCGAAAGTTATTTGTGGTGGAACAAAAAAATATACAAAATCTAAACGTACTTGAGAATAATTGTTCAAGAAATCGTACCAAGTTATCGATAATTTAATCAATCGGGCAAGAACTTACTGGCAAGATCTTGGCAGTCATTCGCAGAAAGTAAATTTTTGTGCTACTTTGCACCAATGTAAACGGACCAGCATGTACTCACACAGGAAATTGCAGGAAGAACTTGCTAGACTCTATTTAACTTCCTCTAAGACAAAAGGTAAACAAATGTTTACCGGATTTGTCCGGACTTTATGCCTTTGGTCCGGACTTTGTCCGGCTTTTTAATTAGTCCGGATTTTTTTATTTAGATGAAATACGAGTAAAACTACTTATTAAATTATATGAAATAAGTCAAATAAACTTTATTAAGTTCTCATTAATTTAAAACAAAATATAAATCATCTTTAAAAATCAACAGCAAGACCGACCCCCGCAATCCGAACGTCTGCTACCACGCGTATCATATCACTGTAACTAAGTGGGTGATATTTTTTTTACATTTAGTGACTAAAATGTCCGGACTTTTATCGAAATGTCCGGCGTTTTGTCAGGACTTTTCAAATGTTTAAATAGTAACCCTAGGCAATGGGGGACTACTTGTGCCAGTTAAAAATGCAATAATGTTGGCGTATAACCTATTTATATATTATACGCCATTGATAGTACATATTATAATGCGTTCAAAGTTAGGAAATAGCTACAGTTTCTAAATTATGATTTCATTTGCGTTTATAATTAGACCTATTGAAAATCATTTTTGTATTTGTTTATCCTTTGTCTAAGAGAAAGTTGAATAGAGTATAGAGCGAAAAAACACAGTTGAGGGTGTTTTTGAGAATGTTACTTCCTGATTTAGAGTTCTTCGGACACCAATTATGCTAAACTCAATCAAAATAGGAATTTTGTTAAAACTATATGCGTCTTTCATTAATTAATTATTGAGAGTTGCCGAAACTACCATCAAGATATTAAGGCTAAGAATTCACGGAGCGCTTTTAAAATCCATGCAAGCTGGTTAGTTTTCCTTAAGAACTAAGTTAGTAAATATTACAAAAAAAACTGTAATCCTAATGTTTGGTTATTCCTATCATGCGCAGCCTATTCAGCATAATAATCCACCAGTTTATGCAAGCCTAGTACGAGACCAATTTACGGATTATTTTGTTAGCCCTGAAGGTGAATTAAGTTGTAGTTGGTAATATACTAAAATTTTAATGCTATATACAGGGTGGCGCAAAAATAATCTCACTCTATCGTAAGATTTTATAATATATTTGGCATTTGTGAACCAGACTTATGCGACACGACGAATTCATAAAGAACATCATTAAGGGAAAAGTCGAAGGAGAGATAGGAAGGGGAAGACCGAGGATAACCAAAGAAAAGGAAAAGGTTGGCGTCGAGTCGTCTCAAAGAGTTGGCGGAGGACAGAGGGAGATGGCGTGGGATCCATAGACTGCACCTACAAGAGCATAGCTCTTAAATTTGGAGAGAAAGAGAACCAGACAGATACCAAATATAAACAGACAAGAAATGGCGCGATACTCCGTAGGAGCTTGAAAATGGGTTTTTTAACAAGACAGTGCAATTGTACACACAGCACCATTTTATTTTGGCGATTTGGCATGGTCAGCAAGATCGTCCGATTTAACCGCCGCAAACTTCTATCTTTGAGGCTTCTTGAAGTCTCGGGTTTATGCCAACAAGCCCCAGACAATCACATCCCTTAAAGAGACATTAGAGGAATGCGAAAAGTTATCACAGCAATTCTCGTGGAAATGGATACAACGGTAAATGCGATTAAAAGGGATTAATGCGATAGGGACCAGATGTGTATCAAAACTGGTGGCAGCCAATTGATATATTAGCAGATATCATCTTTTCCACTTAACCGTCACTCAAAATAGTTTTTTTTAGTATAAAACATATACAGATACAACTATGGATGATATTTGTGACCCATTTGAAAAATAATAAAGTAAATAAATCCATTAACTATCCAAGTATTAAGGGCCTGTGTAACAATCGCTGAGTTAAGTTCTAAATAAGCTAATCTGCTCAGTAAAGAATAAGGATAAAACAGGTTTCAACGGTATAGATGCACTGATTTATTTATTTATTGACATTTCGCATCCTTTTTTGACGACGCAGCCTGTAAACTGTAACTTGTTTTATTTAATGAGTGGTGTGCGGCAGATGTATATATAGTGTTTACATATGTAATATTGTGGAAAATAAATATAAAAAAAAGAATAGGCATGTTTTTTGGAAAAGCGTTTAAAAACATTCAAAAGTGCCCTGTCAACGTCAAAGTCAACATTCCTATTTGTTTACTGAGCAGATATGTTCTAAGTAGCTTGAGAACTTAACTCAGCGATTGTTAAATAGGCCCTTACTGTGTTATTCTTACCTCGAACGTAATAAAGTTTAACATGTCAAAGAATTCCCATGAGCTTTTATAAATTTCATTTGAACCTTGCTTGCTTTTATGCTCTTCTATCTTTCTTAATTCTTTTCCATGTCTGACTCTTAAATATTGTATTTTTCTACTAATTTCCGTATCGCTGGTATTCAATTCCACCGCCAGCCTTGCGAAAGCGGCCTCTCTCATTGTACGGCAATTATAGTCCTCACTTTTAGTGTCCCACAAATATCTATACTGTTCATACTTTTCTATTAGCGATACAGTTTCATCACGCGTCCATTTTTTAACTGGTCTCTGTTGAATAAATATTAATTTAAAAGACAGATCATAGATGTTATGTCGTAATCATCTTGTTGAAGAGTGTCTTCATAAACGTATACATAGAATTTTCGTTTTCTGACACTGGGGGCGCTGTTGTTTTTCCCTTTAGTTATACATTTCAGCCACTGTGATAAATTGTTTTGCGGAAATCATATTTCTATGCGAGATGGGGCTGATCACGGCTGTACAATTTAACAATCATGTAACTTTTATTTTTGTAACAAATTAAATTATACAACAATTTACTATATGCAAATGACTCGTAAGTTCTTGCCCGATTGTTTCGATCAGGGATGGGCAAACTTCTGCCTTATCGTGTCAAAATTTACCCAAATTTTTTGGTGAGTACTTTTAATTTTTGTTTGATGGTCGCGGACCGGAATTCACCCATGTTGCCCATCCCTGGTTAAGGTTATCGATAACTTGCTGCTATTTCTGAGCAAATTTTCTCTAGTGCGTTTAGATATGCTGCAATATTTGCATCACAAGTAACTATCGGAAGTCCCTAGCAAGATCTCGCATCGAAGTTTTTGCAAGATTGTTTACATATCTACTAGCATTTCTACCCAATATTTATTGTTAATTGAGTGGTACTTCGTAATTTTAAATAGTCTTTGTATATATTGAAACCTATATTTCTACATAAAATACACTTATACATTTATCACTATATGTTACCCCTAATATTCCATAACACAAGCCTTACAGTGCTCACTTTGGAGCTAGGCTAATTAGTGTTGTAAATATTAATTTAATTTATTTATATTTACTGTGATAATCTTACCAAGGAATCCAGAATCGACGGCGGTCTATGTTCGGCCGTAGTAAATTTCAACAACTCAAAATATTCCCATTTGCTTTTAAGCATTTTATTTGAACCTCCCTCTTTTTGTCGCTGGCGTGTTCTCTGTAACTCATGCCTAAAATGGGTTCTCAAAGAATGTAGTTTCCTTCTAATTTCACCTATGCTGGTATTGAAATCCACCGCCAGATTTCGCAGAGTGGCACGTTTGATGGCATTATTGTAATAATCCTTGATAAGGGTATCCCACAATTCTCTATGCTGTTCATACATTTTTATTAGAGCTACAGTTTCATCACGCGTCCAATCTTTATTGACTGACTTCTCGTCCTACACAGAAAAAATTATGTCGCACACTTTTTTATGTTAAAACCGTGGCCAACAAGTTTAATTATATATAGTCCGCATGATGGTCAGTCACCATGGCCTATTGATGCTTTAGATACAAAAAACACCACTCACGCCGTTGCCTACTCTGACCCAATCCCCAATCCCATGGAGCCCTGGAATCTTCTGGAGGTAGAAGTATAAGGGCTATATTTCACCGGGACACCATGGCGGCGCAACCAGTCGCCGCTACCAACAAAATGTTTTTTTTTATGTTATAGGGGGCATACGAGCAGACGGCACACCTGATGGTAAGTGATCACCGTCGCCCATGGACACTTGCAACATCAGGAGTATCACAGATGCGATGCCGGCCTTTAAGGAAGGAGTACGCTCTTTTTTTGAAGGTTTTTGAGTCGTATCGGTCCGGAAACACTGCTGGCGACAACATATTCCACAGTTTTGTCGTACGTGGTAAAAAATTTCGACAAAAACGCACGGTTGTGGATAGCCACGCATCAAGATGATGGGGATGAAATATTTGTCGCGATGTACGCTGGCGAAATGCAGCAGCTGGAATTAATCCGAACAATTCCTCAGAACACTCCCCGTGATAAATGCGATAGAAGATGCATAGCGAAGCTACATCCCTTCGCAAAGCCAAAGGATCAAGCTGATCGGAAAGGTCCTGGTCGTCGACTATTCGAGCCGCTCGGCGCTGGATGCGATCCAAAGGGAGAAGCTGGTACTGGGGTGCCCCCGCCCAAAGAGCAGTACTCCATGTGAGGCCGAACCTGTGCCTTATAAAGCTGCAGTCGGTGGGCCGGTGTGAAGTACATTCTCGATCTATTGAGCACACCAAGCTTCTTAGAGGCCAATTTGGCCTTGCCCTCTAAATGATCCCGAAACTGGGTTGCGCAACCAACTCGGACGCATGCACAGAATGTTACTGGTTGCGCCGCCACGCTGGTCGCGCCACCACTAATTACTATAGCGCTGTATGGTGTCTCACTCACTCGGTCGCCAGTCCGGCTGCCAGTGACGCCCCCACCTCATTCCATGCTACGCGTGTGCACTGTTATGTTTTGTTTTTCAATTGTTTATTTTAATATTTAAATTGTTTCTCAATTGCATAGCGATGGATAATTTCGATACAGAAAGGTTTATTATCGAAATTCAAAGTAGACCATCAATTTGGGATAATTCCTCATCAGATTATTCCGATAGAGGGAGAACCCACCACTGTTTCTTTTTTCTTTTAAACTCTCTTTTCTTACGTACATACAGCAGTAGTGCTGTCTCTTTGTGATCCATTTTGATACTGTCTCAGTGTACCGTGGCGACTCTGGTGTCTGTATGGTGTTTAGTTTGGTAGCTTACGGACACCACGGTGGCACGACTGGTTGCGCCGCCATGGTGTCCCGGTGAAATATAGCCCTAAATCTAGAACTTCTAGTTGCAAGGTCAAAATACCGTTTATACGTAAGACTTCCGTTTAGTTATGGAAGTGGCAACACTTTCCGAAGCTACCTTGCCACACCTATTTAATTTACACAGTGGTAACTGCGATCGACTTCTACAATTTTATTGCTAATCAACTTGCAAGCCTTAAAATACAGAATTCATTCAAGCAATTTTATTGCAGTGGCAGAGAATTTAAGAGATGTAGGACATAGCGGATTTCCCTCTCATATTGGAGCGGCCGTCCGGGGTAGTAACCGCCACCTTACAGAAGATCACAGTAAAATAACACTAACTTTTGGTGGTGTGGTGTTCTGTCGGTGAGTAAGGTTCCAGGGCTCCACGGGGTAGGGGATTGGGTCGGGTAGGCAATGACGCGAGTGATATTTTGGTATGGCAAGCGTTTATAGGCTATGGTGGTCGCTTACCATCAGGCGGGCCATATGCTTGTTTACCACCCTTTTAACATAAAAAAAATGGATGCGTGTAACTTATGTACGCGCGTGAGAATTTATTCTTCTTTAGCATCATTAAAAATATTTTTTAATTGCATGCAAATAATTAATAATTACAATAAAATAACAAAAGGACTGGAAAAGGATAGTTAACACAGTCAATTAAGTTCAGTTTTAATTTGAAAAATTAAATAAATATTCAAAATATTCAATTAAAATCACTACTGAATTTAAGTTATTAGTCCATATGTAATTAGCACTTGTAAGTAACTAAAACACGTTGTGTCTATATAGAAACTAGAAACATGTGGATAAATATTATAAATATGAAAACAGTGATCAGAGGCGACGAGCGTGCCAACATTGTTTTTGACAACGCGATCATCTTATGGAGCTCCGTGGATCGTTCAAAGTACCTTTCGAACAGATGTCTAATAATGGTGGATTATTAACCACTAAGTGGTTAATAATCCACCATTATTAGACACTAACATTCATAACGCGCCCGCGGCCAACTTCATGGTGTTACTATTGTGTTACAGTGATGCGCGCGCATCTCGAAATTTCACTCACATGATTTTTTCATAACGCGCCCGCCGCCAACTTCATGCTGTTACTTTTGGGTTACAGTGATGCGCGCGCATCTAAAAATTTCACTCTCATCATTTTTTCATAACGCGCCTAAAGAAGTATAACTTCAAAAAGTGGCCGTATTTTTATGTTAACACTTCATATTTGTAGCAAGGTCCGCAACTGTAACACTTTCAGAAGTTAGCTTACTACATCTGGTAACTGTGGTTTATTTTTCATGCAACTTGCTAGCCTTGCAAAGTGAAAAAAATGTCAACTGTGCCTTGCAGTGGGTTTACTTTGACGTTTACACTTAATATTTGCTTATATTTTATTGATACGTTTAAACATGAAATTAATGAATACAAAAAGCTTTTAAATTAACTAATTGAATGAGTGAACTGTTATTATTAAAATTTATCTTTTGACAATTTGATTTATGTAAATTTTTGTTTTTTTTTTCAATTCAATTGAATGTTATATTTTATTTAACTTTATTTGATTTTCTTTATAAATACACAGCAGCTCATAACTGTCCTAGTTGTTAGTGGAAATTTTGTTGATATTTCATTAATATAAATGCAACAAAATGTTGTTTGTTTCCCAAATAAATAAAATAAACAAATTTGTAACAAGGTCCGCACTGTAACACTTGCTAACTGTTTTTTTTTTTTTTTTTTCAAACAACTTGCAAGCCTTGCAAACTGAAAAAATTGCAAAACTGTGCCTTGCAGTGGCACTCTATTTTGACGTTTACACTTAATATTTGTAGCAAGGTCCGCAACTGTAACACTTGCAGAAGTTAGTTTGCCACACCTACGTAATGTTACCACTGTGGTAACAGTTTGCTGAAGTCGACTTCTGCAAGTTCTATTGCTAGTCTAGACCCACTTGCGCAAAATATGCTAAATCTCGATTTAACTTTTTTTATACTTTATTTAAATTTCGCCCAAACAAAATTGTCAGCTTGACATTGATATTGTGACATTTTGTATAGGTGAAATCTAGTTTTAGTTAAATCGAGATTTTGCAAATTTGTTGCAAGTGGGCCTAAAACTAGCATGATGTGAATTTACTCCTCCGTAGTGCGATTGGTATATACGTCGGCCGGTTTTCAAGGTGTCAATGTCGCATACACATAGGGTTTCAATCCCGAATTAAATGTTGAAGGATGTACATACATTATATACATTTCTAGATAAATATATATAACATTATATGTATTCTATCCGTTACCCTAGCATCATATAACGGGGCTGCCTTGTTTCGCGAAACTTGTAATATCAATATTATTATGCATATCAGCGGATGGCATCAACTTAATTTCGCAGAAAATCATTTGATAAAAGCTGGTTTACATTATAATTTCATATTCTGCTTAGAAACGGAACCAGATTATCCTAACCTCATTCTGGAGGGCAATTATTGAAAAAGGTCGTTAATTTACAATCTATCTTCGACATTTTAAATACTATGTAATAAAATCTAAGCTATTCGAATCTGTTTTTGTATTTAATTTTCCATATTTAAGTTACAATGATATCTTATTAAAATTGAAAACCAAACCATAGCGAGATTTACAAAAGCTACAGCGTCATCTGTTTGTTTAGTATAACATCTAAATCACGCAACGGAGTCTGATGCGGTTTCCAAAATAAGTTAGATAAATATTTTTCAATAAAGGTAAAATATAAACCCCAGAACAAAAAGTGGTTAATCATAATATAATCACTCGGTACACTTACCGTACTGGAGGGTTTGTATTCTTCAGGTGGCTCCACTGTGCTATACTGAAACGTGATAAAAACGCCATATAGCCTTTTTTTTTAAAATTTGCTTTTATCAGTTTACTTATTAGGAATAACAATTGAGGAGCTGGCGAACAAAACGGCATAACTACATCAAATTAAATTTTACATGAGCTGTAAAAAACTGAATGAGATACCCCCAGTTAGCTTTTGGCATGTTTTTTTTAATTAGTAAAGGACATGGTAAAAATTTTGTATGAGAGACTGCCCTCGCAATGTATAAATAATGTTCTTGGTAAGATTTATTGCTGAATGGCTAAATATCTATCGATGGCGCAAGTGGTTAGCGCGTTCGGCTGCGATCGTTGAAGTTAAGCAACATTCACAGGGGTTGGTCATTTGATGGATGACCAAAAAAATTTACTCTCTCACTCCTCCGTGCTTCGGAAGGTACGTTAAGCCGTTGGTCCTGACTGTATCTGCAGTCGTTAGCATCCACCGATCCGCACTGGGCCCGCGTGGTGGGTCGCGGCCCAATCTCCCTATACCATCAATAGGGAAGGCCTGTGCCCCAGCAGTGGCAACATTAACCCGTGGACTGTGTGAATGGCAGATTTCTGCCAATACCAAAAAACCACTGTCTGTGTGAGTGGCGGATTCCCGCCACGCAATATTATAATACAATATTTAGATATAGAATAGATATATACAAATAGACACAGAAAATATTTAAGACATAAATGAGGAAGCAGGTTCAGTAGAACTCGAAATTTAACAATAGGTTTTGACGGCCATTTTGTTTACACAGTCCACTGGCTGATGATGGATGATGATGATCTTCACTACATAGTATAAAGCAAAGTCGCTTCCCGCTGTCTGTCCCTATGTATGCTTAGATCTATATAACTACGCAACGGATTTTGATGTTTTTTTTAAATTTATAGAGTGATTCAAGAGGAAGTTTTATATGTTTAATACATGCATAATATAGTAGAGAAATACTGATAATTTTAGAGGTTTTTAATGTAAGGCCGTAAATAAACAAATTTTTATGCGCTTAAATTGCAAACGCTGGCTGAACCCTACGAACTAGATCAAAATAATGTACTACAGTATTGTATACCTTAAAAAGGTCTACAAAAAAAGTCCGCAATGGTATATGTCTATCTCTTAGGGATAACCCACAATAACCATTTTTTATTTTATACTTTTTACGAGAAATAATAGCTTATTTACGAAGCGATTCTCAGCAATGTAACATTCATCCTTAACCAATTAAGTACCTTTAATACATTGTGTATTTAATACAGATCAATTTGGCCCTTTAAAGCATGTAATTTAAATGAATATTTTCGAAGATATTACAGATTTTAAAATGCAGGGACATAGCGGTTCCGACGCGGCGGCGGGCCTGGCGGCGCGTGCCTATTGTAATTAGGTATAAGCTATAAGAAGAATGTCATAGTGTATAATACAAGCCTGAGAACAAAAACTATAGTCTACACTTCAGCTCTACACCGAAGCGAAGCGAGGGCGGGCCACTAGTATCTTATAATCTCACCTTAGTCGAAGGCGTGTCATATATGGTGAAGGCGGGTAACTCTTTCCTATCGTGCTCAAATGTTGCGTACAAATCGTTCCTGAGTTTGTCAGTGGCTATCTGACACTCGTTGAGTAAGGTGTCGATCTCTTTACTCTCAACTGTGGACAAAAAAAATATTTAATTAAATAATAAATATATATTTCCAACACTCACTCCAACTAGCCTAGTCCCAAAGTAAGCACTGAAAGTGTCGCCGCACACGGGCCACACGCCACAGCCACAAACGCCGCCACGTGAAGCTAGAAGCGGCTACTAAAGTGGCTGAAGCGCGCGACAGCGGCCGACTAAGGTAAGGAAAGAGAGGGGTGGGGAATCGCGCGAGTGACGTGTGGCGGCGTTTTGTATCGGTGCATTAAGTGGCCGCTGCGGGCCACAAGAAGCTAGCAACGACGATTTGTAGCGTGTGGCGGCCACCGGCGTACCGTGTGTGGCGAGTCCATATAAAATGTATGAAAACTACAAGAAATATGCCGGTGGCGGCGTTTTGTGGTTGTGGTCGGTGGCCCATGTGAGGCAACACTAAGGCTTGCATTATGGGATGCTAGGGTAACGGATAGAATACATATACAGTACATATATAAGTATTTTTATATAGAAATATGTACATAATAAAACATCCATGACTGGAGTACAAATGCTCGTGTTCATCACACAAACATCTGCACATCACACAAACATCACCGGGATTCGAACACGGGACCTCTCAAGTCGGCGACCCATTTAAAGAAATTAAAATTTCTTTGGATTTAAAAATCAATCAGATTAATTTTTAAGAATAAGAAAAATATTATATGAGAAGCTTTCTCTATAAAAAAATCATTCAATAATCGACGTTAAATGGTACAGCTTAAAGTCTATCACGGACATATAATACATTACTACAGCGGCCAGCAAAAGTCAGAACGTATATATCAAAGTCCATCAATGCCTAGTTGTGGCCAAGGCTTTTATAGTCCTCTTCTCAAATAATGCGCGGAAATAAAACTAAATACTACCTAGGCAGAACTTTCGAAATTCTTGAAAATCAATGAAGAACAACAACAAAATTTTCCCGTGTTTAAAATAGGGTATTTGACAAGTTTTCTCACGTTATTGAGTAATGTTTATGGAGTCCGTAAAAAGTGGATATACATCATTCTGTTGTGTATTTCGGTAAAAAAAACCAAATCAAAAACTCTACATTCAAGTTGCCGCGAAAAACGTATCTCTGGACAATATGGCGTCTCACTGGTGTATGACGTCACACGACTGTTATTAAAACGTCAAACGATACAATGTAATGTCACTTTAACCGGATGTTTACTTGCGTGTGACGTCATATTAGGCTCCGCCAATCCCAAGCGTTTTGGGTCACGTGACAAAACTATTATCTGTATCGTGGGTTTTTAGTAAAATTATGAATATTCTTTCTGTAAAAATAGTAAAACCTCTATAAAGAATACTTTTCAATATGCTTTCCTACGATGGGCCGGCCTGCTTGGAAGAAATTTTAGATTGAAATAAGCTGTGCCCTTGTACTACTATCTTATTTTGTAATTTCTGTCTATTTATATTTGTGTGTACAAAATGTATAAATAAATAAATAAATTGCTGAGTATGCATTGTCATGTTTAGTGAACACGGTGTATTAAAGACCGCCTAGAAAAACTTCTTCTAAACTTCAACTTGCAGAAAAAAATGCATTATTAGTAAAATATCACCAACCTTCTAACATTTTCAATTCGCTGTTCAACGCGTCTTGAGCTTCTGTTAGTCTGACGTCCATCTTAAATTTTTTCCAAGTCTTATTGATCATGTCAGCAAGGTGCTGCTCCAGCATTCTAAATGAAAAAAGATCATGGGTCAGCGGTCATACAAAATAGGGATGATGACTAATTTTTTTTCTTCGTTTATCAGGTAGATTATCAAAAAGTATTGGACACGTATTTTTTTCTTTTTTTTACATAATATAAACATTGCTGAGATATATTGATTTGAAAAATCGCATAACGTCACGTTTTACAATTAAACAAGTACAATTTTCACTCAAAAGTGACGTCACGAGCCCCTACTCTTAACTTTGGTGCGCTATAACTTTGCCATTTTTTGGTTGATTGCCCAAAGAAAAAATACGTGTCCATTATTTTTTGACCATCTAACTGACGGGCTAAATGGAAGTTCGTTTACTGTACCCCGTCATCACCCCTATTATCATCCTCATGATGTTCGGAATAAAATAGGACCGAACTTCCATGAGCAAATCTATACATATAATAAAAACTAGCGGCAACCCGCGACTTCGTATGCGTGGAGTTAGTTAGAAATAAAGGTTCACTGCTCGTTCCCCGTAGGCGATAGCGTGATAATATGTAGCCTATATGTTGACCCGACTTCTTAATAATATTCGTGCCGATGGCGCAGGTGGCTAGCACGTTCGGCTGCGATCGTTGAAGTTAAGCAACTTTCGCAATGGTCGGTCATTGGATGGGTGACCAAAAATTTACTATCTCGAGCTCCTCCGTGCTTCGCAAGGCACGTTAAGCCGTTGGTCCCGGCTGCATGTGCAGTCGTTAACACCCGCCAATCCACACTAGACCAGCGTGGTGGGTCGTGGCCCAGTCTCCCTATACCATCCATAGGGAAGGCCTGTGCCCAGTGCCCTCTTTGACCTATTGGAGGTCATGGGCATATTAGGATAATGGGGCCCCTATGACTTCCGTTTGGTGATTTAACAGGAACTAGGGACTTTGTATTTGATCTGAGGAGGTCCCCTATCGATCGCGGGGCCCTAGGCACTTTCCCAAGTGCCCACTGGGAAAGTCGGGTCTGCCTGTGCCCCAGCAGTGGGGATATTAATAGGCTGATGATGTGTTTCTGTCGGTGTGTAAGGTTCCGGGGCTTCACTTGGGAGGGGATTGGGTCAGGGTAGGCAACGGAGCGAGTAGGTAATATTTTTAGTTTCCCAAGCGTCTAAGGAGCTCGATGGCGCAGGTGGCTAGCGCGTTCGGCTGCGATCGTTGAAGTTAAGCAACTTTCGCAGTGGTCGGTCATTGGATGAGTGACCAAAAATTTACTATCTCGACCTCCTCCGTGCTTCGGAAGGCACGTTAAGCCGTTGGTCCCGGCTGCATTTGCAGTCGTTAGCACCCACCAATCCGCACTGGGCCCGCGTGGTGGGTCATGGCCCAATCTCCCTATTCCATCCATAGGGAAAGACTGTGACCCGGCAGTGGGGACATTAATAGGCTGATGATGATGATGATGATGATGAAGCGTCTAAAGGCTATGGTGGCCGCTTACCGTCAGGCGGGCCATACGCTAGTTTGCCACCCTTTAACATAAACAAATATTAATTTAGAAAGAAAGAAACAATAAGCTTTTATTGGCCTTACACATGTTAAAAAAAACACGTGGGTTGCACTCCGGGAGTGCCGGCAGAAGTGAAAACTTGAATATTAACGTTGTGCATTTTTAATATTTTGGAATGGTTAGGGAATAATTTTGCACGAATTGCTTTAATTATCAGTATAAAAGTACTATCATTTATGTGGTAGAATACAATATTTATTTATTGCGCTATCGTACACAAACATGACAATTTATATTACATTAAAAAAGTTTATCTCTCAGAAAAATCAACTTACATGAATCACGTTGAAGCGCACTTAGCGACATCTATTGTAAAGAAATCAACTTACATGACTCACATTTATGCTCACCTAGCGACATCTATTGAAAAAAAAAATGCATTTTCTTCGCAATAAAGCTGCCACTTGGACGTCCTAGATAGAGACTTATTATTATATAATACGATAAAATAAAATATTACTATGTTCCGTCCAATATATTGAAAGTCGACAACCTTTCCAATTTTATTGTGTGTCATGATGCGATCATCCCACGTCTTTAACCTGACGCGAATTTAACATTTTTTACCCATACAAAAAAAATGTACAACGCCGCTAAAGATATTTTCACTTCAAAAACCAATAATTATAGCAATAACAATAAAAACAAACAGAAAGCAACAATATGGAGAAAGAAAAAAAGGCCAAACAGGACCCTGCCTCAGCTTAATGCTGTTATAGTAGGAGAGAATATTCCCACCATAATAGCGCTGGTATTCTGGCAGGGCCTGTACGAGATTGCTAGAGGCAAATTTAGATATTGTTTCATAACTCACTTGGCTCCGAGAACTCCTATCTTCTCTTTCGCCTCATTTTCCGTTTCAGCTTCTTCCTCCGACTCCGAGTCGGATATCTCCACTAATTCTAAGCACTTTTTCGTAGTATCCAAGTCCAGTAGCGGAGTAAAATCTTTGATGCCATTCACTAAACTCTGAAAGCAAAACTCGTCAACATCAGCCTATTAATCTGCGACATGGGCCTTCCCTATGGATGGAATAGGGAGATTGGGCCGTGACCCACCACGCGTGCCCAGGGGGATTGGTGGGTGCTAATGACTGCAGTTGCAGCCGGGACCGACGGCTTGACGTGCCTTCCGAAGCACAGGTGTGAGAGATAGTAAATTTTTAGTCACCCATCCAATGACCGACCACTGCGATAGTTGCTTAACTTCAACGAACGCAGTCGAACGCGCTAACCACCCGCGCCATCGAGCTATTCGTATATTATGATAATAATAAATATATCACACATAACAAGGACATGTTACATTTAAGAGCGGACGCCAGCTGAGAGACATTGGAAAAATAGGTATATGAAAAGACCATTACTATCGCGCATTGGCAAATACCGCACGATAAGCTAACTCTGAAAATTGCGCATAAAAATTGCAAAATTCGAGGTTCGACTCTCCACGATTTCCTCGACGAAAATTAGATATATGTAAAAGAAATTTTATTTTGGCATTTTTGAGGGTTCTAGTTATTTCGAAACACAAGTTTTCGATAAAAGAAAGACAGGAGCATAGCATCAGTAAAACTATATTTATCTCGTGCTCTGGCACTATGATCTTATATATATATTTCTATCTGTTTCATTTTTCTGTAATTTCTATCTAAGTTGTGCATCCTATCACTATTTATCCACAACACTTATGGTTGACTCGTAGAGAATGCCTACGGCATTAAGTCCGTCTTTTTGCGCTTGTGCATTAAGTATTAATAAATAAATATATCCCTTCTATATAACATGTTATGCTACGTAACTAGGAACGTACCTCTGTCCTCTTAACGACTATATACGCGCACTGCTCACACACCATAGCCCGTCTCTTTTTGGCAGCGTCAAAGTAAGCCACAGTGGCGGCATCTGCCGGCAAGAAGGCGCATTTGCCGGCGGAAGAGCAGGACAGGTTGATGCATTTGACTGTCTCTTTTGCACGTTCTGTGTCTGTCGTTTGTTTGTCGGATGGTTGGGTGGGTGGGGTTTCTGTGGAAATTTGGCTATGGTTATATATTTTAACAAAGATATATTTTTTATTTTTTTTAATAAGCATGTAACTGCTTGATGTTTACATCTAAAGAAAATATAACTAGATTATTTTCTAATATAAATACATACATGTATGTACATATTTCATTTACTAGCTATAAGAGAAAGAAAGAAAATGTGCGCGCGCACTGCTTTCTCTTGCTTATATCCCCCACTAAACTGCCGTTCGCTTCGCACCAAAAATTTCCACGCGGATTTTTTCTTCTAGTGATATTTAGATTTTTCTTTAGATTTAAACACCAAGCACTTACATGCTTAAAAAATAAAAATTATAACTATAATTGCTATTTCTTCTTTCAAATGTTTAATACTTGTAAAAGTATTCATTTGACATTGTGGGTTACCTACAATGCGAAAAGATGGCGCTGCCTTGCAGCTTAAGAATGGCTAGAAGAATTTCGACGCGGCCATCAGGGCCGCGGTTGCATAATTGGTCAGTGCATTCGCCCGGATAGGGAAGGGTGCGGGTTCGAGTCTAAAATTTGAAATTTTTCTAGTTATATTTTCTTTAAAGATATATTTTGCTAGAAAAAAAATGAGTGTGCTTATGACCACACGACTGAAGTGAAACTTCTTTAGCTCCATCTGTATGTATATATATGTGTGTACAATATATATACATGTAAGTAAATATTTCATTTTCTATAAGAGAAAGAGAGAAAGAAAACGTGCGCGCGCACTGCTCTCTTGCTTATATCCCCCACTCAACTCACTCAATATCACTAAAGATAAGAAGTTGTTTTCAAAAACCCGTATTTGTGTCTCTTAGTAAATCAGAATGTACCCAGATGGCGCTATATTATTAAATAGGTAAATTACACTAGTGTAAGGGCGATAGTCCAATAAAATTAATTAACGTTAGAAATTACCTAATGAATAAATAAATAACTTACCGTCTGCACTTTTAGTATCTTCGTCGTCGGAATCTAGATTGAAAACCTCTAGGCCAAACTTCGGTGTAGATGGCTCTTCAACGGGCTGAAAGTTATGGCAAAGTATGCATATATAACCCCTTATTTACACCAAGAAACGAATCATATACTAGTTTTACACAAAACTTGTAGAATACTTGTTCAAAATATCCTTTCGTATACACTGCATAGACTACAAGTATCTTTACAAGTATAAATCACTATTTACTTCTATGTGATTTCTATGTTCTTCTATATTTGTTAATCCAACAAGTTTGATGCAAGTATTGAATACTACATGTTTTACACATGTATATAAAAATGTATTAGTACATATATGAGGAGCTCGGTGGCGCGGGTGGTTAACGCGTTCGGCTGCGATCGTTCAAGTTAAGCAACTTTCGCAGTGGTCGGTCATTAGATGGGTGACCAAAAATCTTCTATCTCAAGCTCCTCCGTGCTTCGGAAGGCACGTTAAGCCGTTAGTCCCGGCTACATCTGCAGTCGTTAGCACCCGCCAATCCGCACTGGGCCCGCGTGGTGGTTCATGGCCCAATCTCCCTATTCCCTCCATAGGGAAGGCCTGTGCCCCAGCAGTGGGGATATTAATAGGCTGATGATGATATAAAAATAGGTATGTAAGTATAACTTGTTTCGTTTTCAAAGGCGCCTATATCATCAATCATACCTGGAGGTCTTAAATAGCGAGGAAGAGTGTTTAAAATATTATTCATATGAAGTTATTCCCAATAGGGTATTTGACAAGTTTGAGAAAACGATCTCACGTTATTGACTAATGTTTATGGAGTCCGTAAAAAGTGGATATTCATCATTCTGTTGCGTGTTTCAGTAAAAATAACCAAATCAAAAACTCCATTCTCAATTTGCCACGAAAACGTTTCTCTGGACAATATGGCGTCTTACTAGTGTGTGACGTCACACGACTGATATCAAAACATCAAACGATACAATGTAATGTCACTTTAACCGGAAGTTTACTTGCGTGTGACGTCATTTTAGGCTCCGCCACTCCCAAGCGTTTTGGGTCGCGTGACAATAGATAAGAAAACTATTATCATTTCCGTGGGTTTTTAGTAAAATAATGAATATTTTTTTTGTAAAAATAGTAAAAACCCCTGCCAATATTCATTCTCAACACAGATGCTAACAATTGGCACTTTATTTTTAATACTGTCAAATACCCTATTGAATGCACAAATTGACAAGAACTCATGAACAGTAATATGTTGACACTTTAGAATTGAAATTTTTAGAGTGCACGATTACTGTTAGCGTTACCTATAACCACAGAACACAGTTAGAGGTTAGAAAGGAGATCAGTACCCTTAGCACGAACCAATATCGAATTCGTATCGTTTGCGAGTCCGAAATGTCATTGTCAAATGTGTACTGATTTTTAGTTCTCGTTAAGTACTTTGTGCCGCTGCTGTTCAAGTTTCCATACAAAATTTGACATTGACATTTCGGTTTCGATAATGGTTCGGGCTAGGGGTACTGTACCCTTAGCATGAACCAATATCGACTTCGAATAGTTTGCGAGTCCGAAATGTCATTGTCAAATTTTGTATGAAAATTTGAACAGCAGCGCCATAACGTACGTTACGAGAACCAAAAATCAGTACACATTTGACAATGAAATTTCGTATTCACAGACGATACGATTTCGATATTGGTTCGTGCTAGGGGTACAGATACCGGTCGTATGGGAACTGATTCCATCTAATAAAAAAATACCAATCAAACGACGCGACATCAAACAATCGAACCAATCAGCGCTCACGCCCGAGAGCAACGACGCAATCAGAACCAAGTTTTGGCCAAGGTATGAGCATTTGCTCACACATTACTGTGGCACTCCTTGCCCCGCCCACAAGGCCCTTCTAACTTCTTTCTGTGTTCTCTGCCTTTAACTAACCAATAATAATAAAAACCCAGCATAAGGTGCGTCGGTCTCCTCACAAAAAGAATGAAGGAAATGTTTTTATAAAAAGGCGAAAGGGGAAGATCTTCCTCCGAGCTGGGTGATGGTAGCTCGGGGGCCGCGATCCGCTCCGCCCAACTGATCTTGGTCGGGCATTGCATATGTGGAGGGTTAGCCTCCGAATTTCACTTGCGCGATGCAGGCTTCTATACTTATTGATCGCAGCGCCAGTAGCGCCATCTCTTGAGGAGGCGAGGGATTATTTCCTGCATCCTCCATCCGTTGGTTATATGTGGGGCATGTAGATGTTCCCGCCACATCTTTTTCAATAATTTATATATGTATTTCCTCATTCCTATTATTAGATTAATATTTTCACTCTTTGTACTTACCTTAATTTGAGGTTGAGCTGCAGCTTCTGAGCTGCTTACGGTCCTTATAGATATCTCGCTTGTATTTATTCGGGGCTGTAAGGAACGAACAGAAAATATACAACGATTATAAAATATACTAGCTGACCCAGCGAACTTCGTACCGCCCTAAAAATAGGGGCTGGTGGTAGAAGGGTGAATATTTATGTATTTTTATTAACACATAATATTTTTTTTTAAAAAATACCAAAAAATAAACGTTATGGGTGGACAACCCTTATCACTTAGGGGTATGAAAAATACATAGCAGCCGATTCTCAGACCTACTGAATATGCATATAAAATTTCATAAAAATCGGTCAAGCCGTTTCGGAGGAGTATGGTAACTAACATTGTGACACGAGAATTTTATATATAAGATATCATTTGTCAAATCTATCGGCCCACTTAAGCCGGGTCTCCAGCGAGTATTTTGCTCTACACATTCAACAAAAACATATAAAACGTTCAAGAAAATCACATAACTTTGTTTCACTACACACATTTGTTTGCATCAACAATGTTTTTGCTTTCCGAGTCCGATGGAAAATACGAACAGAAATCCCCAGATATCTTTATATCCCCATAGAAATTATATTTACACTAGCTGTCCCAGCGAACTTCGTACCGTTATAAAAAAAAATAGGGATTGGTGGTAGAAGGGTGAAAATTTAGGGTTATATCTATTTTTGTATGATGTATCATAAAAAAATAAAAACAAAAAGAATTGTCCAGAAAAAAAAATTAAGGGGGGACCACCCTTTACATTTAGGGAGATGAAAAAAGATGTTGTTTGATTCTCAGACCTACTGAATATGCATATAAAATTTCACGAAATTCGGTCGAGCCGTTTATGATATATGAGGCCCGAGGTGCCAGATTAAAAAAAAAGACGCCCATGGTAGTAATTGGACTCTTATTGTATTGGATGGAGATTGATGGATTGGAGATGGAGTAGTTCAATGACGCACACCGTGACACAAGAATTTTATATATTAGAAAGATATCAGCCCATCTATCATGTAACACATCTATCGGCCCACTCAAGCGCGTGTTTCGCCTTACACAATCAACAAAAACATATCAACATTCAACAAAATCGTCTACACAACACTTTGTTTCACTACACATATTTGTTTGCATCAACAATGTTTTTGCTTTCCAAGTCCGATGGAAAACACGTATACAAATCCCCCCCCCCCCCCGCGCGGGTCGAAGGACAGGGTTTCATCGGCCATTTTTTGACAACTCCCTCCGTTCCATACCTTTTCTCCGAGTATAATATTTACTCTGACGTTTAAATTTATAAATAAATGCAACAAATGTCAAATTTGACAAAAGTTTCGTTCATTGACGACCTCCGTGGCCGAGTGGTTTGTACGGCGTGGTTCATGGTGTCGCCGACTCGAGAGGTCCCGGGTTCGAATTCCGGAGGGGGCAGATATTTGTGTGATGAAAACGAGCATTTGTACTCCAGTCATGGATGTTTAATATGTATCCATCCGTTACCCTAGTATCCCATAACACAAGCCTTACAGTGCTTACTTTAATTCTGGCTAGACTAATTGGTGTGTTAGAAATATTATGCTCACTGTTCGTTCGACTTTAGTCGTTGTTTTGGGTTCACTGACCGCAGATAGAGCACCCTGTATATCCCTAAACGTGGATACTTTTTATGGACTCTATTAACGCTAGTAAATAATGTACGATTATTGTTTATATTTTTTAAGCATTTAACTGCTAGATGTTTAATTCTAAAGAAAAGTTTACTAGAATAATATCCACGCGGACCAGGCAGCAGACGGGACTCGAACCCGCACCCTTCGCGATCCGGGCGAATGCACTGACCATTATGCTACCGCAGCGCTGACGGCCGTGACGAATCTTCTCTAGCCTTACGCTACGATGATTTTCAAATACTTGTCAAATACACTATCGTACTCACTGTTCGCTTGACTTTAGTCGGAGTTTTGGGTTCACTGCCCGCAGTTAGAGCACCCTGTATATCCGTAGAGGTGGATGGCTCCGCTGTAGGTGCCGAATCTGGTTGCGTTTTATCCACTTCTTGCACATCTGTGTAAGGTACAAAAAAATAATGCCTGATTTTATTTTAACACATTATACTATTATTACAAATATACCTAAAGGAATAGGTACCTAGTTTCATCCTATGAAAAGAAATAACAAGAAAATACAAATACGAGTCCAATTACTACCATGGGCGTTTTTTTTAAATCTGGCGACTCGGGCCACATAACATTTTAACGGGATAAAAAGTATCCCATGACTCAATCTAGGTCACAAACTATATGCGTATCAAATTTCATCCAAACCTGATCAGTACCCTTAGCACGAACCATTATCGAATTCGAATAGTTTGCAAACCGAAATGTCAATGTCAAATTTTGTATGGAAACTTGAACAGCAGCGGCATAAAGTACGTAACGAGAACTAAAAATCAGTACACATTTGACAATGACATTTCGGAATCGCAAACGATACGAATTCGATATTAGTTCGTGCTAGTGGTACTGTAGTTATTACCTGATTGAGAAACACACATACAAACTTTCAGATTTATAATATAATTAGAATATTTTTACGCACACCAATCTGTACTAACATTATAAGGAAGAAGATTTGTATTTTTTTAAAGAATAAACTCAATAACACTATACAATATTGAATTTTCTGATCAGATCACATCCAATACACTTTACAATACATAATCAATTCAATCAAATAAATACCTACTCATATAAGCTTGAATCGATTTATCTTAAGTATCGTGTAAAGAGTCGTATGGTTACATCACAAATGTCAAAACGAGCCTATTAATTAGTGATGACTGTAACAGGGTATTTGACGGTATTAAACATAAATTGCCAATTGTTAGCATCTGTGTTTAGAATGAATATTGGCAGGGGTTTTTACTATTTTTACAACAAAAAATATTCATAATTTTACTAAAAACCCACGACAAAGATAACAGTTTTCTTATCTATTGTCACGTAACCCAAAACACTTGGGATTGGCGGAGCCTAAAATGACGTCACACATTAGTAAACTTCCGGTTAAAGTGACATTACATTGTATCGTTTGACGCATAACATAACAGTCGTGTGACGTCACACACTAGAAAGACGCCATATTGTCCAGAGAAACGTTTTCGCGGCAACTTGGACATCTAGTTTTTGACACGGTTACTTTTACTGAAATACACAACAGAATGATGAATATCCACTTTTTACGGACTCCTTAAACATTAGTCAATAACGTGAGATCGTTTTCTAAAACTTGTCAATACTTAGGACTAAGTGCGAAAACCTTCTTCAGCTTTCAACGAAGCGAAAGCGGGTGACTAGTGTAAAAACTGTGATTTTTTTCTTACCGTCTTCCGAAGAGCTCTCCTCCAAGTCAACAAAGTTGATGACACTCTCACTGGTCTTGGTTATGAACAATCTCTTCGCTGTGGGCTTGGTTTTTTCAGATGGCTCTTTCTTTGTTTTCTCGGAAGTCGAAGGCAAAGGATCTGAAACAATTGTGAAACATGATATGTATCACCAAAAGGACAGATTTGTTTTTATTAAGATTTTTAATCATAATTGATTCATGAACATGCATGTTTTCGTTCAACATACTATGTATTAAATAATAGTGGAAAATTCATGATATAATGAACATCTGATAAAACTAGTTTTAACGGGTTCATGCACGAACTTTATTTATTTATTGACGTTTTGCAGCCTTTTCAGGTCTGCATCATAAGAATAATGATTTTTTATTTACTTTGTCGAGCTACCTTTGAAGCACTTTTATTGAGCGTTCGGATATTTCATTGGAAGATTTTTAAAACTTTATTGTCTTCTTCCAATGAAATATCCGAACACTCAATAAAAGTCTTTCGAAGGTAGCTCGACAAAGTTAATAAAAAAATCATTATTCTGACGATGCAGACCTGAAAAGGCTGCGAAACGTCAATAAATAAATAAAGTTCGTGCATTAACCCGTTAAAAATAGTTTTATTTAATGAGTGATATGCGTGAAAACCTGAGAAACAAATAATTAACATGTGTTTTTAATGCTGTATGTTTACCTTAATAAATAAACATATAAAAATTGTCTCGATCTAGCTAGGTGTCCCATATGATAAACGTTATTTAATCATAACTTTGTTATTCTTTCTGTTATCGTTACACAATATTTTTTTGGTATTTTTTTATTAACACCACAACTAAATTGATGTTTGGAAAAAATATTGGGACGATTTAAAAGAGTTGTACTTAAAATGCTTCTATTTATAATAAAATCAATTTACTTCAACCTTTATACGAGCATCTTTATATCACAAAATTCAGTATCAACCACATTCAGTAGTTGGAAATGTTATAAATGGTTTACACTTTGATATTTAAACATACAAACCTTCATCTTTTGCCTGTTCTCGTAGCATGGATCTCAGAAGACTGCAGTCCGCTTCTACCTCATTGTCAGACGTATCCGAGAGTTTCACCGTTTCAATGTCCATCGCTTCTTTTTCTTCTGGTGCTTTATCCTAACCGGCAGTTAAATTGGAAATGTAAACAATTTATACTGTATAATGCGATTCAAATAAGAATAGGAAAGCCAATGACCTCTATCTGTCAAATGTCGCTTGAAAAGTACGGTTTGCAAAAAAAAACTTGGACTCCTTTTTTAGCACTCCGCTAATTCAAGAATAAAAACCAAACATTTGTAAACAAACAATAATAAATATTGATAATTAATATCGGTTGATATTTTTTTCACTTATTGAGCTTTGGCCATGAATTTCGAAAACGCAACAGTGTAAATTCACCGTTATCTCCTCAATGTAATTCGTGTGGGGCGGGTCGTTACGTTCCCTAAAAATAGTTGAGCGAAGCGATGGCTGGTTCGTGCGTCATGCTCGTGAACGGGTGCCGCTAGCGGAGATGAGTCTGCTCTTGCTACATTCGGTACTATTTATCGTTGTATTAAACTTAATTTTTTTTTCATGCCTTAACAGCAGGACAAGACCGACGCATACCTAAACTATGTGTTAAATCAGTGTTAATATATCATTTTATTGCAGTCATATATTTTATCATTTACATTAGTAATGGAAAGTGACTTCATGAGTCATCACATTTTGAAGTCATTTTTCAATATGACGAACTGTATACATATTATTATATACAGTTCGTCAGGGAGAAAAAACAGCACTTGCTGAGTTTCTTGCCGCTTCTACTCAGTACAAACTCTCCCGGCGTAGCTTTTCGACATTCACAAGTGCTTGTAACAGCCTAGACTGAATAAACGATATTGACTTTTTCCTTCCGAGCTGATAATCAGCGGAATAATAAGTACATTAAGTTGCGGAGATAATGACCAATTTTCTCTGTTAAGTTTCCGAAAATTGCTTCGATGCGCTTCGAGACTGCGCTAGTATGAATAGACCATTAGTTGGAGTTTTACTATTCGTAGTATTTATTCATACTAGTTTTTTTTTATGTATTTATGTATATTAAATACAGTCAACACAGAGTAATTATTTAGTCCTAAACTATGGAATATATATAACGCTTTTACTATGAAAATTACATGTTGTCGCCCGATCGTATCCTTAGCTACATTATGATTTTCCTAGGCATATCATGAAAGCGATGTATGATTGATGATCTGTGATGAGAAAAAAATGATGACATATCATGATAGGACTGCCACAGCCACTCGCTTGATTTAAGTCAAGTCAACCATCTTCAAAACACATAACTTATCCAGTATTGCATTACCATCGCTTTTAAAACTTAAAACACCCAAAAAATTTCATATCTATAGTCTATGGTCGCTTACCATCAGGCAGAGCTTGTTTGCCAACCTTTTTGTTATAAAAAAAACGCACTTCTGAAAATTTTACAAGAAAAAAATCCACGCGATCCAGACAGCAAACGGGACTCGAACCCGCACCCTCCGCTATCCAGGCGGATGCACCGACAAAATATGCTACCGCGACCTTAATGGCCGTTTCGGATTTCACCTAGTATATCTTATGTTGCAAAGCTGCGCCATCTCTTCGCACTGTCGGTACCCCACAATTTATGGTAAAATTTTCTTTAATTTAAACATCTAGCAGTTAAAAGCTTAGAAAAAAAATATAATAAAATTACACTTATTAGTTCCATGCATGCGTACATTTTAGAAAAGATTAACACTCACAATGACCGTTTCTGTTTCCCCAATGTTGTCTACGATGACGTTATTTTCTACATTATCTTCTGTTCCTATCTGCTCCGGAGTGACTTCAACAACCTAAAACAATAAGTTAATAACAAATTGATTAGGTTGATTAAACGCATGAGGAGCTCGATGGCGCCAGTGGTTAGCGCGTTCGGCTGCGGTCGTTGAAGTTGAGCAACTTTCGCAGTGGTCGGTCATTGGATGGGTGACCAAAAATTTACCATCTCGGGCTCCTCCATGCTTCGGAAGGCACGTTAAGCCGTTGGTCCCGGCTGCATCTGCAGTTGTTAGCACACACCAACCCGCACTGGGCCCGCGTGGTGGGTCATGGCCCAATCTCCCTAATCCATCCATAGGGAAAGCCTGTGCCCCAGCAGTGGGGGCATTAATAGGCTGATGATGATGAAACGCAATAGTTAAAAGACATCTCTCAATATCATTGTGTATCAAATACACTAGGTAGTGTGGGTAAGGTTATTTTATTAATTTAATGTATATTCAATGTTATATTAAATGAAAATGTTAGCTTTGTACTCACTTTTAAACATAAACTTTGTTAGGCTATTTGATAAGTTTTTGAAAACTTTCATATGTTATTTATAAGTCGCGGCACGAAACTAGCGCTGACCGTTATTGCGCAGAAGTAAAAATTAAAATGTGGTGGGGAGAAATGTGGTGCGCGGGCCGTCATGCCCTGCGCCGATTGTCTCTCCAGTCGTACCCATGCGCAGCTATGCCCCTAGCGTTTTGTTCAGCGCTAGAGTTACGTGCCACGATATGTATTATTGTCTTATTCATAAAAAGATAAAATAGGTTTATTAGCTTGTTATAATAAGAATCCCGAAAAGCATTATTCATAAACATCAAATAACGCTAAAAAGCTTTGTAAGTATTCAATAGCGGCTTCGTTTCGTTATAACAGGGTCGACCCTACTATAAACCTAAAAAAAACAGAAATATGGCCGACAAATGTGCAAAAGTTGATTTTTTTTGTCGTCGTTCGTTCGTTCGTGTGGTTATTTACAAGGAGCTGAGAAGTAGAGATATCTTATATACAATTATATATAATTGAATGTAATTGAACTACTCTGAAACGGCTCGACCGACTTATGTGAAATTTTATATGCATATTCATCCCCCTAAATGTTAAGGGTTAAGGGTCCACCCTTAATTTTTTTTATGATACACCATACAAAAATACATACAACCCTAAATTTTCACCCTTCTACCACCTACCCCTATTTTTTTATGGCGGTACGAAGTTCGCTGGGACAGCTAGTATTAATATAATATAATAATACTTACATCTTCACAGACTACGTCATCAACATCTACATCGTCCTTCTCTAATATATCCCCTCCCTTCTCTTCTATATCCCCTTCCTTCTCGTCTATATCCCCACCCTTCTCTTCTATATCCCCACCCTTCACTTCTTTATCCCCTCCCTTCTCTTCTATATCCCCTTCCTTCTCTTGCGATAGTGTAACTACATCGTTAATAGCAAAGATAAATTCTCCCTTATCTTCCTGAGGAGATTCTTTCTCATCTTGTTCTTTGAGTTGGTCGTTCTCGGAGGTCTGTGCGTTTGAGTTCGAATCTTCCGAATGCTCAGCAGAAATTTGGTTACTACTCTCTGTTGACAAATCGATGGGAACAACTCAAATTTAAGTATGTACAGAAAAATATAGGCATTTAACTGTTTATATAAAAAATGTGTTTCCTGTTTTTATGTAAAAAGGCCAACAGATAGTTCATTGAATTTGAATTAGTTCTTTTACACATTAGAAGGCATATAAAACCTAATTTAATAAGGAAAATACTATTAGTCATCAAAACTTAATAACAAATTATAATTTTTGATGTCATAGCTGTAATCTTTATTATCAATGCGAAAGTGAGTTTCTCTATTTGTCACTCATGAATGACGCAATAAACGGCTGATCGGATTTGAATGAAATTTGGCATTAAATAAATATTACTCAAAATGATTTAAATCTACTCACCATCTTGGTCCTGGTCGAAGTCATCATCGTCCTCTTCTTCATCATCAGGGTCTTCATCATCTTCCATCACCCTCGACGATTCAGCCAACAGTCCCAGACTGTCTGTAGCTTCATCAAGTTCTTCTTTAGAATCGACTACTTCAGTAATGATAGCTTGAGAAGTTGATGGTTTCGGTTCATCTATTGTTGACACAAGTTCTTTAGAATCAATAGAAGCTTCAGTAACAATAACTTGTGAAGTTGAGGGTTTTGATTTGTATATTGTGAACCCAAGTTCTTCCTTAGAACGTGAAGTTGATGGTTTCGGTTCATCTATTGTGGACACGAGTTTTTTAGAATCAATAGCTTCAATAATAACAGCTTGTGAAGTAGACGGCTTTGGTTCATCTATTGTCGACTTGATTTCTTTAGAATCAATAGCTTTAGTAACATCAGCTTGTGAAGTTGATGGTTTTGGTTCATCTATTGTGGACACAAGTTCTTTAGAATCTATAGCTTTAGTAATAATAGTTTCTGAAGTTGATTGTATGGGTTTATCTATTGTGGACCCTAGTTCATCTTTAGAATCAACGGATTCAGTTACAACAGTTTGTGAAGTAGACGAAATTGGTTCATCAAATGTAGACACTGAAATCTTTTCGATTTTAGATTTGTCTTTGTAACAATTATCTACTTCGTCAAGAGCTTGTGAAGTTAGCGGCTTTGTTTCATCGACTGAGGGCACTGAATTTTTTTTGATTTTAGATACGTCTTTATTAAAATTGTCTAATTTGTAAATTTCTTTGTTTACAGTACAAATTTTATCTTTCGTAGCAATTTTTGTAGTGGCATTGGATTCACTGATTATTGGGACTGTACTATCAGGTTCTTCTAAAACGGGTGAATGTACTCCATCATTGGTTGTTCTTAGTGTATCATCACCTTTTTTTTCATTAGTTCTTTTTGATGTAACAGTGTTTGCTACTACTGTTAGATCTGAGTAAGCTTTTTCACATTCTTTATCATCTGGTTTGGTTCCTCCGTCTATTAGTTCTTTGTTAATAGTAGAAGATATTTCAGTTTGATTTATTTCTGTGTGAGATATTTCCATTGCTTCAGACTGTTCTGTAACTGTTTCTTTTTTAGCTGTATCCAATACAACTTTTTCTACATCAGATTTAGGGTCTACAATGGCAGAATCAGAAAGAATATCCACATTCAAAACGCCATTTTCATCGACTCTTTTCTCTGAAGAACAATTTGACGATGATTTGCTAAAATCCATGGATACATCAGTATCATCTAAGAATTCTATAACTTCTTGCGTAGGAATTTCCAGCATCATATCTGGTTTATTCAGACCATGATCTATATTCGCTTCAAGTGAAGAGGTATCTATTGATTGATTAGGTGAACTAGTAACAATAATCTCATTTAAATCACCTACAGTTTTATCATCTGTTAATTTATCAAGTATTTGATTGGACCTTTCGAATTCTGTAACAGGTTTTTCAAAATCAGTGTCTTCAATATGTTTAGTTACCTCAGATACAGGTATATCATCTTCCTTTTTAATAATAATAGATTTACTGTCTGGAAGTTCTATAGATACATCGGAATCGTCGTCTATACATTTAGTTGTTTTTTTGAGATCAAAATTATCACGCTCGCTATCTGTTTCTGGAAAATTAATTAACTTGTTTGTATTTACTTTAGACATTTCTTTAGCAGTTTCTGAAACTTGAATGTCAATAGTTCCTGTCACGAATTCATTAATTTCACTTTTAATAATAACTGATGTATTATCAATGAGATCATCAACTACCAAATCATCATTTTTTTTTATAATTGCCTCAATATTTTTTACTGCTTCAATTAATTCATCTGTTGTTTTGTCTTCTACATTTTCAGTAGTTTTCGTAATTTGATTGTTGGAAGATGGTACTTTAATTTCATCATTGTTATCTTCAGTAGTAATTAATTTACTGTCCGTAAGTCCTTTGGAACCTTTAACAATATCTTTTGTGGTTACATCTGTCTTTGTTTGATTAAGACCTATGTTATATTCTTCATCATCAATTTCTACAGCATCAATTGATTTTTTATTGTCAATCATTTTATTATCAATATTTTCTAATTCATCATCATCATCATCTATAAGAATTAAATCTTCAATGGGACTTTTTGATTTGTTAAGTTCATCAGAATCATTTAACTCAATTTTGGATTCACCTTCATCAATGCTATCTATTTGATCAATATTATCTTTGATATCTGCACAAATTTTATTAATTTCTGATTGTATATTTTGTAATGATTCTTCAGGACTAAGAGGTTCTGTCATTTGTGTTGTTTCTGTATTTTTTTCATTGATACCATCTACAGTCACAATGTCATTGATTGATTCTTCACTAACTTTCCCTTTAGGGTCATCAATTTTATTTACATATCTATCTTCTTCGCTTTTTTCAATCAAGGGTGGTACATTAATTGATATGATATCATCTTCAATCTCATCATCATCCCACTCCAAATGTAGATCTTCGTCATCATCTTGCCCATCATCTAAAATCTCAATATCATTATCTAAGTCGTCTACAATTCGATTTGTAGATGATTCTGTATGTTCTTGCTCAATTTCTTTCAAAGATTCCTCATTAGAAGAATCTGTCAAATCATTTTCTGCATGGTCACCCTGTACCAGCTTTTCTTGTTCAGAGCTCATTGTAGTTTCACTCTTCTTAATAATTCCTAGAAGAAAGTTTTGGATGCTTATGCTTGCACTTCACTTTGCTATTTATTTTCTATTTGTAAACTTGACATCATTCTGCCCTTTCATTTCTTATAAAACTTTTTAAAGACAGATTGTTCTCATGTTTTCAAATAGCAAATAGCAAAGTGAAGTGGCGACATTACACACATAGGCCAAACTGTACTTGTTAGGTCTGGGAGTGGACACTTTTAAAAATCACATAGTAACTTTAGTGTTATGACAACAGTCCCAGAAAAAAAATCAACAAAAAATTGTGAAAACAACTCTCAGGCCTAACACGTACATTTTTACCCATACAAAGCTTCACCCAGAGGATCATCAGGGCTTCAGATAAATTAAAATACATAGTAGGTAGGCTCAATATGTCATTCTCTAATTTAAATTATATAGATGTGCTTACAGCATGAATAAGTTTTACTATTTTTGAGGATAAAAACAGGAAATTGTGGTTTGTGGAAAGAGCTATATTCAAAACCAATGCCCGAATGTTAAAGACCTACATAAGAGAAGTGAAAAGACTATTTTTATTTGATAACTAGCTACGAGGGTAGGTCAAAAAGTTTGCGGAATAAGAGGGAAGGAGGTTGAAATTAAAAACCAAACTATTTTTCCTTTTCAATATATTCTCCCTTAACCCTAATACATTTTTCAGATCTCTCAAATAACTTGTATATATCGATAAAAATGATTTGTCTTTGGTGTCAAAATAGGCCCAAATTGCGGACTTCACTTCTTCATCGTCGTCAATTTTTTATCCACGCAGCTCTTTCTTCATTTTTGGAAATAAATAATAGTCACTGAGTGCCAAGTCTGGACTGTAGGGTGGGTGGTTCAATTGTTCGAAACCGCATCGGTGCATGGCAGCCGTCGCAACATGGCACGTGTGAATGGGTGCATTGTTGAGCAGAAGGAGCACACCTTTTGACAGCTTTCCTCTTCTTTTTTCCTTGATGGCTTCTTTCAATCTCTCCAGTAAAGAAGCGTAGAACTGTCCCGTTATAGTCACACAACATTCTTTATAATCGATCAGTAAAATACCTTCTGTAACCCAAAAGACAGTCGCCATGATCTTGCCAGCCGATTGACTCAGGTTCATAGTGGTGAACCCAGGTTTCATCACCAGTAACGACGATGAAACGCTCGCGTTTTGAAGTGCGCTTTGAAGTGGCGCTGGCGAGAGCATTCTCGGAACCCATCTTGCACTGACCTTAGTCATACCAAGATGATGATGTAGAATATTCAAAATACTTATTTCGCATACTCCAATCATTGCTGCAAGCTGCTTCTTCTCCAACAATCCATCCATAAACCATGGTTTTACCAGGGGCAGAGTCCGCGTAAACCGCCAACAGCTCTTGAAAAATAATCTGAGCGATTTTCCTTGCTTGGTAAGGAACTTAATAACGGCGCGGTGTTCGATTTTCTCCATACTGGCTGACTTCTTCCCGATTCAGTTGTTTGCAGGTCGATAACACAAAAGTTAATGACCTGATTAGGTTCAAACTTAGTATATATATACTCTTAATGAGGTGCTCAACTAGTGCTTACCTGGACGAGTAAACCTACCCCCACCAACCCCTCCATTCCGCGAACTTATTGACTTACCCTCGTATGATACCCGGCTTCGCTCGGGAGTTGATATGAGATTACGTGGTAGTTGAAATAAAAACAAATTAAATATGACATAAAAAAAATATTGAAAACATTTTCTCATTATTTACACTAAGTACTTGTTTATAAACAACATTTATCATTTTATTGTCCATGGTATATATATATATATATAAACTTTTCGAATTTCCTACTCTTGAGCAAGCTACATGTAGCTGATTGTGACAGAAGCATGATTCTTTGAGGTTAATGCCACTATATTTTAAAGTTTTCCCTTGCGCTTTGTTAATTGTAAAAGTAAAGGCTAATTTAATTGGAAACTGCAATCTTTTAAATTGAAATGGCAATTCAGAAGAGATCACTGGTATTTATTTTATTTATTTATTTATTTATTCTTTATGCACAAATGTACAATGGCGGACTTAATGCCGTAGGCATTCTCTACCAGTCAACCATAGGATGTTGTGGATATTATTAGTGGTAGGGTGCACAACTGAAGTGGAGATCACATTAAAGTTTATAAAAATAATAAATATAAATAATAATATATAAACGTACACATACATAAGTTAATATATTTAAATAAATACACAAATACATACATATTCTAGGTATAAATACTGTGTGTCCTTTGTTCTTTCCAGGAATAAGTTCAGCTTCAATGATATTATTTGATAGCTGTTTTACGATCATCCTCATTCCATTACATAGTTTTGGGGAGTTGAGATTTCTGAGTAGTATGATTGGAGATCCAATTTGCAGATGAAGGCAGTGTAATGGCATTCCTGATAATTGTAAAGAGTTCAGAAATTCAGTAGGGAAGTTGACACTTTCTTCAATGGATACCATCGTGTCAATTGATTTATATATTTTCTCTTCACCAGGTATTTTCTTTAGAATTAATATTCTAAATTGATATCGTCAACAATATTATTTTTAGAGGCCAAAATTGCTCTTTGAAATAACCACTCAACATTGGTATAGTTCTGAATAATATTTGGATATTTTTTGTCAATTAGTTCATTTTCAGTAGTTACAGAAATCACTATTGAGTTCAATGAGGGCGGTCGTTTGGTCAGTAGGATATGTACCTTCGCCTATTTGTAAAAGTATTTTATCAAAATTTCTTCTTCTCAGGGTGCTCATTCTGGTTCGTTGATTTTGTAAACGTGCTTCGTGCTCTTCTTCCGTTTCATTTCTTCGATATTCTTTTTGTTTCCGCCGTTTCGCTGCAGAACTGGCAAGATCTCCTCCTCTTTTACGTCTAGGCATTGTATTCTGTAAAATATAAATTAAATAAGCATTTTATAGACAAATATATTGTTACGTAAACGTGGGGTACGTAGAGAAAAAGAAAAAAAATTATTCAACTTTCAAGCGGTTGCGCCATATTTTCTTTACGGCCAAAAAGTATTTAGAATGCATCGATTCAACGTCGCGCGACTGCTCGAAGGTTATGGAAATTACAATTAAAAGAAAAGAAAAAGAAAACCATTAGAATTAATTAAACACACTATTAAAAATACTCACATTTGATATTTCACAATAAAGGCTCACAGATAACTTTTTTCTTCTTTGCTTCAAAATCGAGAATTAATTAAACACACTATTAAAAAAACTCACACGTGATACTTCAAAATAAATGTTCTTCAAGTTTTAGCGGAACGCACATTTTATCAACTTAGTTTTATTATATTATAATGATGAATGGAGACATTACACTGCCAAAAACTATGAACATATTTATACCTTCTTGTTAAGGTCTTTTATTAGAAATAATTACAAGAAAAATGAAAAGAAATTAAATAATAATAAAGTCAGGACCAACACATGCATCTGCAAACACTAGAACAAATATTTTCGGTCATCCATCAGTTTACCAGGCATAGCAAAAGATGCTTATCTCTCTCTTTGACTGTTGTGAATAGTGTTTTATTAAACTAGCATTAAGTTAATGTCACACAAGAATTATCGCATTGGTTGATCCTTATATGTTAACTATCAGTAATGGGTTTGGTTCAATCACTTTATGCAATTCTAGTCATATGCCATGCCTGTACCCCAACGCTGATGAAAAAATTGTAGGGCTGATGACATTAGATGCAATATCACAATCTCATCTGTACTCAATAGGCTACTTGACAAGGTTTTAAAAATGTTCATAAGATATTTACAAGTGTATAGTGACTCCATTAAAAGGGGATATTTATAATACTGTTATTTATATCAGAAAAAAACTAAAATTAAACATTTTGGTTTTCAAATATGTAACAAATTGAAAACTAATCAATTACCTATGTTCCATAACTACATTTTAATGCTAGTTTTTACGGGTTAATGCACGAAACTTTATTTATTTATTGACGTTTCGCAGCTGATTCTGACGATGCAGACATGAAAAGGCTGCGAAACGTCAATAAATAAATAAAGTTTCGTGCATTAACCCGTAAAAACTAGTTTTATTTAATGAGTGATGTGCGTGAAAACCTAAGAAACAAATACATTTTAATGGATAGTATACAATGTGTTGTGGAAATGTTTCCTTAGGAAATACGTTGTGATGTAAAGACATGACATCACATTAAAACAGCACACAGTGCAAAGTAATGTCAATTCATCAGGATGCTTACAAGCCGGTGATGTCATATTAGACATCCTAGGTGTTTTAGATCATGTGAGAATAGATCAAAAAATACTTTTCTATTTCAAGATTGTTAGCAATATTGATAACTTCTTTTTTATAACAGAAAATTGAAATTGCTTCCTAATATTCATGTAATATACACACATGACAAAATTGGTACTATATATACATAGTGGGTAAGACTTTTAAACACAAAAATAAATATTTCATACTGTCAGATAGCCTATTCAACATAAAAAAAAAGTAGTAAATATAATCATTGCAAGAATTTTTGAAAGTACTATTCTAATAATTTAATTAGGGTAAGTAAATAAGAGTAGAAATCAGAAAATTGTATAAACTCCAATTTTAATACAATGCAATAATTATTGCTTTTCTTATCAATAGACTAATCCTTAATCATACTAATATTATAGTTTAGACCGCTGAAAGGATAGACCATATTTGGTAAATAAATGTTTAAGAGTCCCAAGAAAGGTTATAGCATATAAGGCGATAGTTTATTATTCTAGAAATCACCCTTTAACGGCATGAAAGTTAAAATGAGAAATCAATTTGTTTAGGTAAACGACTTTGCGGTACCCAATAGTATACATATTTTACAACTACATTACCTACATCAGCTATACTCTAAGTGTGTTCCGCGGAACCCTAGGGTTCCGTGATACCTCTGTCGGGGTTCCGCAAGAATTTAGAAATAAAAAAATCAAAACACCTCTCTCTGGTCGCTCCGCGGCTGTGCGGACTCCGCGGCCGCGCGGAGACAAAACGCTATGAATGTTATTTATTTATTTATTTGTATTTGTATAAGCTTGTGTTACATTAGCTGGTACAATATCTCATAAGTTTGGTCTCAACAATTTGTTCGCAAAAAAGATCAGTTATTAGAAAGTCAAAAAAATATGATGCATGTAACACAAACTACCAACGAAAAGGCCACGGAGGCATCATACTTAGTTAGCTATCGCATTGCACAAGCAGGTGAAGCGCACACTATCGCTGAGAAATTAATAAAACCATGTGTATTAGACATAACAAAATGTATGCTTGATGAAAAATCTGCAAAGCATCTTTCTACTGTTCCGCTATCAAACGATACTGTTTCACAACGAATCCATGATCTGGCAAGCTACGTCAAACAAGAACTAGTTACACGTCTACAAAATACACGATTCGCTTTGCAAATGGACGAGTCGACTGATGTCGCTGGTTTGGCTATCCTGCTGGTTATTGTGAGATATCCATATAAAAGTTCTTTTGAAGAAGACATGCTTATGTGTTCATCGCTGCTTACAAACACTACCGGGGAAGAAATTTTTAATAAAATAAATATATTTTTTGAAGAACATAATCTCAGTTGGAACAATTGCATTGACATTTGTACAGATGGGGCCAAGGCGATGACAGGTAAAACAGCAGGAGCAGTGTCACGAATGAAAAATAAAGCGCCTAATTGTAGTTCCAGTCATTGTATTCTGCATAGACAAGCACTTGCGATGAAGCAAATGCCGTCTAATCTAAAATTAGTTATGGATGAAGCGGTAAAAATAATTAATTTTATCAAATCACGACCACTACAATCCCGATTGTTCTCATTATTGTGTGAAGATTATGGCAGCAAACATAAAACACTGCTGCTCCATACAGAAGTGCGATGGCTGTCTCGGGGAAAAACTTTAACAAGGCTATTTGAACTTAGAGCCGAGTTACAAATGTTTCTTTCAGCAGATACTTCTTTTAATTTGAAGGACCGTTTGTATGATAAAACTTGGTTGTTCCGATTGTCTTTTATGGCGGATATCTTTCAAAAACTTAACGAATTAAATTTATCATTGCAAGGTAAACAGACAACAGTGTTTCAGGCCTATAATAAAATAACTACTTTTAAAAGAAAATTAGATTTTTGGATCATTTGCATTGGTAAGAAAGAAATAGAAAGTTTTACGTTACTCACTGAGTTTGTTAGCGAAAACGACTCAGAAATGTTTGAAGATAATGTGTTTGAAGAATTGGTCCAATATCTCAGTTCGATGCGCGCATCTTTTGAAAAGTATTTTCCCGAAGAACACAATACAAAAATTAAAGTGAACTCCTGGATTCATAATCCTTTTTTACCCAACTTGGAAAAGCCTGAAAACATGTCAAATGAGATATATGAATCTCTTTTAGAAATGTCATCAGACACAAGTATGGAGTCATTGTTCAAAACGACGCCTCTTAATGATTTTTGGTGCAGAATCCAAGATGAATATGCAATGCTTGGCCAAATGGCTCTGGATATTCTTCTCCCGTTCCCAACTACATATTTGTGCGAAACAGGATTCTCTACCTACGCAGCCACGAAAACAAAATATCGCAATAGACTGGACGCCGAAGCTGATATGAGACTCCAACTTTCTTCCATCAAACCTGATATCAAGCAATTGATGAAAAATAAAAAACAGTTTCATACCTCCCACTAGTTAGATTTTTTCTTTTTTAATGTTTTCTATTATTGTCCTTACCAAGTGGTGAAGTAAATAATAATTAGTAACGGATACATTGTACTTTTATTATGCTGATTAATATAGAATACACTTATAAAAATAATTGTTTTATTGTAGGGTTCCATCAAGTATTTTGCTTCCCAAAAGGGTTCCGTCATTTAAAAAGTTTGAGAACCACTGACCTACATCAATAATTTGTTTTACAAAATAAACAAAAAATAATGTCTACAATACTTACGAGTTTTCAAGAACCCAGCTGCCAAAACATGAGTACTTGAGCACCTTTATATGTCTTTCAACTAACAAAAATATATCTAAAGTGGTTATTCCACGAAATAAATCCTTTTTTCTCGCCTCAAACAATCAGCCCTAGCAGTGGCATCGCGATCGAAAACCGAAAACACATGTAATTAGGGATGTAACAAAGAAATCGATTACAATAACATAGAATTATCCAAAATCGATACTATTACTTAAAAATGTGTAACCAGTAACGTGTAATGTGTGTTAAAAGTCATCACAAATATTATTATCTGTATTCTCATTGTTTACTCTCAATGCGAAGAGATAGCGCTGTCTTGCCGTCTAAGAAATACTAGAGCTTTGACATGGACATTATGGTCGTGGTTGCATATTGCATAATTTGGCAGTGCATCCGCTCGGATAGCGGAGGGTGCGAGTTTGAGTCACGTCTGCTGCTAGGTCCGTGTGGATTTTTTTCTAGTAATTTTTTCATTACATTGGTGTAGATTCTGTCAGTATTCTGTAAACCTAAAATTAAATGTTACATAGTGTATCCTTGTCATTCTCTACACATTAAGTTTAAAGTTTCGACACCATTATATTGCTAAAATGACTGTTCCCTGCAGTTTCCTGCTTAAGTAAAAAACTGTATTCTTTAACGTGGATTCCATATTTATAAACAGTGTGAGGGTCGAGGAACACATGTTTAGAACTAAGTTAAAAATAAACATAAGTATATGTACACAACTACACACAATACCTATTCTATGAAACAGCTGACTGTCGTGACAGAAATTTTTTACACTTTTTTCACCTCATTCTCATCCCGTCCGCCAAGTTAATCTGTAGTGCGATAGAGTTAGGGCACTTCGTTCAAAAAAAATAAGAAAAAACTGCATCTCAGTTCTATCAATACATACACACACATTTACATTTTCAAATATTGTAAATTGGTTTTACACCGTCTCTTACTATCGGTGTCAACTTTAATCAAATTAAGATGTTTTGTTAAATAAAATAAACATACGCGAATTATGTATAGTCTTAATATAAAGAATTTCATAACATTATTTAGTGCCTTCCCTTGAATTGCGAAACTTAGACCTACCTGATTTATTGTTATTTTTATCTCAATAAGTATGATGCTCAATCATGATTCACACATAAGATTTTATTGTATATATTTGTTTTCCCAAAACGAGAAATGAGCAATCGATTTTTCACAAAGTGTACAACCCTATAAACCTATGACAATTTTGACAGTTTTCTTTTTAATAATGCTGCCATATAAAAATTGGAAGAATAACTATAGAGATTATCGAACGCAAGTCTTAGAGCATATACCACTGGAGATGCCATTGCGTTCACTAGCCGAACAAAATTATTCATCATTTCTGGTGCGGGACGAGGTACACACGGGTTACTTTCCAATTACAGCATTATAGCGAATTATGCGGCATAATGCTTAACGTTGAGTGTTCCAACTACAGCAACGCTTCGCACAATTGAGCACTCTCAAAAGTGATGCTTTCGTGTGATACGTGCAATCGTACCAACTTAGAGACAGAAAATTAAAAAACAAGTTTTTTTTTTAAGTTGGCATTAATCGAAATGTTTTATATATATGTTATAGTTAGTAATATTATTTATTGTTGAAAAATTATTAAAGCTTTCGTTTCATTAAATAGATTTTTTTAAATAATCAAAGTTCATTATAACTGTTAAAAAATAACTATAAGTATGGATGAAGGTACAAACATTGACTTTTTTTTTCAACGCTGAACTTAGCGCACTCTGCTGGTGCATTTGAAAACTAATTCACGTTCCAATTAAGCATCAGCATAATTGGGCATTGTGCAGCACTGAGTCGCATTATGCTCTGTAATTGGAAAGCATACACGTATAACACTATAAAAATATGCAATACTCCCACAATAACGAGCGTGTTGTTAATATAAACGCACATTTCAAAAATTACATCTCTCAAACAAAAATATGCTAACAATTTTTATGTAACTTCTATGCCTAAACACCGTAACAGTAATTATGTCTGTGTATCCTTTTTTTAGGGACAACACGCGAAAAAAGAAATAAAGGTCGGGATAGTAGCAGTGGAGGAAGCGATGAAAATGACAACCATGATAAAACCCATGTAATGCCAAGATCATTGCATGCTAACATTGGACAAGCGTCACATTCTCCAGCAGAACCTGTAAATATATCTGTTGCCGATTATTCTTCTCTATCGACATTCTAGCAAACTTATGACGTCAAAGTCGATCCTGAAATAATAGTGGACGATGGTTATCATGAAAATGATCTGGGTCGTTATGTTGGGTTTGCTACTCAGCTATCGGCGAGAAAAAGAAAAGGGAGTTGTTACAACATCCTTGGATTCCGCCCAGAAATTATGATTTTGAAAGTGATGCAAGCCATTTGAAATGGAAATTTAATCATGCTTGGTTGGATTAATATGCACCATGGCTAGTATATTCCAAGCGACTAAAAGGCACTCTTTGTAAGCATTGTGTTTTGTTCCCTCCGCCCATCAGCACTGTGAGAGGAATTTTGAGATCATTTATGGTCAGGCCATACATAAAGTTCAAAAATATGCATGAAGACTGCCGCAAGCATGCAACGACCAACCTTCACCTAACAGCGACAAATACTGCAATTTTATTTCTTGAAAATGTTCCTGTAGACATCCAACTGCAAAGTGGACACCAAAAAGCAATCGATGAAAACAGACAAATATTGTCATCAATTATTTCTTGTGTAGTAATTTGCGGTACACATGATATGCCTCTGAGAGAGTCTGTGTGGTAGTCAATACTACAATAAAATTCTCACGTCCACTTGACCGGAAAAGCGTATATTTTGACGATTCTACTAATTCTTCAGTTACGCAGACAGTTGTAACACATAATCACACCAATTTTATTTCACAATATCCACTATAAACGAATTTAAGAATAATTAAAATAAGACGCCAACCGCACTCGATGAAATCCCGCCAAAAACCGCCCCGTGTTTTTTTTTCACCATTTTTTTCTTTTTAGGAGTAGTCTTTTTATTATTACAAATTTTTCTTTTGTTTTTTACATTTATGAGGTGCACCCCATGAAGATAGGTTACTCGTAAAAGTGCCACGTAGGCTTGGCCACAAGAGAATATGGAGGTGCCAATGTCCATGAGGGCATTTTTTAGACTTAGACCTTGGGTATCACCGCCACTCTTAGTCCAATGCATTATATTTTGCCCAAATTTTTTGAGCGAAATTAATATTTTAGTGTAATTTGTTTATTTACTTTGTATAATGGTCGAGTAGAATAAAGTTAATCGTTCGACTATTTTTCTTGTAAACTCGTAAGTATAAGTATAAAAGCCAGTCTAGTATTATCCAGAGTTTTCCTTTAATTTTATTTATATCCGTATTGAAGGTAGAAGGAGAGGCATTCGTCCAGCAGTCGGACGCTATAGGCTAGATTAAATTAAAAGATGTGTCCCAATACGCTGGATTTTTGCAATGACAGTCGATTTTTTTGTTAACCAATAGTAGAAGGGGGTATTACCATATCTCTAATACAGCTGAGACCAGCTGAGGGTTCTTCATCAGATACTTCCAGACCTTCGATTTTTGACATCAAATGAAGCGGCCCACCAAGTTGAATATTTTTTGTTAAAGTGGTATGTCGATCTCTTCTAATAAAATTCAAAAATTCAATATCGTTTATTCAGTCTAGGCTGTTACAAGCACTTGTGAATGTCGAAAAGCTACGCCATCGGTTCGCAAATCTACGGCGGGAGACCTTGTACTGAGAAGAACCGGCAAGAAACTCAGCAAGGGCTGTTTTTTTCTCCCTGTATTATATACAGAGTCGTCAATTTGAAAAATGAGTTCAATATGAGATAACCCATGAAGTCACTATCCAATAGTTTGGTTGGACTCTTGTGTTTTCTAATCAGGGTCACCAGATACTCCAGATCTTCGATTATCCTAGTTTATCCTAGTTTTTATAGTTTTTCTTTTACGTGGCCATTAAACCCTAACTCTGTATCAAATTTCAGCTCTCTGAGCTTATGGGAAGTACTAGTTCTATTCTGATGATTATGAGTGAGTGAGTGTCATAAATGCGAAACTTTGCTTTCGCTTAACTTCCAAATTAAATGGGCAGACTTGAAATTTTGGTTTTCAAGTAGGTATGTTATTATTGCTTACTGGATGACGAATATTTCTGCGTTCAGGTCTTATCCAGAGGTTCTCAAATAGGGGCTGAAAATGCGGCGAAATGGTTCCAGTAAATGATGGTATGGCAGTGTTTGCTTCGCGCTCGTCTTGGCACCACTCGGGCACTGCCGTGCCCTCCGATTTAACCATAATAAATGTATGAAACCGATGTGTTTCTGGCACACCAGGACCCGACACGTTAATATGTTTCTGGCTTTAATCTTGTTTTGATAGTGCAATCTTACTAGGGTGCAAACAATAAAAAGGACAAATTACGATTTAGCAGAGCCAAGATGATCAAGAAGAAGCCAAGAAGTTGAATCAATTTGCAGTTTGAGCTAACGACCATTAACGATTGACTAACTTGCTTGACTTGACATGGACTTGACTGACCGAGCAACATAGTAAGGGTACGGCCACAGTGCACGCAGATTCAGACTCAGAAAACAAGGGCGAGAAATAAACAGTTTAGTTTAAGCAGGTTGCCTGCTGCCACTATGGCCACCCTGCTTAAACTTTCAATCTGATTCTGAACCTGCGTGCACTGTGGCCATACCCATAGACGGAATGGACTGAAGAGTACTATTTAAGTGGGTTTTGGACTTAGAGGTCCGAATCGGGCTCACTGAATGAACACAGTTCAGTGGGCCCGATTCTTGCATGTTTCTCTAAGCCTAATATAATTAAATTTGACAACAGTCTAGTCTAGATCCTTGTCATGCTCTATACCGAATGGGAAAGAGAGACTATTGATTGACTGTTGATTGCGACTTTTTAATGAAGTGGTATTATTTTTATATAAAAAAAAATATTTTAAAAATACCCAGTTATCCCTAACCCAAAGAACAATGCCCATTTTCTCCCGGATATAAGATTGATATACGTCCAAAAAAAGCTAATTTAATTATAAGTTTATTACAATAATCAACGTGGTAAA